AATGGGAGCCGCCAGGATCAGCCCAACGATGACCTGCACCAGCAACGCAACACGGTAAATGAAATCGGCCACAGCCGCGCCACGTCAGATGAAGCAAGCCTCCTGAGTAGCTTCTCTTCGAGTGGAATGTCTTCACACACGGTGGTCACTCGATGGATGCCGCCGATCTCACTCGACTGCTGGCGCAGCCGGCGTCCGCATTCAAGCCGCCTGAGACGGTCGACGACACGACCTTCTCCGTTGAGTGGGCGAACCGTTACCGATTGAACGAAGAGCAGATGCGGGCGTTCCAAATCATCTGCAGCCACTTGCTGAACCACTACAAAGACCTGAGGGACAATAAATACATCGCGGCAGTGCGCATGTGCCTGACCGTCATGAAAGCCGTGGAGGCCTGTTCTGCTGAACTACAATGCAGACATTGGCTGTGTCTGGCGGCACTTACCGGTGTGGCTGCAGATAACACCGAAGGCTCGACAATCGATTCGCTCCTGCGCCTATTCGATGACTTCGAGAGGGGCGAGAAGAGGCTGCGGCGCAAGCGGGGAAGCAGCAGACACTCGATGGTGACCGCATTTGCAGAGAGGAGTCTTGCAAGCGTATCCAGTACCAAGTCCACTGCACGATAGTCGGCGAGATCTCTTTCGTTAACCGCCAGAAGCTCGACAAAGTCGATGCGCCACTGAGGGACCTGCGAAAAGGCACCCAAGAAAGACCAAGCTGAACCAGCTGCATGACCGGACAAGGGAGAAACATCCCATTCACCACAAACTGGCGCGTTTCGTGTATTCAGTCAGTTGATGCTTACTTCCGTTATGGATCTTGCTTTTTTAAGAGGTTCGCGCCCAGAGAGACCCTTGTTCGTTGACTTTCTCCGCGAAGCAAGCGCGATCTTTTTCAAGCAGCAGCGGTTTCAGGGAGCACCCTAGACGTCCTGACCGCCAAGCTTTTTCCATATAATAACTTGCCGCTTTAGGGCATATCGGTCACTGATCCAAAGGTGACAAAAAAACACGAAGCATCTTGACATATTGCCGTGTCTGTAGTACTGCAAGCAACACATCACTCCTACCGTTTTTCCTTTTTTCTTCCATACGATCGTGATCGAACGTTTTGTCTGACCGAACGTGTTGTTTCGTAAAGACGCAAATCGGGCACTAGCCCAATTCGCGGATTCGCGGACTCTCCACGGATCCGCTGCGAGCCAACTGGACATCCCTGTGGGCTACTCGGTGGTCCGGATGCCCGTGGATGACAACGGCCTCCCAACAGGGGCGGTGGAACCGTTCCTGAGACGCCGAAATGCTGCGGCAGAGGGTGCGAAGTGGCCCTCAGGGTTTCGTCCAGTTGGGGTCGTTTTTGATGCTGAGGGTCGAATGCTCGTTTCATCAGCTGCTTCTGGGGAGATCGTGATGGTCAGGCAAAGCACTCAGCGAATTGGTTTAGGAAGCGAAGCAGATTGTGGCAGAGAGCAGAGCGAGGGACGAACAGAGGTATAAGGTTGGATTGATGCATGTGTGTTGACCGACTAAGTAGCTGTGTACATACATACGTCTCTATATCGATGTACATGTGTAAATGGGCAATCGATGTATGTATACATACGTATACATGTCATGTCGTGTACGTGTAGGACGCAAACACCTGGATCGATCTTGGGGGAGATTTGTATGGGGGTGTGCCATATCTTTCCACCCAGACCATTCTTTTGTTGAATGAACTGAATGAACTGACCCCTCTTCTGTCACTTCATCACGTGACGCCTACACACGCATTAGTATTAGAAGATCGTCATCAGCCGGCTGTACAGGGCAATGAGGGTCCGTGCATCCAGTCTCGCGTCCACATAAGTGTGCCGATTCCGTGGTCTATGCAACGACCTCGTGACGGAAAGCCAATCGAACGGGTGTGTGCGTTGCGCTCATCGTCACGAGACCATCACAAGACCATCGAAATGGCACTTGTTGCTGGACGCCCATGCTATCAGATCACCTCATCTCATCTGTCTATCTGGCCCACACGCCATACACAGACCACCACGCTCGGGCATCTAGACATAGGCAGGGGCCCATCCGCTACTAGTCTCACTCATCGCTCAGGCTGCAGCAGCCGCATGACCTCGTCTATCAGCCCCACCACCACCGACAAGTCAACTCGCACCTCTGCACCACCATCAGGGTCGTCCGGCCGGCCCCCCACAGTTACAGACACGGCAGTCTCCCCCAGCTGCCGCACCGCGTCCATGGCCTCCTCCATGCCGCCCATCAGCGGCACACCCCAGCTGATCCCACCATCACCACCACCTCGCGGCCGGTACCCAGCAGCAGCAGCAGCAGCGGCAGCAGAAGGACGTTGCATCGGCTGCTGCTGGAAGAACACCATTCCCGTGGCCCCACCGCCGCCAACGCCTCGGTCAGTTTCTGCTGGCGCCTTCTCCTCGGCTATGAGTGACGTCCACATGACGACTGAGTCGAGGGCGACCTCTAGAGTGGCCACGGCGAGGGGCAGCAGGCTGCCCGTCGAGTGCTGGGGCTGGGGAGCGTCTGAGGGGGAGGCGGGGAAGGACGAGGACGAAGCAGCAGCAGCAGGGGGCTCGGCAACGAACGACGGCAGCCGCCTCTGGGTAAGCCAACAGAAAAGGGCAACACGCGTGCCGCAACGAGCCTTCTTCTCATTTGTGTGTTGGGTGGGTTGGATGCATGTCCGCTGACTGACCTGTGTGGTGTGTTCCCTCAGTTGTGCACAGAAGGTCCCGAGGCAGCTCGCCGCCACCTGCTGCAAAATCGACAGGCGTGTCTTGGCATGACGCTTCAACTGATGGACGAAAGACAGGCAGAGCACAACACACACACACAAAATACACATACACGTATCTATCAGTGAGTGTCAAGGAGACCCTTCTGCGTGTCTGGCTGACCCTGTTCATTTCGACCTCCCTGATGTCGCCGTCCCTGGCAGCGTCATCTCTGTTCTGCGGCGTGGGGATGTTGATGTAGTCGCCGGCAGCCGTCGGCTCCCGCGGTGAGCCGATCTCCTCATAGCCCTCCATGCGGAGCCGGCGCTGCCGAAAAGCGATGGCGTCGCCCACACACATGCTGTCACTGTCGCTACCTGATACACAAATCGATCGAGACACATTGTGTGTGCGCAGACAGACACAGTGTTCGTTCCTCTTTCATTCATTCTGCAGCCTACGTAAGCAGGTGAGGGCCCGCAGGGTCAGCTTCACGCGGGTCTCCTCATGGGCCAGCATCCCATCGCCTCCCTCTCCCCGGCTCTCCCTTACCGCCACATTACACAGCGATTTCAGCAGGTCCAGCATGCTCTCGGTCACGGCGTCATTCAGCTCACGCACCCCAGCCGTCCGCATGTCGGCCGCCTGCTGCTGCTGCTGGTCGAAGAAGGCGGGCGGGGGGTTGGCCGGGGTTTCGGCGCCACCACGAGGCACGTGTCGCGGCGCCAGGAGGCGTCGACACGTGGGCGTTGCCGAGAGCGCCTGCCACAGCTGAATTAGCAGGTCGGTGGACCGGCACAGCTCCTCGATGGCCCGCTTGTGTGACGGCGGTGACGCTTTCCCTGCTTGTGACTCCCTGTCCATGTCGTCAAGGGCCGTGTGCATGTCGCCCCACGCGCCAAGGGGCGGCTGTGCGGCCCCCTGCTGCTGGGTGGCCGTGCGGAATCGGCCGTCTAGGAAGGGCAGTGTGGCCAGCAGCTGTGGGTGCTGCAGCAGCACCCCGCTGTGACCCAGGAACCAGTCCAGCAGCCGGTCCGCCAGTCTCGGCTGCGCGCCGAGCTGATTGAGCAGGGAGAGGAGTGTGAGCAGCAGGGGCGCCAGTAGGGAGGGCGACACCAGCTGCTGCAGGTTGTCAAGGCCTCGGATGAATGGCGTGGGGAAGGCGATGGCAGCAGTGCCGTCGGCGAATGACTGGCCATGGCCGAGGTGTGCGCGCAGGAGCGCGACGAGCGGCTCAATGGCAGCGTCCATGGTGAGGTCGATGGCCGCCGCCTCCAGGAACTGCCGGTGCAGCAGCGACTCGGTCAGCAACCTCTCCACCGACACATACGTCACTGTGGTGGCACGCTGCAAACAAACATGGACACACATGACAGACTTATAAGGCGATCATGGCATGGTGTCCCTTATTGCTGTCTCATTCAGCGAGCCCACCTGCAGGACGATGGACAGCATGTGTGCGGCCCCATGGAAGAAGAGTCGTTTCTCGGTCCTGTCCCACCGCCCACCCAGACCAGCATCGTCCTCATCCAGGCCGGATGCAGCCTCCCACCTCACTGTGTCGGGCTCAAATGCATGCCGCACCACCTGCTCAACCAGCCGCCACAGCGACGGCGTCCGCACCAACACCCCACACAGCGACCCATCCACGGTGGTTCCACCACTGCCAACGCCTTCCTCCTGCTGCTGCTGCTGCTGCTGCAGCTCGGCCACGAGCAGCGTCCGCAGCACGGCGATGGCCTTGAGCTGCACCTGGTGCCGAACGTCCCCCGTCGTGAGCGGCATCACTGACTGCTCCTCCGCGCCACCGCTGCCCAGCTTGCCCAGACCACCTGCCCCCGACTCTCCTAAGGGCTGTCCGAAAGGAGATGACCAGTCTGGTGGCTGGGACGGAACGCTGAGCCCGGCCTGTGTGTGGGGGCTGTCGAGCTGCCCGGCCGCGTCTTTGAGGATCATCTCGACCAGTTCGTGGCGCCTCGCCGCCAAGGCCGCCACCCACATGGCGAGAGTGGTCTGGGGGCCGGCCTGGACGTGCTGGCCTGTGTGGACGGGCAGCAGGGTGACGAGGGCGGTGTAGAGGTGCTGGCAGATGTTGGCCGAGGCCGCCCGGTGGACCAGGGCTTTCAGCAGCGCATCCGTCAGGGTCTGAGAACCAACAGAGAAAGAACCTCATGACGCACTGCACTGTCTGGCCCCTGTCAGTGTATTTCTCTTTTTCTACCTGGAGGAGTGCCCGAGTGATGTACTGGACAGTGAGACCCTCGTTGCCGAGGGCCGTGAGCAGCTGCGCCAGCATGGCCGACACCATCTCGAACTTGAATGCCACCGACCGGGGCTCGCCGTCCGCCATCCCCCCACCACCGCCGCCCCCAGTGACCTCCCCCAGCTGCGGCAGAAGTGTCTCGATGTGGTCCCGCAGCAGCTCTATCCGCTGCTGCGTCGTCAGGTTGCCCTCCCGCCCCTCGTGCCTCGCGTGGCGGAGGAAGTGAAGCCCCGCCGACAGGAACTGCATGAGAGCGTGGCCGCACCGGTACCGCTGCCCCGCCGCGTGGGTGTAGCTGTTGTGCTCGTAGGCGTACTTGAGCATCGGGGAAAAGGGCGACTGCTGCTGCTGCTGCTGAAGAAGAATGCCGTCCATCATGCCACCAGTTGCTGCTGTGGGGGACCCACCGCCCCCACCACCACCCCCGGCCCCCCCACCGCCGTCTGTTGACACCGTCTTGCACCATCGGAGCACTGCACCAGGGTCCAGGAGGGTCATGTTGTGGGTGCGCGGCTTCCCCCCGGCCGTCTGCGAGAGCTGCAGGGCAGCTGACTGCATGAAGCTCCCCCATGTGTCGCCAGAGGGCCGCCCGTAGTCGGTCCACATCACCGGGGGCGGGGGGGCCGGCCCTGGAGGCACCAGGTCATCGAACGCATTGCAGAGGTCCACGATGGCCGAAGTGAGGTACTTGCCGCGGCCGTCTGCCTGTGCGTAGCCGATCTCGCCGCCTCCCAGGGCCACCGCCACCGCGGTCTTTGTCAAGAGGTAGACGAGCAACTCCTCAATGTGCGGTGTCCTCTCGCGCTTCTGCGCCACAATGAGCCGCTGTCGCGTGTTGAGCTGGACGTCTGGTGGGGCGTTGAGGGCCTCGGTTGAGAGGTGCATCTCCAAGGCCAGTATCTGGGCCATGCCGGCCAGCTGGGCCAGGAGGATGGGCCGCAGGGGCCAGAGGACGCCCGCCCACTGCAGCGACAGCAGGAGGTCGAACTGGGACCACTGCGACTGCCACTGGAACCACACCATCCGCAGGGCCACGTCGGCGCACTCAGGGATGGACAGCAGCCGCACCACCACCTCCACCGCCAGGGCGTACACCCGCTGCTGGCTCTCGGCGACCGACAGCAGGTCGTCGGTGCTGATGGGCTCTGCGTCGGTGATGAGCGGTGGCGGGGGCGGGGGGACCTGCAGGATCTTCATGATGGCGTCCAGGCAGTTGCGGTCTAGGAAGGCCTGCGACAGCTCGAACCGCTTCTCCAGGGGGTTCACGCCCGCACTGTCGGACCGCCACTCGTCCACCTCCAGCCCCAGCACCCGGAAGGCCAGCCCCGCCCCAGCCACGCCACCTCTAATCGCCTTGTGCAGGTAGTCGGGCCCTATGCCGTCGAGCAAAAAGTGCAGCACCAGCTCGCGGATCGACGTGCGTGTGAGGCACGCAGGGGTGTCGCACTTGAGTGGCGTGGACCTGATGACCTCTGATGGGTCGTTCGGGGGCAGGGTCCAGAATGAGGGGAGGGGCAGGGTCGTGAGGTACCCGATGGACACGTACCGATGATCACGGCTGGAGAGGGACACCGCAGACGACCCCCTGGTGGCGGACTCGTGCAGCGCCCAGGTGGCGAGGTCGACGGCCTCGACGATGGCGTCCTCATCCTCGTTCCACTTGGCCTCGAGGGCGGCATGGAAGGGCAGCGACGTGAAGCTGCTCGTCGCAGACACATGGGGGTCGAACCGCTCGCCCTCCTCTATTGAGGCCACCTCAATGGCGAAGGTCTCCCTCATGCCCATGTCCCACTCGTGCGGCTGGCTGCCCTGCGGCAGACGGCTGGGTCGGCCGCCATAGGGGATCCCCGCCGCCGCGGCAGCGGCGCTCATGGGCTCGAACATGCTCTGGCCGATGGAGGGGTCGAGGAGACACTCCGTGGGCGGTAGGGCGCCGTAGTCCAGCCCCCGGTCGCTAGATGCGTCGGTGAGAATGGCCTGGAGGGTGGGGGTGAGCTTGGTGAGTAGCGAGGGCAGCTGCAGCAGGACCGTCGTGACGCCCTCGGTGTCGCGGAGGTGCATCTGGTGCAGCAGGTAGACCACCGACTTGCCCACGTTGGGCCGCACCATCCCCCGGCCGTCGTACAGCACATACTCCAACAGATAGGCCGCAAAGGGCGGGGGCGGGTTGAGCTGCTCCTGCAACCGCATCCCCGCATTCGGCTCTCCCCGCTGACTTGCCGCCATCTGGCCCCTCACGGCACGCGTGAAGACCGCCTCCCGCTCCAGCACTCCGTGGATGGGCCGCAGGCTCGTGGGGTCGCCGACCATGAGGTCCAGCTGGCTCTCGTTGACACCCAGACCGATGGGGATGGGCGGCAGCGGGCCCGCCGCTGCTCCAGGGTCGCCCTCTGCGGGGGCCGCGGCCACGTTGTATTTGTGGTGTGAAAAGAAGCGCTGGTAGAAGGCCAGGAAGAGTGTGTCCCGCTGGAAGGCCAGCCGCAGTATGTCCAGGCCGACAGCCACCGTCTGCTCCATGAACACCTGGTATGGCGCCGGCCTGCCCTCCCTCTCGGCCAACGCCAGGTACCCCGCCCCGTGCAGACACGTCAGTGAGAGGATCTGCCGGCACACCTCGCCGTCAGGTGTCAGCAGGGACCGCCACAGGTATATGACGGCCGCGTCGGCCTTCTGCGTGCTGCCGTCGACGAACGGCTCGCGAGTGATGGCGTTGAGCTGCTCGCTGTCCACCGGCGGCAGCGGGCCCCGCAGCACAAGTCGGAGGTACCTCATGCAGAGGGCGGCCAGGCTCCAGTACCTCACCGGCCGCTGGATGAGGGCGGGGCTGCTGAGCAAGCGGAGCAGGAATCGGTCGACGATGGTCCTGGTCAGCTGGAAGAGCTCCAATGAGTACCTCCGTCGGTAGCCGACGAGCATCAGCAGCGTGACCACAGCCGACATGACGGCCACGGCCAGGTGCCCGTTGTCCTCCTGCCGCTCGGCGGCCTCGGCCGCCTCCTGCACCAGTGCTGGCCAGTGGTTGATCAGGTGGTCGAACACCGAATACGCATTGACGGGGTTGGCCGCCACCGCGGGCAGCGCTTCGACACACACCGCCTTGAGATGCGCCAGGTGTCCGCCGTTGCCCCCGCCGCCGTCCGACGTCAGCCACAGGACACTGAGGATGGGCTCCCACGCGTCTTTGAAGCCGAAGGCCTGCATGGGGGCGGGCTTGGTGAGCACAGGGGGCGGCGGGGGGAGGGATATGAGCAGCCGTGTGCTCCACGCAGCGCCAATGAGTCGGAAGGTCGACAGCAGGGCCAGACGGGTGCCGAAAGGCAGGTCGCGGGGGTGGGGTGGGGCCGCCATCTGGTCCTGTTGATGCATCAATGGCATCATGGGATCGACGTAATGGCCATGGTGGTGACCAGTGGCGATGGCCTGCTGCTGCTGCTGGCCACATAGCTGCCGCCAGAGGTACTCGAGGATGAAGTCCAGGCGGAACCACAGCTGCTGCGCACTCAGTTTCTGCCCTGTTTGCTTTGCCGCGGCCTGGGGCCCTCTGCCGATGACCGTCGCCGCCAGATCCAGAATCTCCCCATGAAGCATAGGCAGACCGGGGGCTGTCTGCTGGTGCTGGTGCTGGTGGTGTTGCGCAGCGGCCCACCCATATTGGTCGTACAGTGGGGGCATATGGGGGTGGGGGTATTGCCTATGTCTGGTCGTCTCGTGTGGGTGTGGTGAGTGGGCCGGGGCGGCAGCAGCGGGGTCGGTGTGCGCCTCGGGCGGCATGTGGAAGGAGTCGATGGCGGCCAGCAGGACCTCGGCGAAAGCGGCGCACGCAGTGGGGTGAAGGCGGCATATCTTGTTGACGGTCTGCAGGAGGGAGATCTGCATGCTGTCGGGGGGCATCTGGCGGCTTCGCACCGCCGTGGTCTCGATGCGCTTGATGTCCGACCACTTGTACAGATGCAGCAGAATGGTCCTGGCACACAAGCAAACACATAGCGGGGGGGATCTTGTCGCTCTGTGTGTGTGTGTGTGTGTGTGCCCACTTGAAGAGCTCGCTGAATGTCAGGAGGGAAAGGTGAGAGCCGAAGTCGGTGCTGGGCACTGAATATGACAACACACACACACACACTCACACAGACGTATACCAGAGGCTAGGGCAGGGCTGTGTTGTGTAGCTAACGTACGTATGAGTTGGTCGCGAATGAAGTCGATAATCTGCCACGTAACCACACCACGGTGGAATCGGGCACGTTCTGCACCGCAAGAACAGAACAACACACCCCATGGTCATTCCACTGATACGTACGCCTCTGTGTGTGTGTGTGTCCCTGACCTTCCAGGTAGACCCCCACAACGACGAAGCTAACAAGGCGGCCGAGAGGGGTCTCTTCAGACCACACTAGCGCCTGACACACACCCCATGTGCACACACACACATTGAATCGGGCACTTACCGTTCCGCGTGTGCCCCTGATTCTCTGCATGAATGGTGTGTCCTGGTCCCTCTGCTGCGGCGCCCACGGCGCAGCCGATGGCTCGGGCGGCTGGAAACCGTGGAGAGAAGAATCGGTCTGGCCACACACACACACACACACGGAACCACTGTCGGAATTAGAATCCAAAGGAGCCTTCCTCAACTGACCTGCGGTGACGTCTGTGGTGAGGGCGCTGCAGCAGCAGCAGCAGCCTGGTTGGGGGGAGGGGTCTCATAAACCGGATGAGTGGGCTGGGCCTGACAACAGCAGAGAAGGGCGAAAAGTGTGAAAAGCGTGTTCAGCTAGATGGTTACCCTGTCTCTGTCCCATCGCTTGACATCGGGATGCAGCACAGCCAGCAGCATCACCGCCAGACGAACACTCAGCTACACTCACAGGTCAACCAGACCAGCCACACACAAACGATTTATTCTTCCCATCAAGTCAGTATTCTTCCCCTCCTCCCTCTCACCCACCCCGTTGTGTTGTATCCCGAATGCCTCGTCAAACTCCTGAGCTGTCGGCTCACCAGAAAACACCTGTAATGTAATGACACGCGGCCACACCCACCCGACAGACAGTCACGCCTTCTACGCGTGTCAGGGGTTGTGTGGTGTGGGGTGATGTGTTGTGGTGAATCACGCTGACATCGTCTTCCAGCCTCTCCACAGCCTGCGGCACCAGGCGGATAAGCATATTGACCTCAGCCTCAGTCGCGTGGATGTGGGAGAAGAAACCAAACAAGGCCGACGACAGCAGCCACACGAGCTTCTGCGCAAAGTAGCGGAAGTAGGGGCCGCTCTCAGCGTTGCCAGCACCTGAAAACCCAACACAAACTCATGTATTGATACAGCCATGCCATCCCTATATCGCCGCATGAGTGTCGGGCCCGCCGACCGGTAATGTCAGCGATCAGCGTCGATATGGCCTTGATAGTGTTTTTGACGAACTGGTGGCGAGCCAGGTCGAGGAAGAAGGCCGCAGCCAGCCGCTGAGGGCCGGGGACGACTCTGAGGTCCACTGCAAGCCCCTCTGCCGCCTCTCCTGTGTCCTCCGGCTCAGTCCCCAGCTGACCCCGGCCACTCACCGACAGACTCTGCACCCACACACAAGACAAGAGCCAGACACATCGACTCGCATGTGTGAGGTGGCGTGCGTCTGTCGGCCTGTCTGTCTGTCTGTCTACCCACCACCCACCTCGGCGAGATCTGCAAGGCACATGCCGATGAAGAGCCGCTCCCTGTAGTACATCTGCTCGCAGGCCAGCACCAGGTCGCTGCGGCACTCGGGCACCCTCACGGCCGCCTCGAGAAGGGCACAGCACTCGTGCTGGTGCAGCTGCAGCTTGGTCGACAGCCGGTGGATGACCTGCTGCAGCTGGCTGGCGTCGAAGCTCTGCAGCAGATCTCTGTGGTTGGTCTGGATGTGTGTGGCGAGGGCCTGTGGCGTGATGTTGTCGTCTGGCGGTAGGGACAGCCATGGGTTGCGGCAGTACTCCTTGTGCTCGAGCAGCGATGAGTAGGCGGCCGCCTCCGCCCTCTCGGGCGACTCGAGCGGAGCGCCCTGCAGCAGAGGGCCGAGGACCTCCGAGTGGAGATGCTCAAAGCGGCCACTCGCAAACATGCTCATCAGTCACGCAGCAACGTGGCTCAGCGGGAAGCGTATCAGCTCATGGTTCAGTTCAGTAAGCTGGCCGCTTCAGTAAGCTCATGTGTTTCAGGAAGATCCTCAAGATCTCGTCGTCGACGCGAGCTCGCAAAGTTGACATTCCGTGAAACCGCTCTCTCAAAGTTGGTTTCACGACACTGCTTAAACCCACATTCCCAGCACCCCTTGAAGAATTTTCTGATGGCGACAGCCCAGTTGGCCGCCGGCTTCACGGAGATTCTGGGCGCCGACGAGAAGGAGGAGGAGAAGCCCCACGAGCCGCCAGCTATTTTCATCACGGATGGCCATTACCGGACGTCGTCAGCAGCACAATCCCTGGCGTTTGCGAGAAGGCATGTCAGCGTCCACTCGGAGAATCCTGCTGAGGTCGAGGAGGATCTGGAACCCCCCATGGAGATCGATGTCCTTTCGCCCCCGTCGAGTCGCTCACCGCCGTCTCAGCAGCGGCAAGACGTCCTTGGCAATGGTGACGGCAGAATCAAGGTATGCAGACCATGGAAGAGACGCCGATCAGGACGTATGTGTTATGTTCCCTCTGTGCACGCAGCTGAAGCTCTTGAAGTCGCCTGTGTTGGTTGGGAGGTGGGAGACACAGACAGACAGACAATCAGACAGGCAAACCACTTACATCCCACTCATTGGCCTGTGCTTCCCATAGACTTCCGGAGAGGAGATCTGTGCTCGTGAGGTGCACAATGCCAGCAGGGAAAGAGAAGGAGCGTGGCATTCCGCCCGGTCCAAGGCCCAGGGCCCTGAAGAGCAGCAAGAAGCGCAAGAACGACAGGGAAGACGTCCCTGAGCCTCCTGTCTCACCTCTTCGACGCCAGATCGCCTTCCCTCAATCGCCCTTCGAGCGCATAACTGGCTGTCCGCTGCCCCGTCGCTGTCTCCCAGGAACCACAGCCGTGCCCGACATGTATTCGCGCGGCTTCGAAGGCCGACAAGGGAAGGGGCAGGCGCGGCATGGGGCCGCAAGGCCTGAGATATACGGCAAGCCTCGGATATCGAGGAAAAGGGAGATGCAGGAGGCGATGGCCCAGACAAAGCAGCAAAGAGGGTCGCGCAGCCGGCAGGAGACACGGAAGGTCCAGAAGATCAAGGCAGGTCTGAAGATGAGGCCAATGACCGCTGAGCTGGCTCAACTGGCCGTCTCCTTCAAACTCAGCATGCCTTCTTCCCATGACTCACAGCAATCAGGAATCTGGGCGCCTGAGAAGTCCGTTGCGCTGTCAGCATCATCGCCCGTCCTTGCCTACAAATCTTACTTTGCTGACGCGGTCAACTGGACGACTATCGGCTCTGTGTTCCCTCACTCATACAGAGTAGACTGGCGGGATACACTGGCCCCGACGTCCAAGCCACGGAGGCGGCCCCAGTCAGCGCCCCCTGTGCAGTGCCTCATCAGGCGAACACACAACCTGACTGTCGAATCGACGGCTGCCAAGAGAGACATGGCAAAAGGACGGCCCTGGACGGCCACACCACTCCCTCTTCCCGGTATACCCGAGACCCCTGCTCTGGAGGACATGCCGACGAGGCCAGCGCGATCGGGCAGTTTCGGAAAATTGGCTCCGAGACTGGATACGACTGTGGAAGAGCGGGGCGACCACATGCCCTCGTCGCCCCATCTCGAGCTGAGCAGATCGTCTTTGCCGGAAGCGGAACAGCCAAGCAAGGACTTCACCACCTCGCTAGGCCGTCAGGGCATGTTGGCCTTCAGACGCCTGCTAGCATCCACGCCATCGGAGAAGAAAGCAGCCCGAAGGCGCTCGTCGGCGCCATCATGTGTCGATGCTTCCAGCAGCGCTGTCGCGTCTGCCTCTGCCGTGACCGAGCGGTCACAGGCCGGCTGTCAAGTAGGTGACAGGCCACAGTCTGGCAGTGACAGAGAGAGGAAACGGCCTCGGTCAGCGAAGGGTGGTGAGGTGCTGACGTCTCCTACCAACAGCCTTCCCAGCCGGCCGCCGTCTCGAAGACAATCGGCACCGTCAGATCCCACACGACCAGCCGCACCACCAAGACGTCCGAAGGCGATCGTCGAGCCGACGTTGGAGACGAAGGAGAGGGGTCTTGACTTGGTGCGGGTGGCTATCGAGTATGAGAGTCCTACGTATGTCTCGTCGGGCGGCTATCGTGTCTCTGCTCCGAACGTGAACACGTTCTATCCCTTGCCGTGCCGCCGCTCGAGGCCCTGGCCACCTGTCGGGACTATCAGGGGCAACGAGGAATGGCTGACGAGCACCTTGATGCCCAACGTCAGAGCGCCTGAGATGGTGTCCCCACAGCAGTTGAAGCGGTCCTATTCCGCTGTTTTGATGCATGCAAAGAGGACTGCTGGGGAAACTGAACCACATGCCGCTGCTGTCCATGGAGAGCAACCCACTCGTCCCGCGTTGCAGATCCCCGTCACGCAGAGCGTTTGCGCTCCAGCAGAAGACGCGCTGAGTGATCGGGTCCTTCATGTCCATCGGCCAGTTGGGGAAGACGGTGCTTTGGCCTTCTCCCATGCAGAGAGCCTCGATGTTGGCTCTCGACCTCTCACGCCTTTCGGTATCTCGACGGCCGCGAAAGGGCCTGCCACCATGACAAGCAAGAAACCGCACACCGTCTGCAGTGCTGTTAAGACCGCCCCAGCTGCTGCTGGACCCAAGCCCCTGTACCGTCGCCCAGCAGCCGGGCCCTCTTCGCCCACCGGTAGATTCTCCACAAGCGGCAGCCTCCTCCGGCTGGCGGAGAGCGGTGTGGACATGTCTCGGAGAGCATCTGACTCACAGCCGACGGTCTTGGACAAGCTGCAGCCGATCGCACACACGATTGTGGAGAGGCATATACCGCAGCCAAGAGTGGAAGCGGCCATGAGTAGTGATTTGCCGACGTGGTCCGTGCATACAAGGCGAGCCACGCTGCAGGTGGTTAGCCGCCAGTATCCTCACGGTGCGCGCAAACAAACACCAAAAGAGACGTTCATTGATCATGGGATCATACTTCCTTGTGTCTCTGACCTGTCTGGCCGCATCCGCAGGTGTGAATGTATTGCCGACCTCGTTTTTCTATTCGAATTTCCGGCGGGCAAACAAGCGAGGAGACAAGCGACTGACCAGCTGACCTGCATTGTACTTTTGTGTCTGTACAGACGTGTGCGTACATGTGTGTATGCATCCATGTACGCGTGCAGACTGTTGCATTCACCGACTGAGATTCACCGTCAGACTTCATCATCATGTTTTCGGCCGTCTTTGTCGCAGTTGTGTTGCTCCTGAATTTCGGTGATGAGCAGGAGTCCATTGACCTGAAATTGCAACCGTCCCGCAAGTGGGCCCCGACCAAAAGCGACATGTCGCTGCTCGAGAGAGACATCACCGGCGAGCTCGACAGGCAAATCGGCAATCTCGTGGACGTGCAGGAGGCTCGACAGGCACTCAGAGCACAGTCGGCGGAGGCGTGGGCAACGCCATCCTACGCCTCCATGATGATGCAGCAGCAGCCTGGCTACATGGCCGGCACTACACTCTATCAGGCTGCAGTCGAGCAGTATCCAGGCAAGCAGAAGATTTTGTCTGTCTGTCTCACTGCCTGCCTCCCTGTCTGTCTGTCTCTCTGTCTCTCTGCGTCTCTGTCAGTCGTCTATCGTTTGCCGCGTGCAGGCAAGAGGAGTAAGGGCCCATTCGGCTTCATCAACCCAATCACAAACAAGCCTGACGTATGCATGAGCTCAGAAGAGACACAAACCACGAAGGGCAGACAGACAGACAGACAGGCACAAGTGCATTGCACACAGAGCGAGAGGCTGCATTTTTAGTTGTCAGATGGGTTTCGGCTCACTGAGCTTCCGCCAACTGCAGCCAGCGCAGCGAAACGACGCCCGATTCATGCAGATACGACAAGTAAGTGACACACACTCGTTGACACAACCAAACGCATCTTTTGTGTCTGTGAGTCAGGCGGCTGGTGTGTTGGGGCGTCTGCTCTCTGCCGCTGCCGCAGCCTCAAACAACAAGAAGACCAAGGAGAGGGAGACAAAAATGACAACAGGTGAACGGCCACATGATAACGAATGGACGCGTTCGTCCACGGTATGTGTCTCGGTGTGCGACAGCAACTGACGCAGCGGCTGGGACAGCGATGGATGCACTCCAGGACGGGCCTGTCGACCCAACAAAGCTCGACAAGATGCTCTTCGGCCGCAATCACCAATTGTGAATGAACGATGGACAATTTGACAATCATCGATGAAACATAATTGCCTGATACCAATGAGCAAATAATGTCTCATGAATCCATTCACAAGGAGGGTGGCATAACAACCCAGAGAGGACAGCACAATATGACCACACACATTCCCCATTCGTCACATGCATTCCCATCGTCGATCTCACACGCATGCAGAAAGCTCATGAGGTGAATGAGGATTTTTGGGGATGTATGCGTGTGAGATGGATGGGAAATGCGGTGGTGGCGCCCCATTTCCTTTCGTCCCTGTAACGAGGTGAAAAGAAAGGGCCATCTACGCCCCCTAACCCTCTCACGCACGTGAAACGACCTTTTGCACACGGAAGAACCACAGCTGCCTTCATTGGTCAAACAATACAACACAACACATAACGCACCCATTGTTCGTCCATCCATCCATCCATCCATGTACACGCGCATCATCTGATCAGCGGCCAGTCCTCCCCCTGTGTCAGCCGCCGCAGTCCATCATTGGACAGGCCACATGTGTTGCTCCCTCGCCGAGGTATCTGCCTGGCCCGCTCCACTCTCGTCACTTTGTAGCCAGCATCCCGCAGCAAATCTAACACGCTATCCGACTCGGCCAGGAAGTGACCCTGACAGGCAGAAGAAAGGAAAGCACACGTGTCTGTGACTCTGTGACTTGTGTGCGCCTGTTTTCTGACATACCACGCCGAAGGCAAAGACGAAGAGGGGACGGCAGGGTGAGTCGGCTTTGGTGGGGTCGTCGCTCCTGGCGTGTTGCAAGATGTGCCGCATCCGCCTTATCCAAAGCTGGTTCCTCTCCGCAAGCAATTTCTTCTTGAACAGGGTACCCACTTCTCCCTGGCTGCCCTCCAGCGCCTCCAACTCGGCGACGAGACCCTCATCGAAATAGTCTGTGTAAACTGATTCTCCGCTGGATGGCAGCCGCCGCACCAAATCGATCTCTGTCACGTCCATGCCTTCGTCCGACACCAGCTTGCCGAGGAGCTGCTCGTCGCCGCTCTTCCACGCATGGACCAGGGGCGAGTTTGGCGAGGCCATCATGGGCGGCGGCTTGTCCTCCCAGTGCTTCGTATAGACTTCGAGCATCGTCAGTGTCGCGTTCAGAAAGTGCATCTGCTCGGCAAAGGAGATGTCTGTGTCGTTGAACACCAGATCCATGACCTCCGACACCGTCTCAATCCCTCCCACACCCACACCCTCAGACTGTCTGCCGAGCGACGCCACGTACCCATCGACCGTAAGACCCCCCGAGGCCATGAGCTCTTCCGAAAAGTCTTCAAATTCCAGCAGCAATGACAGAGATGCGGTGGCAAAAAGGGGAGGCATCATCTCAACGGTCATCGCCCAATGCACCGGCAGCGCCATCATCGAGAAGGGCGAGCTGAAACGCTGGAGATAGCCATAGAAGGCGTTGAGCTTCTCCTGCACGTCGGGGTACTCCTTCAAGTGGTGCTTGAGCGTGTTGTTGAGCGGCACCGACGGCAGCTCCTTGTTTGTCACGTTGACCTCCAGTAGAAAGGCATCAGGGTGAGCCCTCTGGACTAATGTGGACACGAGAGAAAGGGACGGGCCCTCCAGCAGCCGATAAGGGAGATGGATAGTGCCCACCAGGTAAGCAGCAACCTCACCCCGTTGAGTGTCTTCCACCTGCACTCATCCATCCATCCCACAGGCAGCAGCATCCATGTAGTGTCATCGAGCGTCTGCAACCCACCCAACTCACCTTCCATATGAATGGCTTTGCATCGCCCTGCAAGCGGCGCTGACCTGAGGGCCTTCTCAGCAAGCCGTCAGCAGTTGCGAGGACAGAGCAGAGCGAGCAGAGGACGATGGCCACTATGCAGCGCCGCACAGTCTGCGTCACGAATCCCGTCACCATCTTGAGCAAAGATCTTCTAAGGAAACCAGGTAGAGCCAACACATGACCATGTGAGGGGATGAGTGGATCAGTCTGAGTCAAATGCGCCATGCCTGGACAGATTCGAAGACACGTTCAGTGCTGTGTGAGGCCGCGGGATGAGTAGATCGCGAGCTCACACGCGAGCTCGCACGAGAAACACGCGGATCGCAAGGCAGTGCCACGTGGACGACAATCGTCGATGCCGGTGAGTGAGTCAGTAAACACGTTCTCACGAGAAACAGACTCGAGAATGGCCAGGAAGTGATTGAATGACTGGGTAGATCAGAGTGTTTGATGATAAATGTGTTTTGTGCACGCAGCTGTGTGCTTTGGCCAGTGTCATTCACACACACAGACGTAAAGAGACAGACAGTGAGTCTCTGATTTGTCCCTCACTCTTAACTAATGTACACAAGCAGTCCGCACAACATGGGCAGAGCCGTCTGTCTTGCAGCTGGTGTGTTTATCTACTCCCCGCCCGAGTTCGAGTCGCTGGAAGATGATGACGAAAAGTCATCCTGGCTGAAGCCATAGTGCTGCCACACCGCCCGACGCACACACGCCGGTAACTGACGGGCGGCGCGGACGGCCTCATCTGTTCACGATACGCACACAGACAGACAGGCTCACGTGTTTGTGTGCTGCTTGGATGTGACCTGGGTGTGTCTCCACTGCCTGGCGGCACCATTTACAGGTTGCTCGGATCGCCTCACCCTGGTCCATCCGCCACATGCACAACAGAACAGAATCATGACAGCTACTCCATCGATGCAGCCGCTCGGCGTACCACTGGTGTGAGCGTAAAGCCCGTGTCAAGCGCCTTCATGGCTGCCGTCACCTTGGACACATCGAGGGGCTGCAACCGCTCGACAGACGGCAGCAGACAGGTGTAGCCGGTGTCATTCTCATTGTCGATGACTCGGAATCGGGGCGATGTGTCTTTGTCCGTGCAGCCGGCCTGGAACCGAACAATGAAGACACACACAGCTTGATGCATCATATGTGTGGGCGGGCGGCATTTCGCCTGCTCACCACTTGCGTGAGGAATTCTCTGATGTCCATTGCCTCTTCGCAGGCCTAATGAATGGGACACGAACACATACAGAAAGGCACACAGCCGGCCATGTGTCAGTGCATCAATACGACTGACCACATTGTACGTCTCTAAGGCCGCTTGGCCCGATGGCGGCTGCATCAATCGAGGCCGCTTCGCTGCGGGCTGGGAGGGCTCATGCGAGGGCCGGATTGCATCATTGATGAGCGCCACGATCACGCGGACCACATCATGGCTGCAACAGAGAGCGGCATGAGCACAATGAGTACGTCTGAACATTGTGTGGCACACACCTGTATGTAATGGACAGCCTCTGCTGCTTGTAGTGCTCGGGCTGATACATAGATGCCACACATCGATGAGTGTAGCCACAGGGGGACCGGTCGGTCAGACGTTCTCTATCCCTCCTTGCCTCTCGTGCACAGACAGCATCACCAGACCAGGTCTATCGGCTCAGTGTGGCTGCACCGCACCCAGAACCAATAGGCCCAGAAGCGATATGTGTTGTCATATGGACCTGCACACAGCAGACGGCAACATACACACGTGCATTGTGCGCGTGTATATGTGTACGTTGTCTTGAAACTTGCATACCGATGACGTCAGAGAGTCTCAGTGCAACTATTCGTGGCGGCGAATGTGGGCTCCCGTCTGCTCGCCCGCCACGCCCATCGCACAGCCATCTCGACAGCCACTCCTCGCACGCCAGTTTCCTCTGATGAACACACGGAAAATCTCTGCGTGGACGCGTGGATCGCTGGGTTTGTATATTGGTTGCCTCACATGTCCATATCTGTCCTTTCTGTTTAGTCGGGCCGCCTCCACCTCATCGACTGGCCGGACAGCATCATCCTCACACACATGAGACCGACCAGACCACCTGCACAGCCACATCCATGCCTTGGCGCATTACAACCGACGCAAACGCATGTGGTGAGAGGTGGGGAGGTGTGTCTTGACTGACCGCTGTGTATCACACACCTCATACACAGAGTCGCTGGAGATGAACACATACAGCTGGAAGGATCCCTCCAGCGCCCGCAGGGAACAGTCGATGTCAAGCGGACTGAAAGCGGAGAAGTCTACTACTGAATGACACCAGCCAGCAACAGCAGCAACACGTCTACGGCTGTGCATGTGTGTAGTGTTGATATGAACCCACCGGCAGTCCACTTCCATTTTGCTCCGTTTGTCTGTCGCTTCTTTGCAGTGAGGTCGATGAGGCTCTGACGGAACTCATCCCGCCTGCAGCGGTCGGCCTTTACACGCGGCACACAGCCTCCAAAGGGATCTGCACACAACACACGAACAGACCGTCAAGCGTCAATTCCTCATTCCTTTCATCTGATTCATCCATGCCGCCCGCACCGTCAGTGCCGAAGTACTTATTGCCTCTGTTGACCATCACAATGTCATGCGCGTCATCCCTCTGCACCAAACACTCTGCACACAAACAACACAGAAGGAATCAATCAAACAGGCGGATCTTGGCTGTTTGAGTCACATCACCACCTAGGAGGCCTCTTCCGACGAAGCTCGTGCCGCCGAGGACCAGCACCGACGCCATCGAATCACACACCGGACTCCCGCCGGATGGAGCTCGCATTTCACGAGCCGATGGCGTTGCTATATATGATGGTGCCTGCCCATCATCTGGCTATCGTCGATGTCGTAGACGAATCTTCTGCTTTGCTTCACGACAATTGATTCACAGTGAGTGACAGCGTCTGGGAGGCGATGGCTCATCCTGCACCTTTTGTGTCCACGTGGTGTCCGTGTTGGCTTTGACTGATGCAGATCGATAGCCGCCTGAGCGCTCATGTCCACGGACGCCAACGCCGAGGCGCTTTCCCCCGACAGCCCGACGGCAGACAGCAACAGCCCCGACAATAGAGGAGATGCCAGCCAGCAGGAGCAACCACAGCAGCGGCATGTGTGTTTGAGTGCCAACCCGGTAGAGGAGGGATTTGGTGCAGCTGGACGGTCCGGCGATGAGTCGAACGGGAGCGGCCCTGATGACCGCACAGAGAGTGCGTCGTCTGCCCCGCTACCGGCATCTCCCCACGCAGAGCGCACCGCTACGACTGACAGCAACAAAGCTACCTCTCGGCAGCTCGCGTCCGCACCCCCCATCGCAATCCAGCGTCCGCCGACCCCGACTGAGGCCATCGACATACACCAGAGTCAGCAGCAGCCGAAGCCAGCCGGCCAGCGGGATCAGTCCACGCTCATTCCCATCCCGTCACCAGCAGCCGACACATCAGTTATGGGCAGCGTCCCCATGCAGCAGCAGGGAGGGGGCTCGGCACTGATAAGAGGTGCGGGGCACGGCAGTGGGTCCGGAGAGGAAAACACCACTGTGGACGCCACATCGGTTCGGACAGACATGCACAGACAGACAGACAGACAGACAGACAGACACGATGGAGGTGCATGCCCACATGTGTGCATATGTGTGAGATGTGTGGCTGTGATTGTCGGGACGGCAGCCGTCAGCACTCCACTGCTTTCGACATCTTCCGATGCACCCAGCAGCAGCAGGCCGTCGTCGACCCCACCAGCTCCATGATCGACCCATCGCCAGTCGCCGCAGCAGCTGCATCAGGGGATCAGCAAACAGCGGGTCCCTCTCGCCCGTCCCCTCCCTCCACCCCCTCCCCCATCACACTCGACCAGCAACACACGGCCAACACGCGGAAGGGCCAAACGTCGGCCTCTGATGCTGTTGCCATTATGTCCCTCGCTGCTGATGCTCTGCTGGCTGGTGACATCGGCCCCTTCGTTGAGCAAGTGGAAGAGCTCAATGAGACGCCGCTCTTGCCGGATGATGGCCCAGTTGTCGAGGGACTCGTACGGTATTTGGCCAAGAAGGACAGAGCGCATCGACAGCAGGGTCGGGGAGGCCTCGCCGGCTGTATTGCTGCAATTTTCAATGACAGCAGCAACCCATCACATCAGGCTGCGGCGACGTACTTCCTCAATCGGCTTTGTCAAGCTGGGTATCCGTTTGGCGTGGAGTGGCTGCTGCTGTTTGGTGTCTTGGTGGAGGAAACGGTGAAGAGGCTGACACTATCGGTCCAAGAATTCATGACAGCTGCCTCCGTGTTTCTCAGCGGGAGCATTCCAGGTGATCATGCGGTGAATCGGAAAGGTGGCTGTCATGTCTCCACATATCTGTGTGCCTTTGGTGCATCGCTCAGTGACGGCTGAGGCGCTGGGGGCGTTTCAGCAGCACATGTGCTGCCACATCGACACTCTCGTCGAAACACTGGCCACCAGCAGTCTGGGGATCGTGTGGAGGGCTTACGAGCTGATAGGCATCATCTTCTTACACACCCGCCGCGGCTTCCCCTCTGAGCTAGGTGTGGGACACCTGGATGCCGAGAGAGCTCGTTGGTTCTCAAATTAGTACTGCGTGTGTGGGTGTGTGGATGCAGGTGTGTTGGCGTCCATGTGCCGTAGTGTGTCAGCGAGCCCCGCTGCTCTGGGCAAGATGGCCGCAGTGCGGAAGGACCACGCCGCCTGTGAGTGGCCGGACTGGATGGTCGTGCTCTGTCTAAACGTGCCAGCGGCAATGGCTGGTGAGTAATGGTGCGTGGTCCATGCCACTTATTGATGTCTTGTGTGCGTACGTGGGCGCTCAGAATGTGGCTACTGCGAGCGTGTTGCGCAGGCGGGCTTCCTCTCGGCGGCTATGACCATCCTGCAGAGCAACAGACTGACCAAGGATGGCCGCCACGGACGAGCTGTCGTGACGGCTTCGGTTCATCTGCTCAATCTCATAGTTGCTCGTAACTCGGTCAGTCAGAGTGGATGCGACGCGCGTGTATGAGCACTCGGCACTCCTGTTTTCACTTAACTTCAGTATGCTTCGTGCGAGGGCCTGTCCCACACACGCATCTGCTACCTGTGTGTCAGCAGCCAGCCAAGTGACACACACATCCCTTGAGTCCTTACTCTCTGTCTGTCATTCAGATCTCTTTGCCCGAGTGGCGTTGTCGATGAGTTTGTCGGCGCGGCACACCCCCAGCAGCCGCACCGCCCGCAGGTGTCCGAGGTTATGTGCTCTCTGCTGTCGACGGTTGCGACGAGTGACGCTGCATACGTCGCATCCATCACTTGCGGGGGCCCCATCGGCATGGCAATTGGCGTCCTGGACAGCCTCGCCAGGTGCGTCTGTCCTTCATGTCTTGAGTGCACCGAGTGAATTGTCTTCATATGTGCAGATTCTGTGATCGGCAGCTGATGAGCGGCAAGGCCAAAGACAACCCGATTGTCGAACGTGTTCTGCAGGTCAGTGAGGGCAAAGGATGACCGAATCGGCGGTCACCTGTGTGTGTCTGTTGCTGTGTGTTACGCCCCCCTTCATGTGCAGGTGGACCTCTCTGCCCTGTCCGGGCCCCCCACGGCGGGGTCACAAAACAGCCTCATACAGGAGGTGAATGAAGTGCCAACAACACGCAGGCCCACAGGTATGTGCACCTGTGCACCTATGGCTGCAGATTTTGGATCTCTTAGCCAAGTTTCGCCGCCGCAAGGTCTGAGGGTACCCCACGTAGACCGATCGATCGCTGCTCGCCACTGTGTGTGTGTGTGTGTGTGTGTGTGTGTTCCGTGTAGGAGGCGATCGATCGGTGGGTCTCATCGCAGCACGACCCCCACAGAGAGGCTGCACGACGGCAGAACAAGCAGGTGGGGACAGAGAGAGCGACCATGTGTGACCGACCCCTCAATGTGCTGTGTGTCTGTCAGAATCGGCTGGTGCGGTGTCTGTCGGACAAGAGAGTCCTCCACACCATCTACCAGCTTGTTGGGCCGTCGCATTTCGCTGTCGCACAAGTCGCTATGCTCGCGCTCTCATGTCGAAGTCTGCTAGACGCGTAAACAGTCATTCACACACATACAGACGCACCTTTACTCCATGGCCACTTCATGCTGCCTGGGTTTAGGCTGTGTCCCGTCCGTTCGACTGACCGCATCTCACCGTATGCCAATCGCGAGCTGCTGGCGCCATTTGCATCGATCTCAGTGAGCAAGCAAAATCGGCTGGTGGCGGCATTGGCGAGGTATGTTGGTGGGAAGAGATGATGGACAGCAATTCACTTGTGTTCACGGCTTCATTCTTGCCATCAGGTATTCACCCGACATGATGTTGACATTGTCGATCCACTGGGAGTGCTCACCGACCGCCGATGACATCAGCGACCTCATCGGCTTCCTCCAGAGGGCCGACAGACTCATGACGCTCAGACTGATGTGTAAGCCGACCATAAGAGAACGCGCACGTTGTCGCTGATTGTCAAGGTATGTGTGCCGCTCAGTTATGGATTTGACTCAGGTGCCTGATGACGAGTGCGCCCAACTTGCCGACGCCATCGGCCGCCTGCCCTCACTTGCCACTCTCCACCTGGAAGAGGAAGACCTGAGCTGTGCCTTCGCCGGCCGGTTGAGTGCCGTGCTCAAGGCCCGGCCAGAAGGAGACGGCAAGGGCGGCAGCAGCAGTGAGACTGTCTCCCCACCACCGTCATCGTCACGTGGCGTCACGCGCGCCGCCAGCACATCGTCCGCTGTCGTGCCGGCAGACTCAGCGGAGGACAGCCAGGGGACGACCGAGGCGGGGTAGACGGCCGACACGGGGGACGACAAGGAAGAAAGGCCCCTCACGGCACTCAGGTATAGGCGCAGGACAGGGAATGAGACAACGGAGCATTCACTGAGGCCGTTGGGTGTACAGGAGGATGACAATCTCTTTCTGTCGAGTGTCGTTCAATTCTTGTCTAAACTTGCTCGAGGTGCGTCGAAAAAACGAGGAGATTCCATCTTGCTGATTAGGGCCTGTGTGTGTCGTATCACCTACAGGGCCTCTGTGGTAGGTCTTTCGAGTTTCTGAGTCTGTACAATATCACGTTGACCAAGTCTGAGGGCGAAACTGATCGATACGACCAACTGCAGGTCTGGAAAGCACTGGCCACACTCAGACAGCCTCGATGACACCCTTCTCTGTTGGCATATCCCTTGTCCACAGAGAGTGATGGGGCGACTCTTCGGAACCATTGTGTGCATGGAGTTCCTTCTATCGTTTCGTTCCGCTGGCGAGTTGTCGCTGCCCGTCGTTGAGGAAATAGTCATGTCGGCCGCGACGGCTGGCCTTAAGGCCAACCCAAATCGACGCACTCTCAAGTACGCCACATACACCTGGAATGTGAGTATGTATGTAGCTGACCGTGTCCCTTCAGGTTCCTGGATCTGCCTGCCACCGCAAACAGCGTTGAGCCCTTCCTCCAATTGGCATTGAAGGACCTCACACTATCGTACCTCTCTCTTTCATGTACGTGAAGCCACCAAGCAAATGTCGCGTACATGATGCTGTTTCATATGTGTCGATTCGGCAGCATCTGAGCCGCTGGGCGATCTCATCAGCCGGCATTTCCTGTCGAGTGGCGACTTTGCGTCATTGGTGCATGGGGCCGTCGCCAGGGCCGATGCTGAGCGTGAGAGTGCCCTGCAAGCCGAACGTGGTGTCAAGGAGCGTCAGTGGGCGGCCGATGATGCCCGCCTGCCGCCGGCGGCTGACGCAGCTGAGGAGGACCGACGGAGGGCGGCAGGGGGAAGGAGGGAGGAGGGGCTGCGGGCCAAGGAGGAGGAGGCCAGAAGCAAATCGCCATTCGTGCTGGACCTCAGAGGTACGTGAATGTGCAGACAGAGCCAGGGGGATATCGGTGCATTTATGTTGTGTTGGTCTGCCTGTGACTCCCGTTCAGACGTTCCTCTTGCCGGTGCCAGCAGCGATGCCTATGACGTGCCGGCTATGTTTCAGGTGGTCGAGGACATGAACAAGCAATACAACTTCCGGCGTTCGGTGATCGACACATGTAAGGAGCCGAAGCCACCTTTCCCCTCAACTCCTCTGTGTGTGTCTTCCTCTCTCTCAATGTCTGTCAGCCCTGGATTCCGTCGGTTGGCAGCTGTCGCCTATCCACCGGCGCCTGTGTCGTGCCCTTGTGCAGTCCTATGACCCAATCAGCCCTCTCGTGTGGGCGGAGACAGTCGCCAGCAAGGGGACTTCATTGATGCTGCTGTATTTTGAAAGCCTATCACACAAGAATCCCGGCGCCGACTCAGAACATGGCTTCCAGAACCCCTTCTCTGTGACGGCGGCTGACCTGGCCATTTACCGCGGCTGCGTGAGGGAGCTCGAGGCTCTCAAAGACGACCCTGCCATCAACAACATCACTCAAGAGGATGTCGACAGTGCCAACACCGCCCTCACTGGTAAGTGAGCTGAGAAGGGGGAAATGGCACCATCACACGCATGTGTCATCTCCTTCGTTGTGTTGTGGTTAGAGACCGTCAGGCTGGGCCAGGAGCAGGGGACTGTGCATCTAGCGGTACACGAGATCACACGCTGCGGATCGTCTGTTGCCGACTACTGTGCGCTTATCATTCAGGCTTTGTTTGAGAAGCAGAAGCGGCTGCAGGTGATCGAGAACCTGCTGGCGACGCTGCAGACCAAGCTCAGCGACCTCAAGGGGCAGAGGGACAAGGCCGCTCTGTCCAAGGCCGGCAAGAAGGGCATCGACACGAACAGCCTTGACAGCAGGATCGCCAGCCTCACCGAGCAAATCAACAAGAACACCGCGGCAAGGGCAGAAGTGGTCAGAGAGATCGGTACGAAGTGCAGCATCAGACGCAGACACAAATCTTACATTCTACTCCGTCTTTGGACCAGACATGCTTCAGAGGATGGTTACCGGCGAGCGTCCTGCGGTCGAGGACCAGCCCAAAAGCCGCTGTGACGTCGTGCGCGAGGAGCTGCGTGAGAAGCTTGAGAGAAGGAAGAAGGAGAAGGCCAAGCAGGAGCGGCGCACGAAGCGCCAAGCCGACAAGACAACCGACGAGGCCGTCAGTTCCGTCATGGCGGCCAAGGAGGTGACGGCGCGCAGGAACGAGAAGGACCTTCTCCGGGAAATCGGCGAGCAGGTGTCCGACGAGAGTGAGGACCAGCAGCGGCAGGGCGAAGGTGGGCAGCAGGTGGGCGAGGGCGGCAAGAAGGCCAAGAAGAAAAAACGACCCAAGACCAAAAGACCCCCGGCCGCCTCTGCTATATCGTCTGGCCCTCTCCCATCCGCCGCCGCAGCGCCATCCGTTGCGGCAGACGGCAGCCCATCTGTGCAGGAGGGAGAGGGAGAGGCGGATGACGGCCTCGAGCTCGTGGACAGCGAGCCGTCGAGCAGCCATCTGTATGGCCCAGCTGTCGCGTCCGGTGGTGCTGCGGCCACGAGTGCTGCCCAGGAGTCACTGCAGCATCTGTCGATGGCTCCCTCCATGCACCCGCTGCCCGACGTCGGGTATTACTCTGACGACCTGCTGTCGCTTGATGCTGTGAGTGAGGATGGTGGCGGTGGTGATGGCCTGGCTGGCCAGGGTGCTGGGGCGACGGGAGGCGCGGCGGGGCATCGTGACAATGGGCGTGTGGGTGGTGGAGAGGAGACCGAGGCGATGCGGGCCAGGTGAGGCGATTCATGGGGTCTGGTTACACAGTGACGGTATGTCTGGTCTTGTCAGGGTTGCTGAGCTCGAGGCTGAGTTGATGCGCAGAGACCGGCAAAGCGAGGCGGCGAGGTGAGACAAGAAGAACGAAGTGGGGAGGGACTCACCACCGTGGTTGTGGTGTCGGACTATAGGCGTGAGTCGATGGAGAGGGAGGCCGCGTTTCAGCAACAGCTTCAGGCTGCCCAGCAGGAGACTCATGCGGCTCGTCAGGAGATCGAGCGGTACACATGCATCGGTGCATCCATCCAACTGACTGTTCCCTCCTTTGTTGCTGTCTGCAGGTTGCGTGAGGCTCAGTTGGCCGGCGAGCAGACCGTCGCTGACACTCTGGCGGCCAACGAGCGGCTCCGGGCCGATATGCGGCAAGCCAATGCGGATCGACAGCAGCTCAGCCGACAGCACCAGCGGCTCACCAGGTATCTACACACACAGGGCCTACGCAGCGCCTCACCGTCTGTGTGTCCGTGTGTTCAGTGACATCGATCGCGAGAGGTCTCTTCGTGAGCAGCAGGCGGCCGAGATGGGGCAGCTGCAACATCACCTCGACACACACAAGAGGTCAGCCAAACAGCACTGACGCCCACAACAAAATGAACGGGACTCACCCCGTGTGTGACGTTTGTCTATCATTACGTATGTGTCAGGGCTGCTGCTGAGAGGGAGGCGTCGCTCACTCAGCAGAACACATCCCAGGCACAGGAGATCGCCAGGTAATTAACCGACAGGCCGCCAACGTACCTCGTCACGCATCTCTCTCCCTTTGTGTCTGTCGCTCAATCAGTCTCACCGAGGGCAACCGGGCGCTGCAGGCCGACATTGATGAGCTACGCAGCAACCAGATCGACAGGTCAGTACCCAATCACACAGAGGCGGGCAACACCAGTGCATGCCCTTTGATGTGATGTCTGTCATTCAGGTTGACCGAGAGATCTGGCCAACTGACCACTGCTGATGAGTTCAGCGGCTTTGCTATGCAGCTGGCGGACCGCCAGACGGCCCTCACCACCACAGAGCTGCCCCAGCTGCATTCACTCGAGCGGCGGGCTCAGCAGGCCGCCCAGCAGAAGATGCAGGCCGAGTTGCGCCAGCAGATGCGGCAGGAGATGCAGCAGAGCAACCAGAGGACACGAGAGGAGGCCACCGACTGCCAAGTCTGCCAGGAGAGGGAGCGGTCGGTGGTGCTGCGGCCGTGCAACCACTTCTGCATCTGCCTGCAATGCGCACAGACCATGCAGCCCCGCCAGTGCCCCCTGTGTCGACAGGCCTTCACCGGCTGGAGCCCCGCCATATTCTCGTGACAACAGATCGACCCACTGTGGGTGCTGGTGGTGGGGTGGGTGCTGGTGGTGGGGCTGTGGTGCGGTCGAATGCGTGTGTCGACGGCCGGCATGCTATCATGGCAGACAGACAGCGGGGGGAGGGGGCCCAGTGGTTGATTTAAGACTTTTGTTGCTCTGTGTCCGTGTCCCCCAGAGGCAGCCTTTATGGCTTTTTGACCCCTCATTGCATTGTGTACGTTTCCTTCTTTATGTTGACTAGCTGCCTCGCTGTCTGAGTGCGTGTGCCACCGACCGACGCTATCATGGCAGAGTTGTGTTGTGATGTGTGTGTGTTCATGGAGGAGAGCTTTCATGGCCTTCTTTAACCACACCTCAGTCACCGTCTTGTTTTGCATTCCATTGCATGGGTCTCGCTCCTTGCTTTATGTGTATATCCATCGCTGCCTCGCTGCCTAGGTCAAAGGAGGGATATGTCGGGTGCTGATGTGTACATACATACATACCTGTATAGATACTCAGTCATCCATTCATCCACCCGACTCCTTGGGGGTTGCCTGGCTTCGGTGCCTGGTGCGTCTGAATGCATGTGAGCAGAGACCTCTACAGTTACCAACCCAGCCACGCACCAATCCATCAGAGTGTCTTGACAGTCATATCAACACGTCCCAGACAGTAGTTCTCCATCACGGCAGCAGCACACGGCACCAACACAGAGATGGCAAAGGCGGCCAGCATGGCGAGCGGCCGGTCAGAGATCAATACCGCCAGAGGGAGGGGCAGGTACGCTGACGACCGCGCCCCGAACATGCATACCACCACACCTACCGGCACACACACAACATACGAACAGAATGTGTTTGTGAATGGTTTCTGTGTTGACATATGGGAATGCACCTGAGAGGGCGGCCGCGAGCCCAGCGGCTGTGTTGCAGATGGTCGATCGCTCCATGAAGGGGTAGGCGCCCTCAATGAAGTCACCGAACAGGAAGTTGATAAACAGACCACGCCGAGACAAATGCACATCTGACATACACACACGCGGACACAGACACAGACACACGCATCACGCACACACATAGATCTAAGTGTGTCCGGGGTGGCTGTGCGGCTGACCTTCCTTTTGCCTCGGGAAGACGATGTGTGCGAGGCAGAGGCCAAGCGACACGCCCACAAGGACGCACTCGTCTATCGCACCAAGTGTGGCAGGGTCCCCCCGCTCCATCTCGACAATGATCAGCGGCAGAATGACGATGTGGTACATGCCCCTGCCCGACCCCCACCACACAAACCACCCCAGGGCAGCGCCCTTGATGCACCGAAGTAGCATCGACGAGAGGGGCCACGAGTGGAGGATGAAGCGGACAGATGACGCCAGTTGGCTGCAGATGGGAGAGAGGGCCAGCTCCACCAGACCACCTGCACACACAGACGGAGAGGGGAATGATATGAGCCAGGGGTTTTAGTGTCTTTGTATGATGTCACCTACCCGTGACAATGCCCGTCCCCCCTGCCGTGGTAATGCTTGCAGCAGTGGCAGGCACACCTGACGATACATACCAAAACATACACACACACACACACACACGGTCTGCTCATGTGCCATACCGTATCGACATGCGCAAGCGAGCACCGTTGGTGCGGCCATCCCCCCCAGCAAGCCCGCGATGAGCCCAGCGATGACGCCTCCCTGCCCGACGATGCAGCTGCCCGCCAACGCACCCACCAATACACTCGTCTCACCTGTGTGGGTGGACAGAAGCATCCATCAGTCTATCGCCAAACTGTGTCCATGGCTGGAGCATCCTACCAAGCTCAGACGTCTGTTGCGCTGCCACCGTGGCCACCACAGTCGGCAAACCACGGGAACACAACACCTGGACAGACACACACGCACACGCGTGTGCGAAGGCGTGTGTGGTGGGTGTGTTTCTTGTTTGTTGCAGACACACGCACAGGTAAGGTACCTGCATCCACATTGACGCAGTGGATTGACCGCTGCTATCGTACACGCGGGACAAAGCCCACTTGACCACCATCACACACACAAACACGGGCAGACAACCTGACACAGACAGACAAACAAAGAAAGGCACATGCAAATAAGGACATCAAGAGATGCCTAGCTTAGACCAAACCCCATCTGCTGACTGACCTCCAAGCACAGAGTGCATGGTGTGCAGCAGGTGCCGTATACCCAACACTGTCTGGCCACTGGTAGGCCAGTAGGGCACACGCAACTCACCAGCAACCGACGCTGCAAAACTACAGGCACACGCACAATGGTCAATGCCACGTTGTCGTGGGTATGTATGTGTGTGTGTACGAGATGGCCTTCGAAGCAGGTGTGGTGGCCACCGATCCCCCAGAGCTGCCCACCACCCGCGCCCCCATGCTGATGGCACGGCCTGCAGTGCACACCAGCAGACAAGCACACAAACACAAGGGTCAACGTGGCCATCGATCTGCGTCTTCATGTGGTCGTCACTTACCGATGAGGTCCCTCCCGTGCCCACGATTGGCAGGCGGACTGTTGGCAGCGATGCCGCGATGAGGGCCTCACGATTGACGCCGTCAGCATCGAATGAGAGAGCAATCAGACCAGACAGCCGCAGTGACGATGTGATGTTGTCACTGTCGCCATTGCCATTGCCGACGCCGCGAATGAGGGTGCCGATCTGCCTATCGACGTGACGAGCCACCCCATTGACCTCCTGCAAGGTGCCTGGACGAATCGACGCACAAAGCGGAGTGTCCATGTTGGCGTTGCTGCACATGTCGCAGCGTGTTGTCTGACCCCTCACAGTGGCGATGGGCGCCCTCCCTGGCCTCGAGGTGACATTGTCAGTCATCAGCTCTTTCTGTGCGTTGCTGAGGAGCGATGGCGGCCGAACAAATAGCGTGGCCGAAGCTTCTCTGCTGGCAACGTCCAGAGGCACTGCACAGCACACGCAGACACGGATGAGCAGGCAGGCAGGCAGGCAGATCTGTATGTGTGTCGTGCCAGCGTACACACCGCACCTTGTGTTGCAACGAACTGAATGACATCAAGCGTCATTTTGCAGGCGGCAAGCTGACCCTCTACCTCATCGAAGAAGAGCTCGGGAGAGGTGTGCCTAGGCACGCACGCAAAAGCAACACACACAACAGATGGAGATCCATCCATCGATAGAATGATCGAAGGCTGATGCGCACCCGAGGGTCGCTGCGCCTCCGCCACTGCTGCCTACGAGCGCAATTGAGGGCATCTTTCACGTCCAGTTTGCGAGCTAGAGCTCGCAAACGCTCAACGGCTATTGTACGTGGTGTGTTGTTTCCGACGAAGAGTCGACAAAGAGGGCATGTGTGCGTGAGTAATTAGGGTACCCTTCAGATGGTGGCCAAAGCGACCGGCCTCCTGAAGGCAGTTTTATCTCTCACCGCAATCTGGCCTTCATGCGTGGTGGATGCGCAGATCGGCAGGGGCGTGCTCCCACGTCGGCGGCGAGGCATCGTGACGTCCCCCCTCGGCCTCAGCCAGCAGTTCGCAGAGACCCTGGCCACCCTGCAGCACGCCAACACAGCCAACTTCGCCAACGGACCTGTCACGTCCTTCAATGGCCTGCCCCCTGCCAGTGTTGCTGCGGCGGCGGCGTCGACGTCCATATCATCGCTGCCGATGGTGGATGCGACCACAGTGGAGGACACTGTCGGGCAGCTGGTGAAGAATGACACGAGTGGATCGGCCGACAAAGAGGATGGCAGCAGCAACAAGGACGAGCAGAAGGGCAGCAGTGACGATGACGAAGGCAGAAGCGGCGGTCTCAAGCTGTGCGACCCTGTGTGTGGTGAGGGTGAGGTGTGTACGGTGTCCCACAGGGGCGGCAGCGACTTCCTGTCTAAACCGCAGTTCGAATGTCGATGTCTGGAGAGGGGGTACCGCACTGACGCCAGCGGCAAATGTGTCCCACTGGTGCAGTTGAGTGAGAAGAAACCACCAGCAGCGGCAGCAACAGCACCTGAGGAGAAGAATGATGAAGAGCCCAAGGCGGCTGACGATAAGGCCAAGGAGGCAGACGCAAGTGAGTGAGCAGGGAGAGGCTGACGTGGCTGATGCAGTACTATTTCTTGCTGCATGTGTTGGTTATCTATCCATATGCAGAGGATGCTGCAGCTGCCTCAGCGGCCGGAAACAGCGATGGCGATGCCGCTGCCAACAAGACGCTCCACGAAACCCTCGCGTCGAAGACGGTATGCACAATGCATCCGACACGCTCTCATCTCGTCTCATGTGTGTGGTCGATCTATCTATCAGGAGCTGAGCTCCTTCCTGCTCTTGCTAGAGACCGCCGGGCTTAAGGAGGTGCTGGACCGGCCCTCACCCAAGGTGACCATCCTGGCACCCTCCAACGACGCTATCAAGTCGCTCGGGCAGGGCGCACTCACCAGCATCGTCGGCGACACTCAAGTACTGTCCAGCCTCCTGGCTGCCCACATAATGGAGGGCGAGTACACGGCCGACGCCATAGCCGACCTCAAGACGCTGCCCACACTCGGTGGGTGGGAGGTGTCGGTGGAGCGAGAAGGGGGTCTGGTGCTCGGGGACTCGGCCACCATCCTGCAGCGGGACATCAAGGCGAGCAACGGCCTCATCCAGGTGCTGGATGCGGTCATCCTGCCGCCACCCAAGGGCCCTGACCTCAAGATGAAGAACAACACATCTAACACGACCACGACAGATACGACAGATACGACGGCAGACGGCGGCCCGAAGCAGATGGAGGACGGCGACGGCATCGTGTCTATCGCCACGGACCCGCTGCAGCCTGTGGATGACCTCGGAAGTGGTGCTGGTGCAGGTGCAGGTGCTGGTGCGGGTGCAGGGACGGCTGGGGAGTCTTCGACCCCCGACAACGAGCCTGTGACGATGTTGACGGAGGGCGAGGGAAATGACAATGACACATCGGTGGCAGCAGCAGCAGCAACAGCAGCAGCCGCACCAGAGCAGAAGGAGGACACCCCCCCGGTATCACCGTTCAATGGCACGCTGGCCGACTTCATCGAACAGGACAAGGTGATTGATTGGCCCAGTGGCGTGCAAACAGATTGTGTCTATATGTGTGTGGCTCTCCCTCCCTTATTTCCTCCCTCAGGATCTGTTCACCTTCAACAGTGCGATGGTCAAGACCATGACGCGTGCCGCCTTCGCCGACACCGAACACGGCCCATACACACTCTTCGCCCCTGTCGACAAGGCATTCGGGCGGCTCACCCAGCAGCAGCTACAGTTCCTCGGCGAAAGCCCCGACGCACTCACCAAAGTCAGTCAGTCAGCACACCTGCGGAAACACAACACACCCTCGTCCACCCACTCATGTGCGCATCTGTGTTGTGTTGTGTGTGGTGCAGCTGGTGGCGTACCACGTGGTGAGCGGGAAGCTGACATCTGCAGAGGTGACGGCAGCGAGCAGCAGGGACCTCCCATCGGTGCTGGGCGACACGGTGACCGTGAGCAGGACCCCTGGGGGCGAGTTGTTGGTCAACGATCGGGCCAAAGTGCTCAGGGCGGACGTCCCCGTGGCCAACGGGGCCGTCTTCTTCGTCGACAATGTGCTGCTTCCCGTCTCTGTGGACGAGGGAATGGCCACAGCGGCTGCCGAGGCTGAGAAGGCTAAGCAGGCTGCCAAGCCGCAACAACAGGCCACTGCGAACGGCACTGCTGCGTCTGGTGCGGCTGGTGCTGAGCTGCCGGCACAGAATGAGACGGAGGGTGCCAATCCGAGTGCAGATGCAATTCTCTCAGCCGCAGCAGCGGCGGCCTCTGACGCGCTTGGACCTGCGGCACCACGTTTCGCCGGCGAAGACATGCAGCAGAGTGGTGTGGACGACGCCATGGGTGCACTGGACATGGCTGGTGGTGGTGGTGGTGGGGGTGGAGATGAGGGTGACGACGGCATGGTGAGCATCGCTACCACGAGTGATGGCGGAGAGCCTGTGCCGTGGGAGGAAGGGCCGAATGGTGCGAGGAAACCCGGCGGATATGACAACAGCGTCGGCGACGTGCTCGCTTCAAACGAGGTCAGTGACAGGGAGGGAGGGAGGGAGAAATCTGCTGTGTTGGTTTGGTTCATGTGGGCGTGGCGTTGGTGTCTCGTTTCCTGTTGTCTGCAGGACTACTACACGTATTTGTCGGCTGTGCGTGCGGTGGGCCTCTTTGACAAGCTCGAAGCAGAAGAGGGTAAGTGCAATGGGTGCACAGACACGGACACATACAGACAGACAGACATGTGTATGTCTCATGCACTCACTGTCTGTCTGTCTGTCTGTCTACAGGCCCCTTCACGGTGTTTGTCCCGAGTAACGAGGCCTTCGCTTCCCTCGGGGGCGAACTCCTCGGACACCTCACCAAACAACCTGACATTCTCGAAGACGTAACCACAAACATACAACACACCCAACACACAGGCTTATAATAAGCCTCCCATGTGTGTGTGTGTGTGTTGAATGGCTGCAGCTGGTGCGCTACCACATCATGAACCGGCGCAGCTCCTACCAGGAGTTCATGGGCAGCTCACGCATCGAGTTCCCGGCCATGAATGGCGACTTCGTCTCCGTCAGCAAGGTCACCAACCACCAGACATTCTCCCTACTCCCGCAGCAGGAGGGCGCAAACGACGAGGTCAGACTGAACGGCGCCGCCCGAGTGACCATTCGGGACATCCCCGCCGACAACGGCGTTGTGCACGTCATCGACCTGGTGTTGGTGCCGGCGCGCATCCAGCGGGCCATTGAGACGGGCGAGATCGACCCGGAGTGGGTGACGCCTGCACCGGCCGATGACGAGATGGAGGACCTGGACATTCCTAACGCGGGAGCGCTCAAGTCGCTATCGGACACGCTCGCAAAGACACCGGTAGGCAATGGGAAGGGGGGACGACTGCACAGAGAGATTGAGTGTGCGTGTGTGTGTGTGGTAGATTATGCAAGCGATGTACGAGTTGATGGAGAAGGGCGGGCATGAGCAGCTGATAGAGGACAGCAAGAAGGGGCCCTTCACCGTCCTCGCACCCGCCAACACTGCCTTCGTCGGGCTGGGCTCGTCCGTCGAGTTGGAGATCGAGCAAAGACCCGGATTCAGAGAAACGGTCAGACACGAACACTGACATACACATAAGTAGAGGGGCTTCATTTACCTCTACCTCTCCCGCCCTCTGTGTGTGTGTTCAGCTGGTGAAATATCACATATTGGACGAGGCCGTGTACATCCAGAACATGGAGGTCGGTGTCCACGAGTACTGGACCATCAACAACCGCACCGTCACCTTTCAAAAGTTTGAAAACGGCGACGTCTGGATCAACGGCGACAAGGCCAAGGTCATTCGAGAGGACAGGTTCGCCAACAACGGCGTGGCGCACCTCATCAACTCGGTCCTCATGCCAACTCCCGTCAAGAAACGGCCAACCGAGGAGGGCGAGCCTACCGAACCACCTAACGGCGAGAGCGACGGCATGGGTTTCGACGCGATGGTCTCTGCTCAAGGCGCCGTGACCACCCCGCCGCCCATAGAGTCTCCCTTCCCAGGCCGTTCAGAGAGCGAGCAAGAGGTGCGGGCGATCATCAAGGGCGAGAGGAGTCTGTCGACGCTGGTGACGCTGCTCGAGGCGACTGGTGTGGGTGAGGAGATGGACAAGGGGGACGACTTCACGTTCTTCGCGCCCAGCAACGAGGCCTTCGAGAAGATGGGCACGCGCACGCTCACCAAGTTGCTTGCCAGCGGAGCGCTCAAAGAGGTGCTTGAGTACCACGTGATCCCACAACGACTCTTCTGGGAGGACCTCGCCGCCCCACCCAAACTAGCTACCCTCTCCGGCACCAACGACACCGCCGCCAATGACGCGTCATCACCATTACTATCACTGTCACCATCAGCAGGGGGACATGAGGGCGTCTCATCCCTTGAAGCAGCCAAGGCTGCCGCAGCTTCACTGAAGAGCGACCTCTCCGACGAGAAAGAGTACCCCACGTTGCTGGCCAGCCACGAGCTGATGATCAAGGCGGGCAGCGAGGCAGAGGGGCTTGTGGTTCGGGTGGGTAAGCAGAGGGGGCGGCTGATCGATGGCGACATTGACGGGAAGGACGGCGTGGTGCACATAGTGGACACGGTCATCCTGCCGCCGCACTTAGAGAAGGAGGGAGGGGGAGAGGCTGGTGAGGAGAGGGAGAGGCGAGAGCTGTTTGCACAGCAGAGGAGAGAGGGGAGAGACGAGGGCGTCTATGGTCATGGTGGTGTCGATGGTGAGCGGACCGATCTTGTCGATGTGGATGTGCGTGCTGCGGTGGATGGTGGTGTTGTGCTTGAGACAGATGAGGGGTGGATAGAGCTGCTCGACTGATCAGATCAGCCGAGCCACCAGAGTATGCGAACGTTTGTGTAGCTTACCTTGTATAGTGATTTCTTCTCCTCCGCTATCGCATACGTACGCTCTCTTTTTCCCCATCTGTCTGTCTGCCTGCTTGTCTGTCTGTCTGTCTGTCTGTCTGCCTTTCTGTGTACAAGCCAATCAACCACCAACGGTGTCGATCAGCGAGAGTGTGGATAGGTACATGTAGCCATAGGTACATGTATGTATTACATGGTAGATTATTGTGGCATGCAAGCATCATGGATCGGATCATCCGTTCTTTTTGCAGCCAGCCTCCTCCCTCCCAGCCACGCCACTTACATTGCATCGTCTCGGTCGGTCGGCCGGTCATCATTTGCTGCTTTGGTGTCTGCGGTGATGACAACTGTCAATAAGCCTGCTGTCTTCCTCTTGCAATGCCACATGTTTTTGTCACCCGTCCTCGAAAAAAGGCCGCACATCCTCGCCAGAGGGGAAACGATCTGACCCAAGCTCGCAACCTCACGCCTTTTTGCGTTTGCCTTTCTCCCCACACAGAACAGGTTCTCAAGCGTTGATGACGAGCCGTCGCGAAGCACACCTCAAGTAAACCACCACACACGGAATCCGACGCCAGATCTGTCAAACGATGCATGTGATGTGCGTCTGTGTATACGTCAGGGAGGCGCTGGGAGATGACCTGTACGCCCGTGTGAAGCGTTCGCGGCTGCTGGTGGTCGGTGCGGGCGGCATTGGCTGCGAGCTGCTCAAGAACCTGGTGCTGGCGGGATTCGACGACATCGATATCATCGACCTGGACACCATCGATGTGCACACGCCCACCACACTCACACAGATAGATGCACACCTACACACAGATGCACGTGTGTTTGTGTCGGTGTGTGTAGGTGTCGAATTTGAATCGTCAGTTTCTTTTCCGCAAGCACCATGTGGGCCAGCCCAAGTCAACCGTGGCCAAGGAGAGCGTGGCCTCTTTCAGCCCGCACACACGCATCCAGGCCCACCTCGGCAACATCATGGAACCCAGATTCGGTAACCACACACACCACACACACTGATGACACCCTCAGAGTGTGTGTGTGTGTGCAGCGTGTCGGTACTTCAGTCAGTTCGACGTGGTGTTGAATGCGCTCGACAACGCCAAGGCGCGCAGCTACGTCAACTCCATCTGCATCGCCACAGGTACGCACACACACACACACACAGCCGCACCCACCCTGTGTGCTGTGTGTGTTGTGTATGGGTGTGTGTCTATCTCTCTATCTGTCTATCCATCAGAACGTCCGTTGATAGAGAGCGGCACTACAGGCTTTAAGGGTCAGGTGCGCGTCATCGGGGGCGACGTCGAGTGCTACGAGTGCCAAGTCCAGACGAACACGGAACAGACCTTCGCCGTCTGCACAATCCGATCCACACCCGACAGACCGGTCACCCTCACTCACTCACTCACCATACACACTCAGCACCCACCTTGCTGCCCATGCAATTATGTTGCCGATTCTTCGGTATCTGTGCGTGTGTGTGTGTGTGTGTGTGTCTTCAGGAGCACTGTGTGCAATGGGCTAAGTACTTGTATGAGCTGATGTTCGGCGACCCGAACGACGACAACCTCCTGGCCGACCTCAAACACGAACTCAAGCAGGAGGAACACGTGGGCTGCCCAACATGAATGGCACACACTGAGCCGGGCAGGCAGAAATGTGTGTGTGTGTGTGTGTGTGTGTGACGGTGGTCAGTCTGACCACAACGGCAAGTTGGTGGCCGACAGGTTTGCCGAGAACATCTTCAACAAGCTCTTCAAGAAGTGAGTGTGGGCAGGACAATGAATGCATCACACACCTACGCGACGCTGCGGGCGGCACACATGTGTTATGTATTGCAGGGACATAGAGCAGAACCGCGAGCTTCAGGACATGGCCAAAAACTTCTTCAGACCACCGCCAATGTGCGCATCACACCCACACCCACACTCACACACACATATATACACCGGCATCATGTGTGTGTGTCTTCGATCAGTCCCCTGTCGTTGGACGGGGCCATGCGGCTGACCGACGGCAACGGCAACATCCATGGGGCCAACGGCAACGCATCAAGCAGCAGCAGCACCACCAACGCCGGCACTCCCGCTGCTATCGCCGAACAAAAGGTGACGAGGAATGGCACACGGACAAACCACACACACATTGATGGCCTCTATGTCGGATGCGTGTGTATGTGTGTGCGCATTCAGGTGTGGTCAGTTCACGAGTGCGCGCAGAAGTTCATCGGCGCCATCACGACCATGTACAACGAACGGTACGCAGCCCATCCCCCCACCCAGCTGCCTAACACACATATAACGCGTTACATCACGTCGTTATGCAGTGGCGATGAGGTGGGGACTCTGCAATTCAGCAAGGAGGACCCCATCGCTGTCGACTTCGTCGCAGCCGCATCCAACCTCAGGAGCCACAACTTTCACATAGCTAAAAAGGTCAGCCTACCACGGTCATGCAGATAGACACCCACCGTCAGTCATACACTCACTGCTCACCTCCTCTGTCTGTCTGTCTGTCTGTGTGTGTGTCTCTGTGTGTGTGTCTGTCTGTCTGTCTGTTGTGTCAACGGATGGCATGCAGTCTCGTTGGGACGTGCAGTCGATCGCCGGCCGCATCGTCCCCGCCATCGCCACCACAAACGCCATAGTCGCCGGCCTGCAGGTACCCACACACACCTCACATACGATATATGTGGTGGGCATGTATCGATTCGCCTGTGTGTGTGTGTGTGTGTGTGTGGTCCGTCGGTATGTGGTGTGCAGACGGTTAATTTGTATCACGTGTTGGAGCAGGTGATGCTGCAAGAGAAGAAGGAAGAGAAGCAGGCCGCCAACGGCACCACACACACCAACGGAGTGGCCCCACACAGTGACGACAAGAGGAGCGGCACACAACAGATTTCACTTATCAACTCGAAATGCCGAAACGTGAGCGAGCAGCAAATCAGCGCACAGACACACACGTATGCAACGCGTCTGTCTGTCCGTCTGTGTGTGTGTGTGTGTGTCTGTGTGTCAATCAGGCGTGGCTGCAGTTGTGGGACAGCAAGCAGTCCAAGCTGGTGATAGGCGAGCGGCTCTCCGCCCCCAGGCCCGATTGCGTCGCATGCTCATCACCGCCCGCCCGCGTCACCATCACCGACATGGATGTGCGTATGTCTAAGTCTGTCCGTCTGTCTGCGAACTGTCTGTGGATCGGTTCGTGTGTCTTGCTGCACTGCAGTGGACCATTGGCGATTTCGTCGCGACCGTCATCCAAGGTGGGTGGCTGGCTAGAGAGCTGGTGTGGTCAGCTCCGGCACGTATCGGTGTGTTGTGTGGCTGCATCACGTGTGCAGGCGCTTTGCAAGTCAAAGAGCCGGTGGTATACTTCAACAACGACCCCATATGGCAGCACCAATACGATGACGAAGAGGATGACATGGACGACGGTCAGCCACACACACACACACACACACAGGCACACCAGCCGACACACACACCAGTGTTATATCCCCACAGACAACTGCCCAGAGATGTCCCTGAGTGGGCGCGGTCTCTATGACGGCTGCATCATTGACATTAACGACCTGTCAGATTGGACGCCCGTCGAGCCCACTGACGACAACCCAATGGGCAAAGAGGTCCGCCACCCAGCCACCCACCCCCTCACCCTACACACATTCATGCATCATGCCTTGGGGTTTGTGCAGTACAAGAGCTTCAACTGTGTGGTGTTTGCCGACGTGTCGGTGGGGTCGTGCCCTAAGGGCTTCCGCATCGACCGCCCGCCCAAATTCAAACCCCCACCACCCACCCCAGCCCCTCCAGCTGCAGAGAACGGCTCGACGCCGACTGGCGGCGTCAAAAGGCCGCGAGACGAAGCCAACGGGTACGCCAGATCCACACACGACCATCATGTGATGGACTCTTCTCTCGATGTCGTTGGGGCGTATCTGTGTGTGCAGTGAGGCGTCCGGTCTGCCGGCCGCTAAGAAGGGAAAGAGCGATTCTGCCTCTAGTTCTGCCGCTGCTGCTGCTGGTGGTGGTGTGGGTGAGGGCGGGGAGTCGGTGCACGATGCCATCATGATCGACGATGACGGTGACCATAGCTACAAGGCTGCCGTGCCGGCCAAGCCCCACCAGGGCGAGGGCGACACCGTGGCCGACGCCATGGTGGTGGACGACTGACTGGCTGATGGATACAGAGATAGATAGATAGCCGTGCGCAGCGATGTGATACACACATGTATGGGTTTCCGCATAGAGTGCATCATATATATATCGCAAGTACGGGTGCGCATAGATATCGACACAAGCCGACAGCAGACTGTTTGCGTAGCTGCCCAAAAAGAAGAGGGTGCCGCTTACCGATAAGATGCATCCTGAGGTAGAGAAGATGGAATGTGCATTGCCGGAAAGTAAGACCATGTTAACGGCGAGAAAGCGGTTCTCGCGAGACGGGAGACTGCGAAAATAATTTGGTAAATTGTTCCGGCTTCGTGTCGTTTTCACCCAGTACTTCTGCACAGGATGCAAGCTTCTGCTGCTGCTTACGGCGAATTGCGTTTCCCTATGCCTCAGCTGCCCGTCATCAGCACACACCAGTCAAGGCGGGAGCGGCCTGCTACCTCGGTCTCACACCCGCTCTCATGCTGAGCTTTCTGGCAGCCGCGTGGGGCGACTGGGGTGAGCACAATTGTTTGTTCCGGTGCGTTTCTTGTGCGGGATGCGACGCCTTTTGTGCAGTCGAACTCACAGTTTTCATCTGTCCTCCGGGTTCGCTTAAACAAGAGAATGACGACGCCGTGCGTCGCGCGAGCAAGGCCGAGGAAGACCTGATGGAAAAGAACAAGGACATCTACCACTCGCACGCGACACCGATAGGGCGAGGCAGGACAGCTTCTGCGAGACTGCGTCATTGCTGTGGCTGAGAGACTTCTAGGTGCGCAAAGACACACGCACACACACAGCACACGCACCCACATGGACCAATCTTTGTGTCCAGCGCTGGAAGAGGAGGCACGGCAGGCGAACACATTGTCCCTGCATGTTTGGGGTGAGTGCCTTAGACAGGCAGACTGGTGTGTAGGTGATGTTTGTGTGTATCTGCGTGTGTGGGCATGCAGACAACCGCGTCGTCATGGCGGATGTGGTAGGGCGGATGCCCACCGTGACGTTTGCTGAAGTGTCAGCGCCTGTGGATGCCCTGCAGATGGCCAATGGTAAGCTGACAGCGCAGCCAGCTGATCGCTTAACGTCATGGTTACTTGATTGACTCTTCCTCAGACTCGAGTGACGACCGCCAGCGGAGGGAAGACCGGCACAAGTTTGCCGTGTTGACTTACTCGGCCTCCTTTGATCTGTGCATCAAATCGCGCGTCATCTCTGTCGACGACTCTAGAGATAACGTAAGCACAGGCGGCACACAGCGTGCATTAATGACTTCTCTCTGCTTGCCTGCCTGCTTGCCTGCCTGCTTGCCTGCCTGCTTGCCTGCAGGGGCGTGTTCGCGTTGCCAGGTTCTGGAGTACGCGCGAGAGGCGTGACGCATCAAGTTACTATGACAACCACCACACACTTGCACTTTCGTTTGATCCGAGCAACCAGTAAGTGGGCGCCTGTGCCAGCAGCCCGTGGACGAAAATCGCACGCACCCTGTACGCCAGCCAGCAGCCATCAGGTTCGCAGATAGGTCGCACACGTGTGTGTGTATGCCACAGGCTGTTGCTGAGATCGATCGCCGCTTACATTTTATATTTCCCTGTCTCGTGAACTACTTGAGCCGTTTTCCCTCGTGTGCTGTGCTCAACTTCCCACACGAGCTCGTCGAGAGGGTGGGAGGTGGGAGGACTTGTCATTCATTCATCTGTCTGTTCTTGTTGTCTTTTTGACCCACCTCGATACGGGTGCGGGGAACAGGCAACTGAAGACCTCGAACAACAGGTGCAAGGGCGGGGATCTGCGCGAGACAACGATGACACCCAGAGAGAACAAGACAAAGGATACAAAGAAGCTCAGCAGTACATGGCCTTTCTTCCTTCTGCCTGCCAGGCACTGTGAAAGGACCCAACGGGAGAGAGGCGGTGCATGCGGGCGACACAGAACAACAATACCCGCGAGGAGAACGTGCGGCCAAAGCACTGGTACGTAGCCAGCCAGAGAGCGATGCAGTGGGCGGGACACAGAGGCACGAAGGAAGCAAGGAACCTGTGACACAACAATGCACTCCATTCCACTCCATCTGTGTCTGTGTGTGGGATGTTGATTCGTTCAGTTGTGGCTGATTAGCAACGCTGGGTTGAAGTTGGAGTATTCGATAGACCCGCGGGCCGGCCGGTTTGGGACGGCGGTGCCCATGAGAGATGCCGACGGTCGCCTCTGGACCGTCAAGCTGCTGTCGCACGACGAGACGGACGGCAACGCTCGACCGGTACGCACCATCACACAGGCAGGCAGGCAGGCACACAGACAGACAGACAGACAGACCAGACAGACAGACAGACATGCAGACAGGGAGAGAGTGCTCGTTCGACCGCTCTTTATGCATATGTGACCACTTATGTCACGTCTGTCGTGCAGGTCAACGGGTGGTATCGCTCGGGGAATGATTTGTGGTTGAACGAGTGCCGGCGGCGGGCGGAGCAGCCCGACGGCCTGCAGCCGCCAGACGGGATGGACCGCCTCCAGGCCGTCCACCACATTCCGCTCCCCTACGCCACCCGTGAGGGCGACCGCGTCGAGGGCATCACGGCATACCAAATGGAATGGATCGACAGTAAGCACACCGTACCACTTTACTCTCTCCCCCTCTCTCTATGTGTATGCGCATTGGTTGCAGTGTCGTTGCATGAATTGAGGGGGCCGCTGCCTGAGAGCGCGTTGATGCGCATTGGTGAGGGGGTTGTTCGCGCCGTCGACTACCTGGGGCGACGAGGTCTCATGCACGGCGACATTCACGTACGTGTAAACACAGATACTTGCCACGTATTTGCCATCCGTCTATCCGTGTGTGTGTGTGTGTGTGCAGGCCAGCAACATAGGTATTCGTCGGCGGCAGGCGCCAAATCCCAGCAGCAGCAGCAGCAGCAGCAGTAGCAGAGCGGCCGGCAAGGAGTACGAGGCCGTTTTGCTCGACATGGACCGGCTGCACAATGCCTACGGGGACCACGTCCTGAGCCTTCCCGACAACGCCACCGACGCTCCGCCCAACGCACCCAGGCAGCGCCCCGGAGTGCTATCGCACAAGCGCGATATGCATGACGCGGTCACCTGCGTCATCGAGAGCCTCCGGCGGCTTGGCGCTCCGCAGCGGCTGATCGACGTCTTCGAGCACGCTCTCCCCGCCAGCGAGATCCGCCCGACCCTCTGCACCTATCGCGTAGGTCGACTAGCACGGCCAACCACTCACACAACAGACACACACAGAGACATTTATCCATCCATCCATTCAGGTCGTATCGGGGCTGCGAGAGCTGGAGAGGAAGGCGGCCAAGTCGGCGGACGAGAACCGCAGGACGCCGCCCCTGTCGCCGCCGTCGATGCGCCTGCCGCGCCACCTCACCCCACAGCTATTAGATGGCTCACCTGCCGCTCGGCACCGACAACGGCAGCAGCCCTTTTGACAGCAGCAGCGGCAGCAGCTGTGGTGGTCAGCAGCGCCGAACAGGGATCCAGGCACCACCAGCACGACAAGGGCCGTACTATGTGCGCAACCACACAGTCGGCACCCTGTGCCAGCCCGCACACGTGTGTGTGTATGCCACAGGCTGCTGCAGAGATCGATCGCCGCTTACATTTTATATTTCCATGTCTCGTGAACTACTTCACCCGTTTTCCCTCGTGTGCTGTGCTCTGGGGCGCCCAGTTGTCGTCAAACTCGAATCATACGAATCGGACATCGGTATGTGGATTGCAGATCCATCCATCCATCCATCAGCGGCGTGTCTTGCGTCATGTGTGTCATGCAGTGTTGGTCAAACGGTTGAGAGAGGAGCTGCGCAAGTACATCAACCCCACCGTCGCCTGGGACGTCTTCAATGACTTCATGGACCAAGCGCTGACGATCCTCGCCGATGGTGATCCGCAGGCCCCACAGTGGACGGAGCACTTCGCCCAACTCGCATTCGTCGAATTTGTCATGTGAATGATCGGTAAGTGGAGGCATCGAACCAACGCAACACTCCAGCAATGCATCCAGCCCGTTTGTTTCCTGCCTGCCTGCCTGCCTGCCTGCCTGCAGAGCTTCAGATAGCCTCCCCCATGTGGAAGCTACGTCTTTTCAGTCAGCGGTGCCGTGAGCGTCAGCTACTCGTGGCGTAGAATTTCGGGGGATGTATGATGTGATTTGGGGGACTCTGTCTGTCTGTCTGTCTGTCTGAGCGTAAGGCAGGTCTGTCTGCTGTTTTCGGCCTTCGCAGGCAGGACTGTTTGATCAATCGTTGCCTACATTTTATATCTGCTGTGATGGTGTCTCGAGACGCTTTGTTTGACACACGGAGATAATGAGACGAACGCAGTCTGCATGATCAAGACATTCATTGCATCAGTCAGTCAGTCCGCTGTGTCTGAGTGTGTCTGTGGTTGGCTGTGCAATGGGTGACGAGGGCAGCGGCAGATATCCCCCATCGATCATGTGGGACCACAAACGATGGCCAACTCACCACGTACAGCCCCGGAGAGCCACCACAGCCACCCGCACCCAACTCACCACTTACGACAAAACACCTTTCTCTATCTCCGTCTGTCTCGCTGTCGTCCCTTATGCGTGGGCGGCAGTGTGCTCAGGTGATGTGCGCCTCCCTGTCGGCCATCGCCCCCTCGGCAACTCACAGGCAACCGACGAGGGAATGATGGACCGCAAGGAGGACACACCATGAATGCAAGTATGTATAGCTATATGGCATCGCTGGTCTGTTTTCGTCCCGCGGCTGGCGACGTGTGACGGACTCTCACACTGGCAGAGAGACCATCATCCGTCAACTGCTGCGGTTCAAAACAGCCCGGCGGTGCCGGGCCACCACACATGTTTGACCTCACTGAGGGGAAACACATTCACGCGACCAACCCAGGCAGGGCCATCAGTCCAGAGTATCTTTCCTACGTACAAAACGACACCCCACACATCAGAATGTCCAACCAACATGCCCGTCGCTCTCTCTCTCTCTCTCTCTCTCTCTCTCTCCTCCTCCCCACAATCAAGAAGAGAGAGAGAACCCCGAATGACTCTGTAGTTCACTCAGGCACACACACACACATGGATAAATCCATTCGATGTTCGCACCGCGGCCGCTCGCGTTGGTGCTTTCGTGTGCGTACCTTAATTCCATCCGCTAAATGAGCTCGTCGGGCGCCACGTGGTCTCGGTGTCCGCCCTCCTGATCCATCTACCCTGCTGAATCATCCTGAAGGCAACCCAGATGAGAGCGACCCATTCAATACACTTGTCTCCGGCATCTGTGTCAATCAAGAAGTACTCACCCGCTTCCTTTCTTCTCGCTTGGCTCTCGTGTCTGTGTGAGGAGCGTCTGCAGCCGCGGATCTGCTCGAGTGCATCAGGTGCTGGCAAGACGCGGATGCGAGATGAGCGAATTGGCGACGCGGATGCAGACAATCTCTGGCCGACCAAGCTTTGGCATCCCAATATGTCCATCACCCTTCAGATCGCGGTAACAGTGGGGTGCTCCCTGAAACCTGCGAGTGGAGCGGCTCGCCTGCTTGAAAAAGGCCGATTTCTATGACGCAGTGAGTAGGCCGTGTGCCAGTGGTTGCCTTCCGTCGGCTGCCGGTCGGTCGTTGCAGAGATGGTACTCTCGTTCGCCATCTTGTCCCTCCTGCTCCTGCTCCTCTACCCCCTCAGCTACCTGTTCTTCCAGGTGGGTGGCAGAGAGGCGACGGATGCAGCCATCCATGCATCAGGCGCATGGGAGATCTCTCTCTCTCTCGCTGTCGCTGCTGTTGCTGGTTGGCTTTGGGTGTTGTTGCAGGTGAAGCTGAAGGACACCATCTTTGTCATTGTTCCCAACCTCTTTGGGGTGAGACTACTGTGCACATCACACACACTCCAGCCGCTGATTCCATCTCTCGCTCATGTCTGAGTATGTCTGTCAGGTGTATGGTGCTGCCTATCTCGAGCTCAAGTTCCCCAACGATTCCCTCCTGTCCCTCTGCACCAACAGCAACCCCGCCAGCGTCGATGCGTGGAGCCAGGCGCTCTTCCTCATGTGCTTCCCCCTCTTCCTGCTGGACCTCATCTTCACCAAACATGACTCAATCATGATCATTCACCACATTGCATGGTGAGTCAGCCAGGGCGCAAAAGGCGTGCAGACACCTCTGTGTCTGTCTGAATGTGTTGTGTGGGCATGGTGTTGCAGCATGGTCAACTGGGCCGTTTATCTGGCCATCCAGTGGAGCCCTCTGAGCCACTCGATGTCCCCCTCCTCGCCCATCGCTTGGTTCGCCTCGGGCGGTTTCATCTTCCAAATCCCAGGCTTCTATCTCGAGTGCGGCCTCTTCGTCAACCACTACTTCCGGCTCATCCGCAAGCAGCGGCCGGCCTACCTGGTGCCCGCGGCTGTCACGTTCCTGGCCTACTTCACGGCCAGAGTGCTGTTTCTGCTCTACTGCTGCGTCGTGCAGCTGCGGTACATCGAGGGCGAGTGGGTCGGCAAGATATCGACCGAGATTGTCTTCGTCTGCAATGTGGTCTGGTTGGTGCGCATCGTCCGGGGGCTGGTGCGCGGCTTCAAGGAGAGGGGGAAGCGGCGCGCACTGAGGGGTGAGGACGAGAGCAACATCGAGACCCAGGACAGCAGAAGTGGCGGCGAGAGCGAGACCGACTCGTCAGTGGTCAACGCATCTGAGGAGCCGCGGACACTGACCAAGACGAGCAGGCAGCCGCGCGACACTGTCTCCAATGCCAACGCATACCCCGTCGAGACGGCCGGGGAGGGCGTCATCCTCGGGGCACTCAACCAAACCGACCGCCGGCCGCTACTGCCGCACAAGCAGCAGACGAGGCACCGGGCGTCCATCAACGGGCACCTGGAGATCGAATCACAGCCGGCAAGTGTAGGCCACGCCCCCGCCAGCATCGAGGTCATTGGTGCGACCGTCGCTCAGAACGCGGCAGCTGCAGATGGGGAGCAGCAGTGGGGGTCGGCCGCGGCAGCTGGCGGGACCACTGAGCAGCAGCGGCAACACATGACGCCCTTCGTGTTGATGGCCGGGCGGGACAGGCCGAGAGATGCAGCAGGAGGGGCAGCATCTGGCAGCTCAGCAGCCAATGCCCCACCATAGTAGCTAGGAGTGAACAGAGAGGGTCGTTCGTTCGTCATTGCCATTCATTTCCTCGGCACTGTGTTGTTGAAGCGTTCGGTCGCCGTTGCGTTTTTTTGGCTGCCACACGAGTGTGAGAGATGTTTGTTTTCTTTTTGATATGGACATGTATACAGCCTGTGTGCATGCGATGCGCGTGACGCGCCGTTGTCCCTGCTGCTGCTGCTGTCGAGTGCAGCGCTCTGTGTTTGTGTGTGTGTGTGTGTGTGTGTGTAGGCAGCCTTCTCGTGGATGAGGCTGACCGTAGTAGCCAGATGGATGCCGTTGATGTGTACTGAATGAGTTTTGTGAGTGAGTGCAGAGTGCGTTTTTGGAGACTGGAGAGACCTACTTGGGGGTGTGCGACTGCGCATACGTTGCATGTCGGTGAAGGTCCATCTCATCTATCTCCACACATGGCCCCCACCCCACCCACATACGTCAGATGTATGTATATTTGTGTCTCGACCATCGTACGGATGCACATACCATCGCGGAAAATAGATGCCGCACCTACCAAACACCCCACAAACGAGACGACACGTCTGCTGGTCCCCTTTGTTTGTGTGGGTGAAAATGGTGCGTTGCATGTGCATCCACGGCATGGCTGTGATGTAATAGCTGGCTATCAGATGCAATCAATACAGCAATGGGTTGGCTGTACAGCAAGGGTGGGAAGGTCATACACACACACACACACGAAACACCACAGAGGGTCCGGTCCGTTCAGCAAGCTATGCAATCAACGGTGGATGTGAGTATACACGTTGCGATCGAGTCGAACCGCATCTCACGTCGTGCCTGAGGTAGACGTACACAGAGTGAGCCTCCCACCAGACACGCACGTCCAGTTTGCGTACCAGGCTGCATGTTGGTGGCGATCGACGTAGTAGTCGGGGCTTCGCTGCAGAGAACACTTCAGCACATAGCAGCGGAGATTGCACCCTCGTGCAGTGCTTATGAGGCGCTGACCTGTCTGTGTCAGCTGAGGTCGGGTTCCGCCCGCGAGTAGTGGATGCCTTGTCAGTCGACGACACGCCACTGCAGACAGAGATACACAGCAGGCTATCCTTCACACATCCTCCCCCACCGCCCTGTTGACTCACCTGTTCCTGGTAACTTGTGCCAGTTTCGCCTTGAGCTGTGCGATCTCTGCGTTTTTCGATGCCAACTCGCTGAATGAACAAAAGAATACACGTTACATACACACACACACACACACATATGACATACGTCTGCCTGTCCCCCTATCTGTCTGTCTGTCTGCCTGTCTGTCTGTCTGTCTGCCTGTCACCTCTGCAGGCTTCGTACGGTGCGACGGAGGTCTTTGTCAGCCTGACAGACACACACACGGACATTGATCACTTCAGCATCCGCGAACACGTGTGCTCACCCCCCTCCCCGCCTTCATGGACGCCCAGGACCTCTCCATCTTTATCACAGGGCAGTATTGCTGATGACGGGGCTGCATGAGCGGCACCACGTGGTCGAGGAACGCGCCAATGTCGTCGTTGGTCGTCCGGAGCTCACCGCAGTCCACTTTGGCGAGGGAGCTGGACAGCTCTGGGCTGAGCTGCTGGGTGATGCTGCCGGAGCACCAGCAGGCGATCACTATCATGGGGTGTGAAAAGTACTCATACTCCACACGGGTGAGGTGCCCGAGCACAGTCTCCCGGGCGTCCCTGCCAAGCGCACTGACAGACAGCCACAGCACATAACAAACATCACGTGTCTGTCTGCTTCTCTCTCCGGTTACTTACCGGGACATGTTGTTGATCTCCCTCCACTTCCCCTGCTCAATACAGCACTGCAGGTACTGCATCGCGAGCGACGCGTACAGGAAGAGTGTCTCTGTCAGCCGCAGCTTCACCTCCTTCAGCCGCACATCCCCCACCCCCTTTCGCACCAGCTCGTCGGCCGCCAGGTTGAGCACCTTCGTCGGCGGCTCATGTCCGTCGTTTATCGTCACACGCATGGATGATGTGAACTCATCGCTGCCGTGGAGGGTCACGGGGGGCTGGCCCTCTCTCTCGATGGCGAAGGCGCCGCTTATCGAGTAGCACCCTGTCCTATGGCGCCCATTAGTGGGCACCTCCCACCTCGTCACCTCCGTCACCGTGCGCTCGGATGGCAAGGTTTCCTCCGACCGTTGGCCCTTGAAGACGGGCAGTGCGAGTCTCCACCCATGAAGCCGAACTGACGATCGGCTGCCGTCGCTGAGGAAGGGTTTCATCACGGTGTGGGTCTGGAGAGAGTGCTGGCGGTCAGCGAATACCTTGTCTGCATAGTCACAGAGAACAGCATCGATGCATTGTCCATCCTATGTCCCCTGTAGGGGTGTGAGGCCTTGGTGCGTCGCGTACACAGTGCGTCAGGGAAGGTCTGAGAGTTGGTCACCACGGTGAGGAAGCGCTCCAGCCGCTCTGTCACTGCGACCGCGCCCCAGAATTCTCTCAACTTCCCCAGGTAAATACGGTCGATGAGGACAATAGCCGCCTGTCTGGCCTCATCGCCGGCCACCCTGTCGTACAGCGGCCGGATGCACTCGGGGTGGTCGAGCACCATCTCAGTGAGGCCACGCGCCCAGTAGTTGCAGGTGGAGATGATGAGGCGGCCGATGGGGGGCTGGTCGAGGGACTGCAGGAGGGCCATGGCAAACGCGCTGTCGCCCTGGAACTCCTTGCTGGTCTGCAGTCCATCAGTTTGGTCGCATCAGAGCGTGTGTGCATCCGTCATGTGTCCGCCGCTCCCACCATCATCGCGACACGCTCCAAGATGCTGTAAGAGCACCCTCCAGTGAAGTACTCCAGTGCCACCAACGTGTCAATGAAGTTGTCCTTGGTCAGCGACGTGATCATCGAAGGGCGAAAGTGTTCAATCTCGAGCGAGAGGATAGGATACACCTGCAGGACGACGGCCGCCACTTGCGGGTCCACATCCACAATGACAAACCGATTGGACGGCTCCTCACGATGACTCGACAACGCAAACGACGGCGACTGGATGAAGCAAGCAGAGCAGGGAAGCAGATGACCTCCTGTCCTGTGTGTGTCATCTTTCTTCGCATGGCAGTGTGTGTGTTTGTCGCTCACTCACCGTCTTGAAGTACTCGAACTGCATCAGAGTATCTCTGCTCACGCGCAGTCTGCGGTCCTCGCCGACGCCATCGGGGTCTTCACCCTTCTTGATGAACACCAACTCACACACAGATGACTCATCACCGCACTCGAAGCGCTTCATCTGCAGGAGGTACATCACATCAATTAACGTATGACCGATCTGTCTGAGAGAAGCAGCTTCCTTCCAAAAGGTAGGGCGCAATAAGAGCTCGCTTCTCTGGCGAGCTGTCGATCTGGGGCAGGAGGTGACTTTCTGAGGCTGAAAAGACCGCTTCCTCCACCAAAAAGATGGCTTCTTGACCCAAAAAACGACTCGCCGTTGCAAAAAGGTAGATCATTCATGCAAAAGGACAGCCGCAAACCCAAAAAGACATCTTTTGGACCCGCCTCACAGCTGCTCAGCCACTATCACACCTTTGCAATGAGAGTGACGACTGTTTGACCAAAATGCCACCATCTGCTTGTGTGCATACCTCTATGAGGCCCTGGGAGGCGGGACACCTTATGTCGCAGGCTCGTCGAAGAACCACCGAGGGAATTGAGTGGGGGTTTAAACCCATTCTAGTGAGGCATTTGTATCGTCTGTCCGCCTTTCTGTGTGCGTGTGTAACGAATGAATGAATGTTACATGTAACACAATTGCTGTTTACACAGCTACTCAGTGAATGAATCGATCATTGCATAGCGCGAATGCATTCGGTGTGTGTTGCCTGTGTGCACTGGTGCTGACGTCGGCGTAGCTCATGCGCAGGTGTGTGTGTGTCCGGATACAGCTCCCGTGTCTGTCTCAATGCGGCCTAAATACCCCACCCACATACGTCATATGTATATATGTATCCCGCTCTGTACAGAAGGTGCATTCACCGACACATGTACATGTACAGAGACGCCCAATGCATATGTATGTATGTAGGTATGTATGTACACACGACGCACCAACCGCAGACGCGTGGCCCTCCAGATCTAGGCAGCAAAGCAGCGATGGATCTATAAAAGACCTCTCTTCTTCATGGCCACACACACATCACAACAAAATTCGCAGATGCACCGGTCACCCCATCCCCATGGTAGCGTCGGTCGGCGGCACACGCACTGAGACAGCGAGGTAGCTAGTCGACATAAAGAAGGAAACGTACACAATGCAATGCATCGAGGGCTCAAAAAGCCATAAAGGCTGCCTCTGGGGGACACGAACCGAGAGCAACGAAACTCTTAAATCCATCAATTGCCCCACCCCCCTGCCGTCGTCTGTCTGCCATGATACAGCATGCTGGCCGTCGACATATGTATTCGACCACACCACAGCCCCACCATAGCACCCACCCCACCACCAGCACCCACAGTGGTCGATCCATTGTCACGAGAATATGGCCGGGCTCCAGCCGGTGAAGGCCTCACGACACAGGGGGCACTGGCGAGGCTGCATGGTCTGTGCACATTGCAGGCAGATGCAGAAGTGGTTGCACGGCCGCAGCACCACCGACCGCTCCCTCTTCTGGCACACTTGGCAGTCGGTGGCCTCCTCTCGGGCCCTCTGGTTGCTCTGCTGCATCTGCTGGAGCATCTGTTGACGCAACTCGGCCTGCATCTTCTGCTGGGCGGCCTGCTGAGTCTTGACGATGAGCGAATTCAGCCGGGATTGCTCGTTGGTAAGTGCCGTCTGTCGGTCGACCAGCTGCATGGCGAAGCCGCTCAACTCGTCTGCAGTGGTCAGGCCATTGAAGGTCTCACTCAACCTGAATTACACACATCATTACATCAAAGGGCATGCACTGGTGTCGCCCGCCTTTGTGTGATTGGGTACTGACCTGTCGATTTGAATGCTGCGTAGCTCATCAATGTCGGCCTGCAGCGCCCGGTTCCCCTCGGTGAGACTGCTTGAGCGACAGACACAAAGGGAGAGAGATGCGTGACGAGGTACGTTGGCTGCCTGTCGGCTACGCACCTGGCGATCTCCTGCGCCTGGGATGTGTTCTGCTGAGTGAGCGACGCCTCCCTCTCAGCAGCAGCCCTGATAGGGCGAACGACACACACGCACACACACACACACACACAGACAGTTCCGTCCCATTCATTGCGGTGTGGGTGAGTGAGTGCTGTGTGGCTGACTGACCTCTTGTATCTGTCAAAGTGGTGTTGGAGCTGCCCCATCTCGGCCGCCTGCTGCTCACGGAGAGACCTCTCGCGATCGATGTCACTGAAAGCACTGACACAGAGAGTGAGGTGCATATGACCTTGTTTGCCTCCTGTGTGTGTGAAGCTACCTGGTGAGCCGCTGGTGCTGTTGGCTGAGCTGCTGGCGGTGGGCCTCATTGGCTCGACGCATATCGGCCTGGAGCCGCTCGTTGGCCGCCAGAGTGTCGGCGACGGTCTGCTCGCCCACCATCTGAGCCTCACGCAAACTGCAGACGGCAACAAAGGAGGGAACAGTCAGTTGGATGGATGCACCGATGCATGTGTACCGCTCGCTCTCCTGACGGGCCGCGAGGGTCTCCTGACGGGCCGCATGAGTCTCCTGCTTGGCCGCATGAACCTGATGCTGGAGGGCGGCCTCCCTCTCGATCGACTCACGCCTATAGCCCGACAACGCAACCACGGTGGTGAGTCCCTCCCGCCGTTCGTTATTCTTCTCTCACCTCGTCGCCTCGATCTGCCGGTCTCTGCGCATCAACTCGGCCTCGAGCTCAGCAACCCTGACAAAACCAGACACACCATCACTGTGTGCCCACACCCCATCAATCGCCTCACCTGGCCCGCATCGCCTCGGCCTCCTCTCCACCACCCACACGCCCATCGTCACCGTGCCCCGCTGCGCCCCCATCGGTCTCTCCAGCACCCTGGCCAGCCAGGCCATCGCCGCCACCATTCTCTTTTACACCATCAAGCGACAGCAGGCCATCAAACTCATTCCCGCCATCGGCCAGCGGGGGCATTGAAGGAGCCATCGGAGGAACCAGAGGCTCACTGACAGCACTCACGGCTGCACAAGCACCAGCAGCGACAGCTGGGCCATGGAGGGGGCTGCTCGACGGCTCGCTGTCCACGTGCTCGAGACCACCATCCGCCTCTCCCTCTCCCTCCTGCACAGATGGGTTGCCGTCTGCCGCAATGGATGGCGCTGCTGCTGGGGCGGATGGGAGAGGGCCAGCCGATGCAGCTGGGGCAGCTGGTGTCTTGTTCTTGTGTCGCTTCTTCTTCTTGGCCTTCTTGCCGCCCTCGCCCCCCTGCTGCGCTGCCTCACCATGCTGCTGCTGGTCCTCATCGCTGGAGAAGTCAACCCCCAGAGCCTTGCGCGCCGCCCGAGCACGCGCCTCGGCCCGCTTCAGCCGCTCCTGTGCTCTCGTGTTGTCCTTGGGCGGCTGGTCGCCTCTCTTGCTGTCCTTCTCGGCCTGGCGGGCGGCCCGCTTCTGCATGATGTCGCGTTTGTGGCGCAGCTCGTCGCGTTTGCTCTCGAAGCGGGTCGGCTGCCGGCCCTTGCTGGTGCGGGGGTCCTCCTGATGCGACTCGGCGGTGCCAGAGACGAATTGCGACTCAGGGAACTGAGCTGCCATGGCGTTCCGCAGCACCTCTGAACGACGAAGTCAAAGGAAAGGCGGTGTGCCATGCGTGTTCGTATGCGGTTGGTGGTGGCCAGCCCACCGATGTCCTCGAGCAGCGTAGTTTTGGCGGCGGTGTTCTTGCCGATCTGCTCCGCGAGGCTGGTGATCTTGCTGTCGATGTCGGCATCGGCGGCGGCCGGCTTGTCCCTCTGGGCCTCGAGGTCGTTGAGCTTGGTCTGCAGCGTCTGCAGCAGCTTCTCGAGAACGGCAAGCCGCTTGAGCTTCTTATCCAAAGCCTGAACACACCAATGATTGACACAGTGACCAGTCGAACTTGCTGTATTTTCAGGCACGCATGCTCGAACTTGTGATCCACCCCGTTGGAGCACCAGCCTGGCGGCTTCTGCACAGAACAAATCACAGCAATGAGGCTATGACCGACACCAGATGGCTTCTGCCCCCACCGGTCCCTCACTTACCATTGAGGGCGTTGAGGGCGGTACGCGCTGTATCGACATCCTCTTGAGTGATGTTGTTGATGGCAGGGTCGTCCTTGAGAGCCTCAAGTCGACTCACACAGTCGGAATACCGTGTCAGGTCAGCCGGCGTCACAGAGAAGGGGTCTTGGAAAACGTGTCCTGAGACGATGCCGCGGTCGTCATGTGACATGCTCTCAAAATACAGGGTCAGCAATGAAAGCCCCATCGTGGTGAAAGCCTTCCACCACGTGAAGGGGGCGAGAGGGTCGTAGGAGCGCACCAGGACATCACACAGGTGCTGGGGGAGATGCGACGATGGTTCGACATAGAGCTTGTCGGGCACAAACTTAAGACCTGAACAGACAGCAGGGAAGGGGGGTGGCGCTAGTGTAGCTGGTTGGCTCACCTGTGCAGATAACTGGCTGTTCGTAGGCGCCTTTCTTGTTGATCTCTTCGATCCCGCAAATGACGGCGACTATGTAGTCCCTGTGGGGCACATCTGCACCGGTCCACAGGCACAACCAAGTAGTCGCACGAGCTGGCATGCCCTCCCTGCACGTTCACGTACCTCTGAGGTTCAGAACGAATGGCGGTTTGCTTCTGGCCTCCTTCTCCTTGGCCTGCAGCCCCTCCTCCCTCCTCTCCCGTGCTGCCCTCCGTCGGTCCTCCTCAGCTGCGTCAGCCGCCGGCGGCAGGCGGGCGTCATCGGCCGCCCACCGACGCTCCTTGACCACACGTGCGGCTCGGAGCTCACTCTCACGCTCAGCATAGGCCCTGGTGACGGCGCCATGCACCAATGACGCAAAGTCGCCACTCGACAGGAACTGATGGCTGATGAGCTTGCCCAGCGGCTCGGATGCTGCAAAATGGACACATACGAAACAGCATCATGTAGGCGAAGGTTGCTAGTGGCTTCGTACATGAGATAAAGAGGCCCGATAGTGTGGGATTCTGCAATGCGAATCGGAGGAAGGGCTCAACGGTGTTTGCGGTGGCAGGCAGACCCAGGAAGCTGAAGGGACACGCTCAGCGACATACACACTCGCAGACACACGAGTGCATGTGGCCTACTTGAGAGTGCGTCGATTGGGGTTGGTCATGAGGCCAGCCGTCGCGGCCGACATGACTATGTCCTCAACGACGGGCAGCGACAGCTCGCCAACCAAATCGAACGACAGAGAGAGCGACGTGCACGCAATGGTGCCGAAGAGGCGCTCAAGCACTCTCTGCGGACAAGAGAGATGCCAACAGGGGAGGGTATCCGCAAGGCTGTCTAAGTGTGGCCAGTGCCTTCCACACCCGCAGTTGGTCGTATCGATCGGCTTCGCCCTCAGACTTGGTCAACGCGATATTGTACAGAAGAGACTCGGAAGACCTACCACAGAGGCCCTGCAGGCGATACGACACACACAAGTACAGCCCACCACATGGATTCCCCGGCGACCTCGAGCAAGGTTAGATAGGAATTGAACGACATAGCACATGATAAGAGTGCCATTTGCCTGCACACACACATCACATGGCCTCAGTGAATGCTCCATTTTGCCATTCTCCGCCGTGAACTCATACCTGAGTGTCGTGAAGGGCTGTTCTTTCTTGTCCTCCCCCGTGTCGGCCGTCTGCCCCGCCTCGGTCGTCTCCTGTGTGTCCTCCGTTGAGTCTGCCGGCACGGCAGCGGATGATGTGCTGTGGGTGCGGGTGATGTCACACGATGATGACGGCGGCGGGGAGGCACTCTCGCTGCTGCTGTCGCCCTTGCCGTATCCTTCTGGCCGGGCCTTGAGCAAGGCACTCAACCGGTGGGCGAACGCACGGCTCATGTGGACGCCGTCCAGGCGCAGCTCGAGAAGAGAGGGCACGCGGCCGATGGCGTCGGCAAGTTGGGCGCACTCGTCATCAGGCAACTGAGTCAAATCCGCATCTGCGCGAGACAAATGCCTTGACAGTCAGCGGCAACGTGCGCGTTCTCTTGTGACCGGCTTACCGATCAGTTGGAGCTTCATGAGCCTGTCGGCCCTCTGGAGGAAGCCGATGAGGTCGCTGAGGTCATCGGAGGTCGGCGAGCACTCCCAGTGGATCAACAAGTCCAACATCATGTCGGGTGAATACCTGACAGCAAGAATGAGGCCGTGAACACGAGGGAACTGCTGTCAGTCATCCCTTCTCATCGACATACCTGGCCAATGCCGCCGCGAGCCGATTTTGGTTGCTCACTGAGATCAATGCAACTGGCGCCAGCAGCTCGCGATTGGCATACGATGAGATGCGGTCAGTCGTACGGACGGGACACAGCCTAATACCAGCCAGCACGAAGTGGCCATGGAGTAAAGGTGCGTCTGTCTGTGTGTGAAGGACTGTTTACGCGTCTAGCAGACTCCGGCATGAGAGGGCCAGCATAGCGACTTGTGCGGCAGAGAAATACAACGGCCCAACAAGCTGGTAGATGGTGTGGAGGACTCTCTTGTCCGACAAACAACACACCAGTCGATTCTGACAGACACACAGCACAAACGTGAGTGGTCGGTCACACATGGTCGTTCTCTATATACCCACCTGGGTATTCTCCTGTCGTGCAGCCTCTCTGTGGGGGTCCTGTTGCTGCGATGAGACCCACCGATCGATCGCCTCCTACATAGATCACACACACACACACACACGCACACGCACACGCACACGCACACGCACACGCACAGTGGCGAGCGGTGATCGATCGGTCTATATGGGGGTCAGACCTTGCGGCGGCGAAACTTGGCGAAGAAATCCAAAACCTGACCCGTGAGTAATACGTATGTACAGACATGTGGCTTGCACGTTATTGACACTGAATTGCAATTACCTCATTCTGTAGAGCGCTGTTTTGCGAGGCCGCCGTGAGGGGCCCGGACAGGGCAGAGATGTCCACCTGCACATGAAAAGCGCCACACACAGCAGACACACAGGTGACCTCGAATTTGGTGATCGTTTGACCTTACGGACCTGCAGAATCCGTTCGACGATCGGGTTGTCTTTACTCTTGCCGCTCATCACCTGCCGATCACAGCAGCTGCACACATGAAGACAATTCACTAGAGCCGCTCAAGATACGACGGACAGACGCACCTGGCGAGGCTGCCCAGGACGACCATCATCATCCTGACGTCGTTGCCGCCATTAGCAATGGATTCGAGCTGTAAAATGCCTAGCCTCACAGCCCTCGACAGCTGGGAGCACATGAGCTCGGCCAGACCCTCACACGAAGCATACTAAACACAACGAAGACAGGAGTGGCGAGTCTACACACAAATAAGGCATTGGTTCCGTCGTATTCTTTGCTGACCGAGTTACGATTCACGATGAGGTAGAGCAGATGCACCGAAGCCGCCACGACAGACTGTCCATGGAGGGCATCATTGGTCAGTCTGTCGCTCTGCAGGATGCTCATGGCTGCGGAGAGGAAGCCCGCCTGCGCAACACGCTCGCAGTAGCGACATTCTGAGGAAACACAGACGCACACGAGACATCATTAAGTGGCATGGGCCATGCACCATCACTCACCAGCCATTGCCACTGGCACATTCAGAGATCTGCAGACCGTGTTAGCCGACTGCTCAGCGGTGGCGTGGTCCTTCAGCAATGTGGCTATCTTGCCCAGAGCAGCGGGGCTCGCTGACGCACTACGGCATATGGACGCCAACACACCTGCATCCACACACACCCACACACGCTCACACAGCGGCGTGACGAGTCAACGAGCCCTCTTGGCATCAAGGTGACCCACACCTGGCTCAGAGGGAAAGAAGCGGGCGTAGAAGCAGATGATGCTTATCAGCTCGTATGCCCTCAACATAGCCGGTTGATCACAGCTGGTGACCAGGGTCTCGACGAGCGCATCGATGTGGCAGAACATGTGCTGCTGAAACGCCCCAAGATCCTCAGTCGTCACTGAATTACACATATAAAACACTCAGATACACTTAAACACGACAGCCCTCTTTGTCCATTCACCACATGATCACCTGGAATGCTTTCGCTGAGAACCACTGCCAGAGCTATTCTGAATACCTCGTCCGATAGTGTCAGCCTCCCCACCGTCCCCTCCACCAAGACACCAAACAGCGGCAGCCACTCCACACCAAACGGATACCCAGCTTGACAAAGCCGTTTGAGGAAGCACGTCGCCGCAGCCTGATGCTCCATGTCGCTGCTGTCATTGAAAATGGCAACAATGCAGCCGGCGAGGCCTCCCTGACCCTGCTGTCGATGCGCCTTGTCCTTGACGGCCAATGACCGTACGAGGCCCTCGACAACTGGGTCATCATCCGGCAAGAGCGGTGTCTCATTGAGATCTTCCTGTTGCTCAACGAAGGAGTCGATGTCACCAGCCAGAAGAGCATCAGCAGCGACAAGTTGAGCAGCGGCGCACGTGATGGCAACAGCATCCGAGACCGACGTAGTGCCCTTCCGCGTGTTGGCCGTGTGTTGCTGGTCGGGTGTGATGGGGGAGGGCGTGGAGGCAGGGAATGGGCAAGAGGGACCCACTGGTTGCTGACCCGCTGATGCAGCTGCTGCGGCGAGTGGCGACGGGTCGATGGAGCTGGTGGGTTCGACGGCCTGCTGCTGCTGGGTGCATGCGAAGATGTCGAAAGCAGTGGAGGGCTGACGGCTGCCGTCCTGACAATCACAGCCACACATCACGCACATATGCACACATGTGGGCATGCACCTCCCTCGTGTCTGTCTGTCTGTCTGCCTGTCTGTCTGTGCATGTGTGTCCGTACCGATGTGGCGTCCACAGTGATGTCATCCTCTCCGGACCCACCGCCGTGCCCCGCCCCTCCCATCAGCGCCGTGCTGCTTCCGTGCGGCTGCACGGTGACGCCGCCCACAACTGATGTGTCGGCTGCTGGTGAGGCGATGGGCGTGAGCGGCATGGACTGGCCATGGGGGACGGAAGGCTGCGGTAGCTGCTGACTCTGATATGTGCCGACGACCTCAGTGAGCATCGGCGGACGCTGGATGCCGATGGGTGGGGAGCCCGAGGGCAATTCCTCCGTTAGCTCTTGAGAGTCAGCTTCGTCGCTGTCAGACGCAGGTGTGCGCTCTCTGTGAGAGGATGCTGCTAGCGGGAAAGGCGACGCACTCTCTGTGCGGTCACCAGGGCCATCAGACGGCTCATCGCCGGACCGCCCAGCCGCACCAGATCCCTCCTCTGCCGGTCTGCCACTCATACACACGTGTTGCTGCTCTGTGTTTGCTCCTGCTGGCTGGCATCTCCTCTGTCGGGGCTGCTGCTGTCTGCCGTCGGGCTGCCGGCAGAGAGCTCCTTGGAGTTGGTGTCCGTGGACACGAGCGCTCAGGTGGCTATAGATCTGCATCAGTCAAAGCCAAAACAGACGCCACATGGACACAAACGGGTGCACGATGAGCCATCACCTCCCAGACGCTGTCACTCACTGTGAATCAATTGTCCCTCACTGATTACTGGCATAGGGTCCGCTGGGCTCGGCGTCCACCGTGTCACTCGATGCTGATCTATCTGCCAAGCAAACACACGTACAACGTTGCTTCATTGTGTTGCTTCACTGACTGTGCTTGAGCACAAGTGGAGGCTTACGTTGATGCGTGATGTGTTTTCATTTTTGTATGGCGCGGGAGACCATTTTTCAGGCTCGCAGGGTGTGCTTGCATTCTGCTTCTTCCCATGACCCCTCCTTTCTCGCGATGCAGACGATGAGCAGTGATAGCTCATAAACGTATCTATGTCGTTAAATGAGGAAAACATGCATTGGCTCATTCAACCGGTTGGCTTCCTACCCGGCCATGGCTCTCTCGTCAGCTCACGAGCAGTCGACGAGATGTACATGGCCGACAGCGGTCACCCGATAGCCCAGGCACCAGACATCAGCCCCTCCCCCCGCACACACTGTCTGCCTGTATCGAAGCGCATCGCTGGTCTGCTTGCGTCCCGCGGCTGGCGGTGTGTGATGGACTCTCACAGTGACAGAGAGATAGTCAAGCATCACCTGCCTTGACATGAAAACAGCGCAGCAGTGTCGGACAAGTGAACAAACCAACAGATGCCAAATTGTTCGCAGGGCCCCACCACGTGGCCCTCATGGCTACTCATACAGTATCGACAGCTCTGCACAGTTCTCTCTCCATGACATCCAGGAACCTCTCCGCCTCCTCTCTCTCAATCAGGGGCGCGCTCGTCTGGAGGCACACGCACAGCCGGCCGCCCACCGTCACGCACGACAGCTGAAACAAACAGCCGTTCTGGCTGTTGGTCACGCCGTAATACACGCCATCCAGACTGATGGGGCCGTACTGCGTCTTGCCCGGCCACACTCCCGCGTTGGACAGACCACATGTGTAGGCACGACCTGCACACAGACACAGACAAATGCAGCCGGCAATCTCTGTGAGTGCCGGTCGCCCGCTGGCTGACCGTGAGTCTGTTCCGATGCAGCAGCATTCTCGACGATGGCCTCAATGTTCACCAGCCGCATGCCCACGTCGAACAGCAGCGGCCCCTCACGCCCACTCACGTCGATGACCGACCGGAACTCCTCCCGGCAGCCCTTGGCAAACCGCCAGAAGGCCTCAGGTGTTGCGAGGGAGGATGGAACTCGCAAGTTGAATTCCACAGAGCCGCTGACAGATGAGAGTGTGCAGGGGCGGGGCAGCGGCGAATTCACGGCAAACCGACGCAGATCGGTAGACAGAAGGAACCGAACCAGAGGACTGCTCCTTCCTGAGACGTCTTGACACGCCATAAGGGCGGCTGCGATGAGGGCTGCCGTCTCCGTGGTGCCCTCCTGCCGGCTCCTGTGCCGCAACTTCTCCATCAGCGGTCGGCCGAGTGTCCTCAAACACAGCTGAGTGCGCCGCTGTGACGGCGTCAATCCCTCGCCTCTCCGTCGGTCCAGCACCAGCATGACCGGACACACAATGGTGGCGAAAGCCCTCACGAGGTGCTTGACGGTCTGCCACGAGCACGCCCGCTTCACATAGCCGACAAATGGCTCCTCAATGCTGGTGTTGCCGAAGAGCATGGCCTCCATGCTCGGGGGGAAGGAGACGGGGACGGAGGCAGCACTGTCGGTGTTCTTGTCAGACGACTGGTGTGGCTGCAGGTGGGTTAGGAAGTCCTGCAGGACGACTTGGGCTGAGATCTGGTCGGCTATGGCGTGGTTGAAGAGCCACACCAGTGCCGACCGGCCGGCAGATGGGCTGTGGATGACATGCAGCCGCCACAAAGGGGCATCATGGGCAAACGTCACACCTGCATACATGTAGAAAGGCCATGTCCGCTGTGGCGGTTGCAGATTTTCTCTGCTCTTATCTCACCGTCAATCATGCCTTCAACAAGCGTCCGCCACTCCTTTCTCAGGTCCGTACCATCTCTCGTGTCCACATCCGCCCACACCAGCGCCCTGTCCACCAGCTCATCAGCGGAGGCATCCAGCGGATAGAACCACGGCCATTCCTTGTCCTTCCGCCTGAGGAACTCATTGCCCGCAGGCAGCTCCGCTATCTGCACGCGCAGCAGCGGATGCATTGACACCGCTCGCCTCAGCGCACGGCGCACGTCGTCTCGCGTAAGCGACGATGTCCCACTCAGCTCGTCCACAGAAAAACCAGCCACTGATAAAGGGGCGTCTTTGTCGTTGCGTTGGGTCTTGGTGAGGAGTCGCTCCCAGCTGCCGAGAGGGCGGATGTAGGTGGGACTGGAGGAGCCTGTGATGGGTGCTGGCGGCTGCTCGACTGCAGGTATCTGCCTGTCCGGCGATGCTGAGGGAAGAGGCGTGACCTGCATCGTTGACAGGCAACGCATTCATCCATCTGGTGAGTCAGACAGATGGAGGGCCGTGTGTGTATGTGTTGCTGTCCAGCTCATCACCCACCTGTCTGCGTCCGCGTGTTGAAGCGCGTCGGTGACGGCTGGGCTGCCACGGCTTCAGGAAAGCGCCTCGAGTGCTCAGATCTGCATCGACCACACCGGCAACGAGCCCCAGGAGCCACCATAGCTGGAATAACATGGAGCTCCACGCCTCAACGCCCCATAGCCATCCACCCACTACTCCGTCCTCCGGTGGCGCCGATCTCGCCGAGGCCACGAGTCGTGGAAAAGGGCTTTTCGCTCACAAAATGTCCATCTATTTCTGCCGGCAGGCTGAACATGGTCACAACACGACGGATCTTCTCCGGTTTTCTTCGCGAGGAGGATCGTTTGCGAGCTCGCAGGTTTTCGGGGGGGGTGAAGGGGGCGTTTGAGTCTCAGCGCCACCAGACAAAGGTCCAGCTGAGAGATTCGTGGCGAATCAGCGAGTCCAGTGGCCGTCTCCTTGCCTGAGCAGCGAAGCATCGCCTCTATCGGCCTGTCTGACTCTCTGAGCACAGCTTCAGCATCGTCAGCATCATGTCGTCTGTCCCCAACATGCAGGCCTTCGCCACGGGCGGCCTCATGGTGAGCACAAAGAAGGCTCACACAGAGAAACGGACACACAGCCAGTCAGGCCGTCACACTCGGTGTCTCTATGTGTGCCTCCCTCCCCCTTTCTGCCTGTCTGCAGCCGCCAGGGGGTATGCCGACGCCCAACGCGCAGCTGTTCCAAAGCCTGCCTGCTGGTGGGATGCCTGGCGCGTCACAGATGGGCGGCGGCATGGGACCGATGGGAGGCGGCATGGGCAGCATGGGCGGCATGGCAGGTGCGCCTGGCGCGATGCAATCGATGCCGCCGATGCAGCAGCAGCAGCCTCCACAGATGGGTCCAGGAGGTGGCATGATGAGTGGTCCTGCGCAGCCAGATATGTCGTCGATGATGGGCATGGGTGCGGGCGGCGGCATGGCTGGGCCGGGCGGCATCTCGCCCCAGCAGCAACAGCAGGCGGCCATGGGGGGCGCCGGGATGGGCATGAGCATGGGCATGATGCCTCCCCAACAGCAGCAGCCACAGCAGCCGATGATGCCCCAGCAGCAGATGGGCGGGCCGGGGATGATGTCACAGATGGGCTCCCAGATGGGATCTCAGATGGGCATGGCTGCGGCCATGGGAGGCGGCCCGCGGCTGATCCTCAACCAGCAGGAGATCCCCTTCTACCAAAACCTTTTCAGGTCAGAGAGTGAGTGCGTGTGAGCGTCCTGCGCCAGTGTGCTGTGTCATCTCTGTGTTGTTTGTGTGTTTGTTGTGTCAGTATGGCTGACCCGGACGGCCTTGGGTTCATCCAGGGCACCAATGCGGCCGAGTTCCTGCGCACATCGGGACTCCCACACCACCTGCTGCACGAGGCAAGCATGCAACAAGACCCACAACTCTCACGACACACGCACCCATGTCCGTTGTATGTTTGTATGCGTGTGTGGCTGTGGTTGTGGTTGTGTTGGTGCAGATATGGCGCATCGCTGATGCCAAGAAGGAGGGCCGGTTGGGCCCTGAGGAGTTTTTCGTGGCCTGCCGGCTGGTGGCCCTCGCACAGAACGGCATGCCCGTCACGCCTGAGGCCGTCATGCAGGGTGAGGGAGTCAGAGAAAGAGTGATAGAGATCCATCCCATCCACCCACCAAGACGCTGCGCACCGATGGATGTGCTTCATGTGTCTGTCAGAGCCGCCCGCTTTGCCCAACTTCGACGTATTGCGCAAGCGGCCGCCCTCCGAGGCCTCTGCACAAGAGGTGACTACACCACACGACACTGCCGAGCCCACAACACGGCCCACAACGCAACATAAACTCTCTCTGTGGATCAGGTTGGTGGCCAGGTGGGTATGCCATTGCCGATGGGTGCGACGGACATGCAGTCGGTGATGGGGATGGGGTCGATGATGGACCCCACCCTGGCGGCAGCGGCGCTGGCCAGCGGCGGGGAGGGGCCGTCCACTCCACCGATGCTCAGCCCCGTCAACCTCACACCACAGCAACCCGGTGCGCCTATACTCAGTGACGTGTGTGGGGGGGGGGTGGATCTGTTGTGTATGTGTGTGGGGTGTGTGTGTGTGGTGCAGGGACTCCTGTGTTGCTGTCACAAGGTGGGTGGGCAGACAGACAGACATGGAGGCCTCCAATGACGATCCCATGTGTGTGTCGTTCGTTTGTTGTGATTGCCATCCGCCTCAATATAATCAATCAGGTCAGCTGGGCGGCCTGACGCCCCGCTCAGAGGGAGCTTCCCAGTGGCTCGAAATGATGGTACGTCACCACAGAGCAGAGAACCGCGCCACACAACACAACACAACACACCCATCTCTGTCCCTCCGCACACACACCCACACACCCACACACATATGCAGGGCGGTTCTTTGCCCGGCACCCCTCCCGGCGGCACGTTGTGGAGCATCAGCGACAAGGACCGTGACAAGTACAAGGCCATCTTCTACAAGACCGACAAGAATGCCGACGGGTTCGTCGAGGCGCAGGAGGCCAAGGAGCTCCTGTCCAGGAGCAAGCTGCCCGACCAGCCTGACCTGGCTCAGATATGGTCAGACAGAGAGGGAGGGAGGGAGGGGGGGAGTAGTGTGTGTGTGTGTGTGTATGTGTAGGACGTTGTCTGATTTTGACAAGGATGGCCGACTCAACATGAACGAATTCCTCGTGGCGATGCACCTGGTAACCACACACACACACACACACACAGAGAGAGAGAGAGAGGGAGAGAGAGAGGGAGCACCTTTCTCTTGATCTGTGTTTTGTCATTTTGTGTGTGTGTGTGTGTGTGTGGTTCAGGTGACGAAGCGCAAGAAGGGCGCGCCCATCCCTCGCACACTGCCGCCCGAACTAGTCGCCGTAAGACACACCACCTTGCACACATCACAGTCACTTGCCCCGCACTCTCTCGTCGTGTCTTCTCTGCCCTCTCCAGGTGATTCAAGGCATCGAGCCGGTACGCCACAACACTCACACACACACACACACAGCCAGATAACATAACGACACACTGCACAACACACATCATGTGTGTCATGCCTGCCAGTCTCCCATGGCCCTGCCCGAGCCAGCAGCCGTCTCACCACCTCAGACACAGGCGTAAGTACAAAATGGATGGACACACTCCACTCTTTCGTCTGTCTCGTTTGCTGTCATCCCATCGAATCGGTCAGTGCGCTTCGCGAGCCCTCCCCTCCGCCAGCCAAGCCCTCGCCGCCAGCCGACGAGTCAGCTGCCTTCGACTTCTTCGCCGCAGCGGTGAGCGACGAGCCATCCTACAGAAGCCACCCAGACAGCACACCTCTTGACACACACGTGTGTGTGTTTGTGTGTCAGGAGGCGCCCAGCAAGGAGGTCAAGAAGAGGGGCAAGAAGGCTGCTGCTGCCGCTGCTGAGAAGGAGGAGCAGGCTGCAGCGGGGTTTGGCGACACATTCGGGGCCGCTGCGGTGAGCGAGCACCTACCGTCCATCCAGCGAACTAACCATCCATCCCGGTGCATCCGCGTGTGTGTGTTGATGTTTGTGTGACCTCCATCCATCCATCCGCAGGGTGGGGGCGAGTGGGGTGGCGGTGAGGGCTTTGCGCCCTTTGAGTCGCAGTTCGAGTCACAGGAAGGGGTAAGTGGGTAGCCATCCACCCTCTCACTCACTCACTCACTGAGCCCCGGCTCATACACTTCACAAACTGTCTGTCTGTCTGTCTGCCCCATGTGTCTGTCACTCAGGGTTTTGCCCCCGGTGGGTTTGAGGAGGCGCCTCCGCCCGAGGGAAGGAAGAAGGGACGCGCCAAGCGCGACAAGGAAACGGCACGACAGCAGGACGAGTACGAGAGACCACTCAAGTCGCATCCCTCACAGACACACACATACACCTCCACCTCTGTGTGTGTGTGTGTGTGTTGTCGACACACCCAGGGATTATGGCTATGACGATCGTCGCCGTGAGCGTGACAGGCGTGCCGACAGGGAGAGGCTGGCCGTCAAGCCGTGGGACTCGGGCACCGCCGTGCTCGAGGGAATCATCGAGGTACGCGACCTTACACACCCAATCACCCACACACACGATGGATGATCCACACACACACACGTATATGTCTGGGTGTGTGTGTCTGTGTGTGGCCATGCAATGCAGGCCGACAAGCAGATATCGCGCAACATCCGTCTAGACGTCGACGACCAGGAGGACGAGCTCGGCGGGCTCAAGAAGATGTCAGACCAACTCAAAGCTGAACTGGTACCCCCCCGCCCTGGAAACATGCACACGGTCACATCAAGCGCGTGTGTGTGTGTGTGTGTTTGGTGTAGATCCGCGAGCGTGGTGAGGTTGAGCATCAGCTGCGTCGGAAGCGCGAATTTGAGGGTCAGATACAGGACCTCAGGATACAGCTGGAGGGACTCAAAGAGGAACGCCGGAAGGTACCATTCACACACATCCCCCCACACACAGCCCCTCACACACACACAGAGAGAGAGAGAGAGAGAGGCTTACACAGATACGTCTCTCTGTGTATTGTGTGCCTCTGTGTGTGTGTGTGTGTGCACCTTTGTGTGTGTGGCAGACTGACATAGAGAAGATCTCCTTGAGTCGCGACATGGACCACTACCAGGAGGAGATTGTCTTCCTCCGGCGCCAGATACAGGACCAGCACGCTGACCTCTCGCTGCTCAGCGAATCAAACACCGTACGTCACACGTCGGCCTGCCTCCACCCACCCAGCCATATATAATGGCTATGTGTGTGTGTGTGTGTGTTTGTGTCTGTGTGTGCGGGGGCTCAGGTGCTGGAGAAGAACTACCACAGCAGCGAGAACCAAGTCCGACAGCTGGACATCTCACGAAGGTAATAAACCAAACCAGGTGGTCACACGCACACACACCGGTGACGCCTCTGTGTGTCCATACATAGGAATGTGCTGGAGGCAGTGCGGGCTGAGAAGGAGCAGCTCCAAAAGGAGGAGAGAGAGATCAACGAAATGAAGGTACGCCAGCCGGGCAAATGCCCCCTCCCACCAACCCACATCTCTGTCTGTCTGTCTGTCTGTGTGTCTGTCTGTCTGCAGCAACAGCTGGATCGCATGCGCCGCGAGAAGGAGGACGCCCAGTCCAAACAGGCCGTCCTGCAGGAGAAAGTCAGACAGGTGAGCACCTTAGCTATCGCCTCACAACACAACACGTCACTTGATGTGCGCTGGCTGCGTGAGTTGAGTGCCCACCCCACCCTCCGTCAAGTCAACACACACTCACACTCACACACACCCTCGTAGACAGACCCGCTCGGCAGCCAGTCAGCTCAGCCAGTCAGCCCTGCAAGTACTTAGGAGAGGGCAGGAAGCAGAGCAGCAGACAGAGGGCAGGCAGGCAGGCCATGTGTGGTGTGAACGTACTGATTCGTTGCTCGATTGGACTCGTCCATGTCGGCCTGCCTGCCTGCCCTCTGTCTGCTGCTGTAGGCTGACCAGGACAGGACGTTGCTAATGTGTTCGTTGGAGAGCGAGCGGTCCAAGCTCGCTGAGATGCGCCACGAGCGCATCCGACTCGCTGAGGAGAAACAGCAACTCACCAGAGATATGACCAGCCTCGCACAGGCAGGCCTTTCGTCCCATCCCCCCATTTTGTGCACTCCATGATGTGTCTATGTGTGCGTGTTGATGGTCCATCCATTGCCTTGTGGATCCCTCTCTCTCTCCCTGTGTGTGTGTGTGTCTTGTCTCTGTGTGTGCAGCAACAGTGGATGCAGTCCCGCGCGGCGGCGAGTGCGCTCTCCCAGCCGTTAGGCGACGCGCGGCCATACCAATCCACTTCACGCGTCGAAGTGCTCACGGTCAGTGGAGCACCACACACACACACACACACACCGATATCGGCGTGTGTGTGTGCATCATCCATTTCTGGTGTGGTCGTGTGTGTGTGTGTGTAGGGTGGTGCGAGCCATTCCTGGGCCAACTCGGTGCTCACCGGGGCGCCCGCACGGGTAACGAGACAGACACGCCGACACACTCGGGATTATCGCGTGTGGTGCTGCGTGTGTGGATGCGATCAATCAATCAATCAGGACTCCAAGGGGGTGCCGGCCGGTGCCCCGAGTGTGCCACCTTCCCCCGGCCAGTTTGCGTCACACGCAGGCACCATCACACCCGACGTGAGTGCCAGCACAGCACACCCACAAAAACAGCACACCTGCACAGAGACCAGACCATTCTGTGATCGATGTCATCACACAGAGTGCCCGTCTGGCATCGGCCCCTCCCGCCCAGTGGACCTCCTTCGGCACCCGGACACAGCCGGAGAGGAGGGGCGTGGACCCCACTTTCTTCTCGTCCGCAGGGGGTGGCGCACGGGACACTGACAAAATGGTAATGGTACGCACTCATGGATTGGATACACTGACTGCAGTGGCACACCACACCATGTCACCGTGAGATGAGTGTGTTCTGGGGGTGGTACAGGTTGAGGGCGGTCGGTTGGGGAGCCGTCGTGACGACATCGAGTTCGGCCGGCAGCGGTTTGACAGCGACCGGGGCGGCCGGGGGACGGGGCTGTCGTCGCCGGCCATTCACAGCCCGACGCCAACTTTCAGCGGGGTAAATAAGACAGCCATTGAGCACACAAATTGTCCCCTCTCTGTGATCGTGTTGTGGTTGTCTTGCGTGTGTCATCCATCCATCCATCAGAGTCTGTCGAACCGTGACCGTGACCGCGACCGCGACAGCCACAAGAGCACTTCCCCTGACAGATCGGACAAGAAACGAGGTCAGCCAGTGCTAATCACACACACACACACATACACACAGCCTGTGTGTGTGTGCGTGTGTGTAGGTGAGGACAGCAGCCTGACGGCAGATGGGTTCGGCCCCTCCCTCGACGAAGCCCCCCGACCCGCCGGCAAAAGCGGACGCAAAAAGGGCAAAAAGAAAGCCGCCGAAGAAACCGAGGTATATTATGTCCCCTCCCCGCTGGTCCCCCACTCACGGCACGGAACACACTCCCTCTGTTTCTGCGTGCGTGTGCGTGGACGTGATGTGCTGCAGGTGGTCGATTTCGCTGCTGGCTTCAATGCTGGTCTTGGCGGCGGCGGGGGGTTCGACAATTTCGACCAGCCGGGCGGTGTGGGCGGCGGTGGGTTTGGCGCGACCATGACGGCGACCACGACCAACACCAACACGGCCAATGGTGGCAAGAAGGACAACACCGCTGAGAAGGGGGGAGAGGGCAAGGGGGCCGACAAGAAGGGCACTGGCGGTGGTGGTGGTGGCGGTGAGGATGTGGACTTCGGCAACAGCGCAAACTGGAAGAGCTTCTCTGAAAACGGTAAGCTGTGTGAGGGAGGGAGAGGGGCGCATGGAGGACAGACAGATGGGCATGTGCGTGTGTGTGTGTGGTGTGTGTTTGTTCTAGGGATGGAGACGCCCTCGTTCGGTGGCCGGCCCCCTCTGTGATGGCTTCATGCGTTTTATAAGCCACTGCCTGTGTGTGTGTGTGTGTGTGTATCTGCGAGTTGGACCAACACCGCCACAATTCAAAGGCAGTCTGCCTGCCTGCCTGCTTCGTTCACTTATTTACTGGCCAATTGACGAGAGGAGGAGTCGTTGCGTACCACATGAGTGTGTGTGCGTGGGAGAGTGATCAAGAGAGACGTTATCAGAGAGAGAGAGAGACACAGACCCGATTTCAACCTGACACTTTTGATTGGAGAGAGAGAGAGAGAGAGAGAGACCGACCGGTGCTCACTTTATCCACCTGTGTGTGAGTGTGTGCGTTCCTCTTCTCACAAGGCACCACTGGGCTGTTTCCATGGCGAACAGGCGACGAATGATGGTCTCTCTGCTATTGTGAGAGTCCGTCACACGTTGCCAGCCGCGGGATGGAAACAGACCAGCGATGCCATCGATGGACAGACAGGAGACTCTGAGGAGAGAGATGCCGACAAGAAATGAACGTGATGCCTGCGGGGTGTCACGGTCAGGGTGGATCTGCTGTGCTGTGCCACGAGGGAGATAAGTCTTGATATGCCTTTTGTGCCGGTTTGCGTCATCCTTGCCTGTGTGGTGGGCGTGCTGTGGGGGGATGTTATCTGCGTGTCGGTCATGTTCAGCCGTTTCCCATGATCCACGGGGGACGGCTGCAGGTGACTGACACGCGCATACCCAACCACAGCCACACACTCACAGCACAGCTGACTTACCAACTCGACTCGACTTGATGGTGCGTGCCGTGCTCACTCCTCCATTCATTCTGTTCGCACCCAGCCACATAGCTACTGTCCATATGTCTGTACCCATTATACACACTCCCCGACCAACGAACCAACAGACAAGACCCAAACACACCTCCCCTCTGCCTGCCTGTCTGTCTGTCTGTCTGTCTGCCTATCCCTCGCACCCCGTGCACACGTTGATGGCAGCGTCGAGCATCTCGATGATGGGCCCCAGCAGCCCTCGGCCGTGCGCATGGTCATCCACATACGCACTCGACAAACGGTCCGCCTGACACACACACACACACGCACACACACCACACGTCTCCAAGCAAACATATGTGTGTGTCATCTCACCGCCGACTTACCAGCGCCTCTTGCACGTCTTCCTTCACGCGGTGAAGGGCATGCAGCAACACGCGCTGGCGGGCCACCTGCACACACCATACACATGATCCGATCTGCTCTCTGTGTGAGTGTGCTCATGTATGGCGTACATCGTCGGTCTGTGTGTTCCAGACGAGAGGCAGCAGGGCACTGGCGACATGCATCTTGTCCTTTGCCTCACGAACCATCGCCTTCGGGACCTTTGGATCAACCTCTCTCTTTGCCGCACCTGACAGAGAGACAGACAGACAGGCAGACAGACAGACACCGATGGATGCCATCCATCTGCACGTGTGTGGTCCTCACCTCTGCGGCTGCTGGGGTGGTTGGTGAGGAACCGGATATCGTCAGAGTGCAGACGCACCGACGATCGTAGCAAGGGACCAGTCGTCTCATCGTCACACAGCCCATCAACCATCCGCCCGCATGGTGGTGGCGCTTCATCGGTCGGCTGCCCTGCTGCCACCGGTGCCTCTGCCTTTGCTGGGTCCGTTGTGTCTGCCAGCCTCAGAGCGCACCGAAACTCACGGCAGTGCCGCTTGGACGGAAATCCATCACCCTCAGCACCAGCCTCGCCCTTGTGAGCAGCAGGAGCATCAGAGTCTCCTCCCGGCATCAGATCACGGTCCAGATCAGCCATCTCGCGTGTCCGTTTGCTGCTGTCGCCATCATGCGTCATCCTCTCTATGGTGTTGATGGCGTGGTTATTGAGCCGGTGGATGAGCAGCACTTGGGGCGAGTCGGGCAGCGCTGGCGGGGGTGGTGAGAAGACGTCCGCCGTGGCCAGGAGGTTACATGAGAGCGGCACGGATCGGGCAATGGCAAGCGCGTCGCGGCCCTGACACACACACACACACACACACAGAGAGAGAGAGAGAGAGAGACAGAGGGAGAGAGAGGACAACAGGTGTGTGGTTGTCCTGCATTGCTCTCTCTTGATTCTCACGTGTGAGGGTGGTTTCGGCAGTGGCAGGTTCCGCAGCATCGGTGTCTCGATCATTTCCATCTCCACTCTCTTGGCCGCATCGGCCGTCCACCCCTCCCCACCCTCCCTCATCTGCCCCACGAGCATCCTGTAGTAGCCGCTGCGGAAGAACCTCTGCCAGAAGACCCTGTGCGGCATCCTCACCGGCACGTACTCGTCGTAGCGGCACCTGAGCTCCGGCAGCTCCGCCAGCAGCACACGCAGCTCATCGTCCATATCAATGCTCGTCCCCTTGGAAGCGTACGCAGCATCGTCATGACCCCAGCCGTGATGGATCGGCGCGCACGTGAAGGGCAGCTCGTCACTGACGCGTTCGTCGCTCTCTTGCAGCAAGAGTCGCTCGGCAGAGAGGCGGTCTTGATGGAGTGACCAGAAGTGGTCAGGGGAGAGGACGGCCGGCACCAGGGCCTGGTAGGTGTGACGCAGGCCGTCATTGGTTGCCAGCAGATGGTCTCGCAGGCGCAGTTCCTCCCCACTGACAGTTGCGGGCACTTCCTCTGCCTCCGTTTCGCCAGACAATAATGCTGCATCATCCTGAACAGCCTCTTCTTTCCCGTCAGCATCACCACCAGCAGCGGCAGCGGCAGCGGCAGCCACAAGCCCTTCATCGCTTTCTCTACTTTTCTTCGCCTCGTTCGCCTCTCTGAGCCGCTTGAGCAGGTACTGATGCACCTCCTGACACTCGGCATGCCGCAGCCCGCCCTCAGATGCCAGGAACTCGACCTGTATCGCCCTGGTCCGCAGCTGAATGCGCAGGTGGGCGGGGGCCGTGGCGTCAGCGGGGTCGACCTTGCTCTTGTGGACGCCCTCAATCTCCTCGTGTGCGGCCTCCAGCTCCACTCGCGGCCTCGGCGGGCCTCTCTTGCCGTCGTCTTCGTAGCAGATGAACAGGATGCGCTTGTCGGTGAGCTGCAGATTGCCCCGCTTGGTCTTCCGCCGGCACCAGTACTGCCCGATGGTCCTCTCCTCCTCATTGTTCTCGGAGTGGCTGAGATCTTGGTTGGATGAGAGGGATGACTCATTGCCATGCTCATTCATGCCTTCCGAGTCGCTTGGACACACCATATCGCGGTCGCAGAAAACGGAGTGAGGAAACTTGCGAGCTGGGAAAGGAGGCGCTAAGCTCGCAGGCACGAAGACAAATCGCAGAGCGCATCCCTGCGTGTGTTCACGCCAAGATGCGGCGTGGGATGGATCTGATGCTCGAAGAGCGGCGGCGGTCTTCGCCCGCACGCCCATCGCGGATGCTCATCCTCTCCTTGGTGCTGACGATGATCCCAGCCCCCTCTCTGTCAGCCTTCCTCTCCCCCCGGCACCCCTCCGCAGCTCTGCACAGAACCACACGGCCACTCAGGCGGCAACAAGATGATCACGAGGACGTCGCCAAGGCCATCGACAGGAGGCGCATGCTCAACACGGCGCTCATCATGGGCTTCTTCGGCACGCTCAACTTTGCGGGCGACCTGGCGCACGGCAACTCGCGGCCGGACGATTGGTTTGAGCCGGATGTGTCGACGGCGATTGGTGAGTATGAGCTCCTTCAGGACTTTCTGGAGCAGTTTGACAGTGGCAGTGGGAAGAGCTTCCCGCGAGACAACCTGCTGGCGGAGATCATCTTGCCGGTCGAGTACTCATTCCCGCCTGACGCTTTTGCTCGGCTGGATGAGAGCGATGACGGCAAGTTCTACGGTGAGGGGGTCAGGATGAGCATTTCACACGTATGCATGGACAAAGGACCTATGTGTGGTCGTGTGTTTGCGTGTGTTTGTATGTGTGTGTGCAGGGGAGCCACGCATTGTCCACCATATCGGTACGCAAGCCAACTCATGTGTGTGAATGCATCTGTGTGTGCACTGCTCTGTTGCTCGTGTGGTTTGTCCCCGTGTGTGTGCAGACCAGGGTGCCCGCAAGGCGCTCACCGACTTTTATGCCGAGTATCTGCCCGTCCATGAGGGCATAGCATACCTCGACCTCTGCTCCTCATGGGTCTCCCACCTCCCCGATAACTTCAAACCAAAAGTAAGGAGCCAGCCGCCACACTTTTGCTTTGAAATGGATGGATGGATGTGTGTATGTGTGTGTATGTGTGTGTGTGTGTGTGTGTGTGTAGCGTGCTGTCGGGCTTGGGATGAATGCGTATGAGTTGGAGCAGAACGAGAGGCTCACCGAGTTCGTGGTGCAGGACCTCAACAAGAACCCCAAGCTGCCCTTCAAAGACAACTCGTTCGATGTCGTCACAAACGTTGTCAGGTGGGTGTGCACAAGATGATAAACGAACGACAGCACAGCACAGCTTCCTTTGCATCTCTGTGTGTGTGTGAGTGCAGTGTGGATTACCTGGTCCGGCCGGTGGAGGTGTTTCGTGAGATGTATCGGATCCTCAAGCCGGGCGGGTGCGCCGTCATGAGCTTCAGCAACAGATGCTTCGTCTCTAAAGTAAGTGACCAAGCCGGCCTTCATGGGCACACAGGCGTGCACTTGTGCACTGCATTGATGTGTGGGTGCTCTGTGTGTGTGACTGGCACTGTCAGGCCATCAATTTGTGGCTAACGACGACCAATCTGCAGCACTGCGGAATCGTGGGCCTCTACTTCAAAATGACAGGTCAGTCAGTCCGCAATGAAGCGCAATACATCCAGCCCACCTAGCACAGCCCAGCCGTGCAATCCCCCCCTCTCTCTGTGTCTGTGTATCTCGTGTAGGTTTTGACAACATCCAGGCGCGCGACCTGTCTGGTTGGGGGACCGACCCCATGTACGTGGTCTTCGCCGAGAAGGATGCGTCGTTCTGACCGACAGACACATGGGGGGCATGGCCACACTCATATAGAGAGGAAGAGGCGTCTGAGCTCTGCAGAGAGGGGATGGATGGATGGATGGATGGGCCACTCGTGTATGTGTGTGTAGAGAGCGGTAGTGCGTGTGGCGAGTGTTTTGGCCAGCAGGTGTGCAGGGTGGGGTGCGTGTCTGTCTGTACTGATCTCATCTCATGTCATCTCATGTCATCTGTCTCACTCGCTCACTGTGCAGCAGTGCACACTGTGCACTCTTGGTCACTTGATCGATCACTGTCTGTGCAGCCAACGGTCTTGCCAATGTGCCTGCCTTGTCATCACGACGAACGAGAGTAGGTGCCTGTCTGCCTGTCTGTCCGTCTGTCTGTCGATTATGAGAATGGAGTTTTGGGCTTTTTGGACACATGTTATGACCGACTGCATACCTGCAGCCCTGTGCGTGTGTCAATTGCACCCCTGTCACCCGATCGCGAGCTAAGCGTGCAGGGGCCGGCCTTTTTGTGGGAGAATGGCCGCGTATTCGCCTGCCAACGACCCCTACCGCGGTTTCTATGCAAACGCCGCTTCCCCCACGCACCAGCAGCAGCAACAAGGCCTCGCCCCCCCGCACCACCAGGGCCACCAGCTCCCCTTCTCCACTCCCCAGAGCCCCGTGACTGAGTCCGTCCGCCCCTCTGGTGTGGACCCGCTGCTGGTGACGCTGCCCACCTACACTAACCTGCCCGTGCAGCCCGCGCCCGCAGTTCGTCAGTTCGTTGTACCGGCCCCCCTCGCACAGCAGGAGAAGAAACCTGAGGAAGAGAGAAGAGAGGAAGGGCTCTCTGGTGCGGCAGAGGATATGCAGGGCCCGGCCGCTGCCGCTGCTGCGGCGGCGGCGGCTCCTGGCGGTGCTGTTGGGGCTCGGGAAGTCCCCCAGCAGCAGCAGCAGGTGCCGGTGCAGGTTCATCATGGGGTTGGGGGTGTTGCTGGTGAGTGGCAAGGTCCCAACGGTGGCGTGATGATGGGTCCTGAAGGTCCGTTCTTCATGACGAGCATGGTCAACGAGGAGAGCTTCCGGAAGGGCCTCCCTTCGCCTCACCTCCACCCAGTAAGGGAGACAGAGACACTCACTTACACACACAGGAGCCCCGTTTCATGCCGTGTCTGCAGGCGTATCAGGCTGTGTTGGGCGCGACACACAAGTCTCCGTACAACCCCGAGGCCCAAACGCGTCTGCCCACTTCCCAAGAGGTGTACTCTGCCGTCGCCATGGTGCAGAACCAAGCCAACCCCATCGTCTACGCACCACTGCCGCCGCCGCCACCGCCTCCCCCACCACCGGCTCCCATTCAGCAGTACATCCCCGTTCCGGCGCCGCAGCCACAGCCGCAGTACGTTCTGCCCTCCCCGCCGCCTCAGCACAGGGCCCCGCCGACCAGGTCGAGTTGGCGCAAATCGTCGTTTGAGACCCGTCCGCCTGTCCCGGACCAGCACAAGTACGTGCCACCGGCCCCCCAGCCCCAGCCGATGCCGGGGCCGGTGGGCCCTGACGGCAAGCACGTGCGCTTCGCCGACCAGCTGCAGGACACCGTGGTGCAGCAGCACGACGAGCTGGCGCCCACAGTGGTGCCTGTCATCCAGTATGTGCCCGTGGTGACCCACGCCGTGGCGCCCCCGGCCTTGTTGACGACGACCCAGACCCTGCGGGGGCCGAACAACCTGCTGGAGACGACCCGGCGCACCAACCAGATGCTCAACACGACGCTGAATTCCACCACGCGGAGGTCGATTGGCGGCGGACCGACGCTGGCGCAGCTGCCGTTGAAGCCCGGAGACGACTGCCTGGCCCCCTTCAACTGCTGCGGGTGCTTCGGTGAGCATAACGGGGCGACGGGGGGTGGCGTATGTGGGTGTTTTTGAGGTGTCTCGTGTGTGTGTGTGTGTGTGTGTGTGTGTTGCAGGGCCGAACGGCTGCTGAGCACGAGAAGGTGTGTCTGTCTTCATCAAGATGATCATCGTCTCGTCATATCATCGTCGTTTGAGCAAATAAGGCTTGAGGAGACATCATATATACACACATACACACATACATATACGCAGTTCGCACAAAATGAAGCAGGTTCGGTTCCTTTGCTGACAGAGAGAGACACAAGTGGGGTGACTGAGTAGGTGTGTGTGTCTGACGGCACGGCACGGCACGGCTGGCACGATTGATAGCGGCTAAAGGGCCCTGACTGATCAGGTGAATGAGTTGGGAGGGGGAACAGGCAGACAGACAGACAGACAGGCGGGCGGGTGCACAACGACCGACAAAGCAAGCAAATCAACAATGCTCAATGGGGTCCGGCGAAGGACGTGAAAAGTCGTGCCTTCGCGCAGTATACGCTGCGATCGACGTATGTGCACACACAGACACGAACCACGACGAGCATCTCATTCAATTATCAACACTGAGGCACAAAATCGACGTATTTACACACGCACCCCCCCACACACCCAGCCGGAGACGCCCAGCGGAACGCCCTCATTCACGTCAGTCACGCAACGATCTCCGGCGTCTTGAGGTCGCTCTGCTCCTCATCAACAGTGTGGCCGTCGTCATGTGTCGTCACCACAGACAGCTGCACCGACTTCTTGGTGTCCTGCTCCGGCTCTTGCCGACTCTCCCCGTTGTGCTGGTGCTGCTTTCTCTCCCCCCGTGTGTGGACGAATTGGAAGATGCACACCCCCAAGAACACCAGACAGAAGCCCACCGCTCGAGGGGTGGTCACTGGGTCCAACTCAAGGTCGAAGGCCGGCGCCAGCAAGGCGTCAAACAACAGAGACCCCGCCTGATTGATGGACACACACACAGAGAGAGAGAAAGAGCGGCATGGAAAGCCTGAGGGCTTCTTGTGCTTCCTCGGTGCAATCAATGCCTGCCTACCAGCTGCCCCAGAATGGTGAGAGAGAATGTGGCCGCGAAGGATATGTAGGTCGGGCAGACGATCCAGACCGTGACGACGCACACCCCAATAGCCCCTCCCAGCCACTTCCAAGTGTCGCCGACAGACTGCGTCGACTGCGACACATCAGGCACCACGCCCGTGCAGAGGCTCGCGATGGCGAGAGATAACGTCCCCATCACAAAAGACACGAACCCACCTGCACCCCCGAGATTGCAACAGAGGTTCGCTGTGTGTGTGTGTTATATGCCCACCTCGCCATGGGCTGCCAAGTGAGTGGCCGACCTTTCTGTTCCAGGTGGACTGAAGCACCAGAAAACACCCTGATTCACTCACACACAAACACATACACACGCTCGCATCCATGCCTCTCCTCTCCCTTACCGGCCATGAGCGCCAAAACGACATAAAGTGCATAGAGGGGTTCGAAGGACGCCCCAAGGATCCTGTCAAGCTGGAACACGACAGTCCCAACGACCACCACGAAGCCACCCAGAGCCCGCATGGCGGTCAGCGGCCGCACAGGCGACCAAAACCAACCGAGGGAATCCACAAGCAGCGACGTCGCCACCTGCACCCACAAGCCCAATTGACACACATGAAGCAAGACACACCACCAGCACCAGCAGCAGCAGTGATGATTCTCACCCACCTGCCCGCAGACGACACAGACGTAGAACACCCCAAACCCGATCAGCGGCGTGAGCAGCACACTGCATGCGACGTAGAAGCTCCCCAGCGTGCCGCCGAACAAGACCACCATCCGAGGAAACGCTCTAACTTCCTTGCAGAACGTCCTCAAGTTGGAGAGCCTCAGCCGCGGGAAGGCGAAAAATGCGAGCAGCACCGCGCCAGTGGCGAATGAGAAAAAGGCCGACCAGAGGCCGTGACCGACATCTCTGCCGAGGTTTATGTTGATAGCGGCCTGCAAAGAGCACGCGCAGTGAGAGCATGTGACAGATCTGCTTCCTCTGCTCATTGCTTGCCTCACGGACCTGCAGCGGCAGCCCAGCTCCTGCGATGAAGCACGCCAAGGGCACGCACACCAGCACAAGCAACACATTCTTGGTGTCCATTTGAGTCAATCACAAGCGTTGAATTCGATGTGAGGTGGATGAGTGTGGCATAGGCGACATCCCCAAGCGAAGGATCTTGGCGTTTTGCCGCTCCTTTTCGATCGCCCTTCCGTGTTGAGCTTGCAGGGTTTTCTGAATCCATCAGCTTTGACGCTCGAGCGAGGAGAGGGAAGGAAGGCTGCTCGCCGTCAAGGATTCATAGTACCATCGGCTCACAATGATATAGGTGAGGAAATCTGTTGGTCGAACCATGCATGATACGTGCTTGTGGATCTGGGTCCAGGGCTTCTACACAACAGATGGGAAAGAAGAGGAAAGAGGGATTCTACGATACCACCAAAGACTGGAGAAACGTAAGCACGGCACACACAATTCACATACCAATGATGCTCGCTCGAGCCTCTTGTCTGTCTGTCTGCTGTGTGTGTGTGTGTGTGTGTTTGAAGCCGTACATCGATTATCTGCCGGGTCAGCGGCTGCCCAAAAGGCTGCGATGGATCTGGCCGCTCATCACCATTTCCGTGAGTCAACTCCCTCACGCACAGACGACGCTCACAAGAATGCGCTGTGTGTGTGTGTGTGTGTGTGTGTCATGGGTATCAGTTACCCCCCACCATCCTCCTCCTCGGTCCGGCCTTCGTCCAGGCAGGGTTCCAGGTATGCACACCAACACAGACGCACCACAGACACAGACACACACATCGCTGGCTGTTCCTTCGCCGTGGTCGTCATGCAGAGCCGTGCTGAACGGAGAAAGGAGATCCGGCTGATGAGGGAGGAGCTCGAGAGAGAGGGTTTGAGTGCCGAGCAGCGGGAGGGGGATGCAGGCATCAAGTCGGGAGTGTCCTTGCACATCAACACCTTCATCAGATGACTGGCTGACCAGCTGGGAGGGAGGGAGTGAAACGTGGGCCGGTCTGTCTGAGCATTGACTTGATGCTCGTATGTATTGTGCATTTGTTGGTCGGACTATGCACAGGCAGGGCACCAAGAGAGCAAGATCGCTCAGATGCTCTATGCTCTGCGGCCTCAAGAAAGAAGAGATTGTGGGGCATTGAATGCGACTGGTATTGATGCATAGGGGGTCGGTCTCTCACGATTTCTCACGTGCAAGGCAAACGCAACGCGGGTTGGGAAATACCCTTGGTTCACGGCGAGATTGCGGATTCTCGCCAGGAGACAATTTCTTTTTTCTCCAGAGCCAGGATGGTCAAATTCTTTCACGCATCCCGTCCACAACCGTTTCTCCTCCCGCCCTGATTCTTTCCGCCTGGTTGGCGCCGCCCCCCCGCCCTCCCTCCCTCCCCCCCTCCCTCCCTCCCTTGAGGTGCGCTCAACTGATTTCGGCAGCAGCATGAGCGTGACCCTGTTCCTGAGCCAAACCATCGAGTCGGAGTCCGTGTGGTGGCTGCTCCAATTCTACCGCAACAACAACGTCCAGCTGACCATCGAGCCGACTGAAGACGTAAGAGGGAGGCTGGAACGGCTCATGATGGGGCGCAGGGCGCATGTCAGGAGAGGGATGGTGCTGCCCTCCTGGTGCGCTTCAGATCTACGAGAGGCCGTCGTTGGTGTGCAGGGGCGGCTACTACCGTGGTCTGCGTGAGGTGGTGGGCAAGCTCGTCGACATCAGTGTGCTCGAGCTCGAGGACGACCCCAACATCAATGAGAGATGCGGAACAGAACGGATGAGAAGCGCGCCTCACTCAGCACATCCATGTGTGGCGTATGTGTGTTTGCAGGCACTCAACCATATGCTGACGGCGCTGGAGGACAGGGCGGACCTCTATGGCGGCCTCCAGGAGGTATGTGTGTGTGTGTGTGTGTGTGTGGCTCCGCAGAGGATACGCGAGGAACCAGGCAAGTTCCTGTTCTACCGCGAGGAGCTCACCGGCATCGACCTTCTGGCCCTCCCCTACGCCGATGCACAACAGGTCCTCTTCACACTCCGAAAGGGAACACACACGCCACGGCGACATGACGCATTGTACTGCGGTGTTGCAGGACAAGCTGCAAGACCCGGTGGTGCAGCTCTGGATCGACCGCGTGAGAGGGGCGATTGAGGAGATGCGGCAGGGGCGGCGCAGGGGGTAACCAACGGTACGCAGAATGACGCACTCACTGCACATCGGCGTCTGAATGTGTGGCATTTTGTTTGTGTACTGGCAGGCGAGCGACGTGAGGGCGAGCGGGTCAGGAAAAGCGTGGGTGCTTTTGGTGCGCTTCAGATCCACGAGGAGCCGTCGCTGGTCTGTGTGGACGGGTTTGTGCGCGGCCGGCGTGAGGTGATCGACAAGCTGATCGAGATTGGCGCCATCCGACTGGCAGGTGGGTGAGGAACAGACTAGTGGATGAGAACGCACCCCAGACACGCCATGCGTGTGATGTGATGTGATGTGTCAACAGCGCGCTGGGGGAGTGTTGCCGCGACGGCCGACTGCGGGAGGTGGGTGGCTGTGCGTATTCCACAAATGTGATTTGGCAACCACATGTGTTTCTGTGTCTGTTTTCTTTGTGGGTCTTTTGCAGCTCGTCACCACGGCGCCCGATTTCCTTCTCAGGCACAAGCTCACGAGCCTGGACGTGTTGCTGTACCCCTACGTGACGGCACTGCAGGTCAGTTTCGACACCAACCTACTACTACAGAAGCAAGGCACCACACACCCGCACCCCTGCCGTCCATTGTGCTGCGTGCGTGGTTGCAGGAACAAGCCAATGAACCAGCTCTCCAGCACTGGATCGGCACCAGTGAGTATGTGGTACCTGCAGCACACGTGTGTGAGTCCCTCCCTGTTTGTGTCTTGGCGTCTGCTCAGGTGCGGATCGAGCACTTACGCGCGATGTTTCCGCCTTCAATGTACCGCCCGACGCGCACATACGCGGGTGATACAACGACATCTGTACGCTGGTGCCGCCCGGCGCCACCCAGCGCGAGCGTGCTACGAAAGCGCAAGGACGCCGACGGCTGGGTGCTTGTATCATTGCTCCCCCTTCTCGGCGTCCCGCACCAAGGGCAAGAAGCTGGCGGGCAACCGCTTCTCCGTCTTCATCGACGACGACGAGTCAGACAGCGAGACCAAGGCAGGCGACAAGAAGAAGAAGCAGCGCAAGAACAAGAAGAAGAAGACCAAGTCCAGCACCGAATCATCCACCAACGACGGTGCCTCCCGCACCCCCGCACCTGCCCACGAGGCCGAGGAGACCGAGCCGTGAGTGAGTGCACCAAAGCTGTGCTGTATGTCATGTGCGAATGTCATGTGGTGCTGTGTGTGTGTGCGTCTTGGCAGACCTTCTCCGACCCCAACGGCCGCTTCCTCGGCCACGGCGGCGACTTCAGCGCCATCGACGTCCTGTTGTATCCATTCGTCGAAGCGCTGGCAGGGGTACACACAGACAGACACTAATTATAATGTCCTTCCGGCTGCTGTGTTGCTTGCAATGCAGAGGCGGCCGAAGGACCCGGGCGTCAAGGCGTGGCTCAACCGAGTCGGGCCGGTGATAGAGTAGTTGCACCAGCGGCTGCGCAGGCATCAAGTACGGGCCACTATACACTGCACATCGGCGGCTGTATGTGTGTGTGGCTCCTTGCAATATGTGCGTGCGTGCGTGTGTGTGCTTTTGTTGTTGTTGTTGTTGTTCTCCGTCTTCATCGACGACGACGAGTCAGACAGCGAGACCAAGGCAGGCGACAAGAAGAAGAAGCAGCGCAAGAACAAGAAGAAGAAGACCAAGTCCAGCACCGAATCATCCACCAACGACGGTGCCTCCCGCACCCCCGCACCTGCCCACGAGGCCGAGGAGACCGAGCCGTGAGTGAGTGCACCAAAGCTGTGCTGTATGTCATGTGCGAATGTCATGTGGTGCTGTGTGTGTGTGCGTCTTGGCAGACCTTCTCCGACCCCAACGGCCGCTTCCTCGGCCACGGCGGCGACTTCAGCGCCATCGACGTCCTGTTGTATCCATTCGTCGAAGCGCTGGCAGGGGTACACACAGACAGACACTAATTATAATGTCCTTCCGGCTGCTGTGTTGCTTGCAATGCAGAGGCGGCCGAAGGACCCGGGCGTCAAGGCGTGGCTCAACCGAGTCGGGCCGGTGATAGAGTAGTTGCACCAGCGGCTGCGCAGGCATCAAGTACGGGCCACTATACACTGCACATCGGCGGCTGTATGTGTGTGTGGCTCCTTGCAATATGTGCGTGCGTGCGTGTGTGTGCTTTTGTTGTTGTTGTTGTTGTTGTTCTTGTTGTTGTTGTTCTTGTTGTTGTTGTTCTTGTTTTTGTACTTACTGGCAGGTGAGTGAGGTGAGGGCGAGCGGTATGCAGCCCGCGACGGACGTGCAGCCGACAGTGGGCCGTGTGGACGAGGTGCGTACGGACACATACACCCGCACCACACACTGGCAGGCAATGAAAACACACACACCCATCCACCTCGTGTGTTTGTGGTATGCAGCTGAGAGCAACAAGTCCTGCCGTTCCTTCGAGTCGCTGGATCTTTTCATCCATCGCTGGCTACATTTTATATCCCGACGACAGTGAACAGACAGAGACACTCATGCACGCGCGCTGGGACGACAGGCGCAGGGCCGCATCGTCTGAGACATGGTACTGAGACATAGCGGAGCATCAGCATATATGTCGACTTGAACGCTTTGCTGATGCTTTTGCCCTGTGTACTGACAGGCAGCTGACGTGCACGCGGCGTCCACCGAGGGTCAGCAAGCGGCCCAGGTGGCCCAGGAATTCATTACACATTGCTGGTTCCTGTGTCAGCAGGTGGCGGTTCAGCGTGTTGTACACCCCCCTCAGCAGCAGACGAGAGAACCGATGCATACACACACGATGCACAGTCATACGCACACACATGCTCTTCTTTGGTGCCGGACCATATGCCGTGTTTTCTTTCGTGCCCAGCAGCGTGGACCTTCTGGCCCTCCCGTACGCCGATGCACAACAGGTCCTCTTCACCCGCCACGGCGACATAACGCATTGTACTGCGGTGTTGCAGGACGATTGGCAAGACCCGGTGGTGCAGCTCTGGATCGACCGCGTGAGAGCGGCGATTGAGGAGATGCGGCGGGGGCGGCGCAGGGGGTACCCAAGGGTACGCAAAATGACGCACGCACTGCACATCGGCGTCTGAATGTGTGGGACCATGGGTCTGGCATTTTGTCTGTGTACCGGGAGGCGAGCGACGTGAGGGCGAGCGAACCGCAGCCGGCCACCAATGTGCAGGGGATAGCGGTGCAGGCAAACCAGGTACACATTGACGCACACACTGGCAACACACACGCATTCTCACATTCCTGGTTCCTGTGTCAGCAGAACTCGTTTCGTATGGCCCAAGTCACGCAGCAGCCGTTCGTCACACTGGTCCACCCTCTCTTCTTGGTCACTCATCCATCTATCTATCCATCCATCCATCCACAACACGTGCACATGCCTGTCTGGCGGGGTGCGGGGCGATGGCCTGCGTGGATGGATCGAGAGTGTGTCGTCGATTGGATGGGTGGATGGATGGATGGATGGTTTGATATATACGGATGGATGGAGAACGCATAAGTAAGAGCCTGGCCTTTTGTGCTGGGCATCGTATGTATGGGACACAGGGGGAAGGGAGGACGAATGTATATATCGACTGGCTGGCTAAGTGCCCTTGCTTGCCTCTTTGCCTGCTCTCTCTCTGCCGGCCGGCTGTTTTTCTGTTGTGTACAAGAGTGTCTGTCTGTCTGGCTGGCTGGCTGGCTGTGTGTAATTGCTCACATGCATTGCATTGTTACAAGTGTGCAGATCGCTGGATGGCAGATCGTCTCTTCCCGTGTTTCATCCCAAGGTGTGTACACACACGACTCGACACACACAGTGAGGGATGCACACACATGCGTGTCCTCTATGGCAGATGCCGGCCAAGTACCGATACACATGCTGCCCACACGACTATGGCCGCACGTACACACACACTGTGGTGCCCTTCGACTGGACAGTATGCACACACACACACACACCCCGGCAGGCAGGCAGGCAGGGGTACCACTCGTCGGCTGTTGGTTGTGTTGGCTGCAGGATTCTGGAGCTGTGTACCGGTTGTTGATGCAGCCGAAATGCTACCAGGACCACATTCTCAAGTCCATCACGCCCAGTGTGTGTGTCAGTACGTAGGTACTTTGTCACAGGCATGCATGGATGAGTCCCTCCTCTTTGTGTCTCGGTGTCTCCGTCAGGTGCCCATCGACCAGCTGCGGATGATGTACCCACCGTCGATGTACAGATCGACCTGCAGCTATGCCGGTAAGACATCAACCACTCACTGCACACACAAAGACACACAGGCGTGGCGCCCACGCATTCTCATTCCTCTACGTGTCTACGTGCATCTGTGTGGGGCGTGCAGAGTCCAACAAGACCAAGTCAGCCTGCGTGCTTCTCGTGGGGCTGAGGCAGGCGGGGCGAAGGAGAAAGTGGTCGTCATCGACAATGTTGCCATGAATGCAGAGGCCTTCGATGCATGCGGCGTTGAAGGAAGCACAGAAGACCGCTGCATGCCAGAGAAACGGCTTGTTTTCTTTATCGCTGGCTACATTTTATATCCCGACGACTGTGAAAGGACAGAGACACGCACGCGCGCTGGGACGACAGGCGCAGGGCCGCGCCTGCACCCGAGAGCACGCCGACAGCACCACGAGACTTCTGCGTGCTGTCGGTGGTGGCTGTGCGGCGGTGCGGATGCTCCGTCTATTTCTGTCTACATTTTATATCATCCATGATGTGGTCATTCTCCGTGTCGTGCAGAACACGAGACTCATCTAACTAAATCACAACAGATTTTTGCGTCACGTACACACCTGCGTATTGCGCTACACATGACTCAGTCCGCCAGCTCTACGTGTATCATCACACCGCCACCCAGACCCAGCTCATCTACACACACACACACACACATGCACACACAAAGAAGACATATGTAAGTGTGCGCATACCACAACCGATCGGACACGTGCGCGTGAATACCGATTGGTGAGTCTCGTTTCGCCGTGAGGTAGTCCTCAGTATTGGTGCTGAGCCTTGTCATGCCTCCGCCGTCCACAGGGAAGAATCGAAGGGCCAGGTGACTCGCAGCGCGGCACGATGCATCATGCCTACACACACAGAACCAACACGCACCTCAAATACGCCTCGCATCCAGAAGCACACCCCCAGGCTCACTCACCGTCTGGCGAATGTGAAGATGGCTCGCAGCTTGGTGCTCTTGTCGAACTTGCCCCTCACTGTCTTGCCGCTGGGCAGCCGCAGCGCCAGTGCCATGTCGCCCTCCTCGCCCAGCGCCTCCGGCTCACTGTCACCCTCGTCCCTGTGGGTATCGGCGGATGCTGCTGCTGCTGCTGCTGCAGATGGTGGCTGGTGCTGGTCCTCGTGGTGATGCTGTCGGTCTTCGGTGTGCTGTGGAGGTGGTAGTGGGTGTGTGGTGGCCGGGTGCTGCTGCAGCTGGCGGATGGCATTGCTGACCTTGATACGATGGCCGGCTGATGAGAAAAGATAGAGGGACAGGTGTGTGTGGTTTGGGGGCGAGCGTGAGTGTGTGTGTGTGCGTGTATGGCTACTCACGTAGGCAGTTGACGATATCGAGCATTTGGTCGACATCCTGCCGACCCATCAGGGCGAATGTCTGCATGTCGTCGTATCCGCTGTCCCTCAGCCGCTGGGCATACACAGACAGCCCATGACCCGACAGCCACACATCCACCTGCAAACCACCCACACCACCCACTCAGTGGATAAACGCATCAATGCACCATGGCCAGCCCTCTCTCCCCTCACCGTGTCCTCATCATGTTTCTTGCAGTGGTCCGTATGTGCGTCAGCTGCCGATGATGTGTCCCCGCCCCCTCCGCCGCCGCCCCACGCCATGCACACCTCTTGTTTGACTTTGGCCGCTGCCTCGCGGCGCTTCCGCTTGGCCGCGCGCCTGACATACACACACACATTCACACACAGGGAGAGAGAAAAGATGAGAGTCGAGGCTGAATGCGATGCGGTCTTTCGTGTAGCTGACTGACCATTCCTCCATGTGTTTTGCCTGCTCCTCTTTGTCTATCTCTTTCTTGCGCTTCTTCTCCTCTGCCGCCTTCCTGGCCTTCTCCTGACGCACCTGCCTGACACACACAAGCAAGGTATGTATACACACACGCACATGTGTGTTCGTGTGAGTTGTGTGTGTCGTCTGTCTGTGTGTGTGGAGGACCTGGGTGTGCGTCCCTTCTGCTGCAGGTGGCTGAGGGCAGACTGGCGAACGGCGTCTGAACGACAACAAGGCGCACGGGGTGGGACGAGGGATGCGAGCACCGACGGTCTGTTGTGACATCATGATGCTTGCCTGCAGCGCTTGTCGGCTTCTCCCCTACACCCAGAAGCGCCTCCACAAAGTTGAACCTGCGCAGATGAAGACCATAGCAACTCGATAGATGAACAGGTGCCAACACACACACACACACCTGCCCGTTTCCTTGCTCACTGGTCTGCTGCAGGCACGGGCCTGGCCTGCTGGGCGATCTCTTCCCGCCGCTGCAGGTCTTTGAACCTCTCAGGGTCAGGCGGCCGCACATGGTAGGCACCACGGAACTGACATATTGACACACACACAGACACAGAGAGCGACGCACAAGCACTGAGTACACGCCTGCAATGCGGGGTCATCCATCCATTCATTGTGCGTACCTGCCAATCCCGCGATGCACCGCTCGGTGCATTTCTTCTCTTGGGCTGAGCGATGAGCTGCTCCTCATATGTATCGTCGGGAGCACGCACGGCATCGCCCTCCTCGAGCGGCAGGTTCTCATCCTGCTCCTCGTCCGCCTCTTCATCTTGCTGCTGATCTGGCTCATTCTCGCCATCAAAGCCGTCAGCCATTGCGACACGAAAATTTATGGATTGCAGTAGCGGCGTGCTGAAGGAAGCTTTGAGGCACGGAAATACCAAAACAGCAGCGGTTTCAGGGAGCACCGAATTTTTGCGAGCTACTAGGAGAGGAGAGACCGAAACGTAGCCTGGTACGTAACCTGGTGGTTTTGACGTCGCCGTGTTGGATGAAGGAGAAGAGCCTGCAGCAGTCGTGAAAGCAGTCCGACATTGCCCCTTGGTTTTCTCATCTTCTTCTCTCCGCTGACCGATGTCCCTTGACAGGAGCCTGGACCCCTCGCTGGCCCAGGGGGTGGCCGAGCAGCTCCACTTATCCTCCTTCCCCGACTCCCCCATCGCCCAGGCCACCCCCCTTCACGATGCCATCACACCCGACGCACCACAGCTGGAGCTCCGCGACGCTGCTGGTGTTGGTATTGGTACTGGTGCTGGTGGGCGCTTCGAGCTGGTCGACCGGCCGCAGTACTTCGTCTTCCTGTTCGTCAACCCGACGTCGGGCGGCAGCAAGGCTGGCGAGATCACGCAGCTCGGGGTGGAGACCTTCCGCTTCCACGCGCCCTACGACATGATGGCTTACGTCTATGACATCACTTCGGGCGACCCGGGCAACAAGCCGGGGTTCAAGCGGCTCAAGACGGTGGTGGACGGCGTGCCGGCCGACCAGATCGTGCGTGTGGTGGTGGCTGGTGGCGATGGGACGGTCATGTGGTGTCTGTCTGAGCTGGAGGAGCACGGCATCGACGTCATGCGCGTGGCTATCGGGGTGGTGCCGTATGGCACGGGCAACGACTTCGCGAGGGCGCTGGCGTGGTCGCGGATATCGAATTGCGCCCTGTTTGACGCGTCGTTTGCTCTGTTCAAGGCGCTGGTGCACACGTGGATCGAGTCGAGGGTGGTGCCCTATGACATTTGGGAGGTGGAGGTCTCCGTCCAGGACGACGGGTGAGGGTTAGTCAGTGAAGTGAGCCGGTCACGCTGGGCATCATGTCACGCCGTCGTTATTCAGGTGCTTCAAAAAGATCGATTCCAAGACGCGTCAGAAGAAGACCCTCACGCAGCGGGACGACGCGAGCCGGCCCGTTGTCTCGCAGAAGTTCCCCATGGCCAACTACTTCTCCACCGGCATCGAGTCGCGCATCGGCCTGGGCTTCGACAGGCACCGCGCACGCTCCCCCTTCGCTAACAAGGTCGTCTACTTCACCGAGGGCCTCAAGAAGGCCTTCAAGAAGACACCCAGGATCACAGATGTCATCAGCAACCTCAGCGAGGTCAGTGGCGAGAGCGGCCCCTCACAGGAGTCCCCTCTGGCCCGAAGCGAGCCGGCGTCCACCAGCAGCGAGCGGTCGGTCTTCTCCCTCTCCACCAGCAGCGGCGGCCCCAAGCTCGTCGGCAAGCCCGCCTCCCTCATCGCCATCAACATCCCCTCATTCGCGGGGGGGCTCGACATCTGGCGGTCCTCCAAGGGCCGCCCCGGCCTGCGACAGGCCGCATTCAATCAGGACGAGATCCTCAAGTCCCCCCAGGCAGTCGGCGACGGCAAGATCGAGTGGATGACATTCGACAGCAGCGTGGCCATCGGTGCGGAGAAGGTGATATCCGGCCACGGGCGGCGGGTGTACCAGGGCTCAGGGCCGTTCAAGCTGACGTTCAAGGACAGGCTGCCCGGGGGGGAGGGGCGGTTCTACATGCAGGTGGACGGGGAGTTCTTCCAGCTGTGCAAGCCCAAGGAGGCTCTCTTGCGGCACCACAAGACCATCCAGGTGCTGATGGCTGACCAGAAGGTGCTGGCGCGGCGGATAAAGGAGGCCAAGCATGGCGTGCACCGGCGGACAGCTCCATAGCTCTAGCTTAGTGAGGGAGCAGGGACGGGGTGGGGGGAGGGAGGGAGGGAGGGTTTGTTTTTTCGTGGGTGCGGTGCTTGTTTTCCGTCTTTTTGGGTCAGTGACGGACAGGGCAGGTGTGGAGTGAGTGACTGAGTGGCTGAGTGTGCATTTTTGCGTGACTGGCCGGCTGAGTGTAGTGGGTTGAGTGTACAGACACATACTTGCATCTGTGGTCGGCCAGTTAGCCAACAGAGAGAGAGAGGGAGAGAGCGCTTTGATGAAATGTCTGATCGTCTCTTCGATTGTCTGATCGCCGGCCTGGGCTGCCTGCGTTTCTCATGTCTGCGTGACTCGTGTACCCTACTATCGTATCTCATGTCTATGTATGTATAGCCCGTTTTGCTGCCTTCACGATCTGATCTATCTTGCTGACTGACTTGACTCCCTTTGGTATGGACCCTCGTCCATTTGACTCGACTCAACCAAACGTCGACCGATACAGAACACGACAAATGGAACTCTCACGGCCACAAAACATCAGCTATCCTCTTTCTGCCCGAATTTCCTCCTCAGCGCCGCCTGTTCGTCGGCCGAGAAGCCCCTCGACTCGAGATATTGTCGCACACCGCCGCACTCGTTGTTGACATACTCGAGGGCGGTCTTCATGGCCTCCGGCGTGGCCAGTGCCCAAGATTCCGGCATGCCCATGTCAGCCATCTCACTGCATCCATGACACACAACACAAACATAACAAGAGGCTATGAATACGGTCTGTCCGGGGCTCATCTGGTGCTCACCTCTTCACGTTGTCGATGACCGGGCTGAGCCCCTTCTCTGACGCCGAGTAGTCGGCAAGGATGTCACTCTCCGACGCACCCATGATTGACAGCAGCAACATCGTGACAAGACCTGACGGCACACAGCAGTCATGTGTGTGTGCGACAAATGCACGACGGATGTTCTCCCACTCACCTGTCCTGTCCTTGCCGAAGGAGCAGTGCATGAGGAATGGCGGCTCCTCCCGCAGCAGCACCCCAAGGGCCTCAACCAACTTGTCACCAGCTGCATACGCCATGCACCAACCAAATCATCCATCCATCCATCCACCCATCCATATCCATCAGCCGCCATTGACTCTCACCATGCTGCAGGAAGAGCACATAGGTCTCCCCGAGCGAGAGCGACGCCAGCGCCCATCTGGTGGCGTAGAAGGCGCTCAGCGTGCTGCCCGTCAGCGAGTCATACAGCTTCAGGAAGGCGAGGGCCAGCTGTGTGGGGCAGCCGGCCATCCGGATCACCCGCCGTCGAAAGCCCTTAGACCTGCGCCAACCGACATCCATCCATCCATCGGTGAATTCGCTCACTGCCCCACTCACCCACCCTGCAATGTTGGCCTTGATGGCTTTGCGAGCAGACTTGTTATTGCCGTCACCGCCAGAGCCCCCCTTTGGCTTGAAGTTCTGCGGCACAAAGATGCCGTACACGCCCTCGGCCGCTATCCTGTCTTGATCCGATGAGGGATCCGAATGGCCACGGAGGTCCAGGATGGTGCGGATCTGCAGCTCGCCAACGAGCTTCTCGCACACTGCAGCCGTGCTGGACGCCAGGGGCCGCGCTGAGCGGTACACCACACCTGACAAGCGACACAGATGCATTCATCCACTCACCAGAATGAGCAGATCTGTGCATTTTGTGTCACCTTCTGTCATGCAGGCGGAAGGGCACGCCAATGAAACGTCTCGGAGGTTGTGCAGTGACGCCATTTTTTCTCTTTGCGCCACTGCGAGCTCACCGACGGATCGGCGATCCACTTGCTTTCGGCGTTCTCCCCTCTTTTGTCATTTCCGCCATGAATGTGCAAGCCGCTCGACTCGCTATGTCGTTTGCTGTTGTCAGCTGCTGTTTGCAATGAGTTGTTTCTGCTGCGGGACCGATTGTTTGTTCGCTACTTTGTATGGCTTCCTGTGTCCGTCCGTTTGCATGCCACTATCAGTTGTGTGGATGTCCATAAATCACTTCAAGGCCATGGCCATTCTGTTTTGTGTGCAACAGATGTGCTGCCCACATTGGAAAAACACCACCCACCAGCCACCCACCCACCCACCAGCAACACCCACACCCGCCCACCCATCCATTCATCAGCAAGACCAACAGACAAGTGGAGCAATCGCAAGGCAGCGAAAGCACACAGACAGACAGACAGACAGACAGAGAGACAGACGAGCGGACACACAGAGAGAGAGAGACAGCGAGCGAGCAAGATTCACCCTGGCTTATTGCTGATCGCTTGTTTGCCCATGTTGGTATGCACATAAACGACTGACTTGTCTGTTATCAGCAGCAACACATCTCAGCACTTTACAATCGGCACATCTCTTGCGATGCGCTTATCCCCAAAACCACCCATTCCCCCCCCTCCGCCGCACCCCTCCGCCGCACCCCTCCGCCCCCACATGAGCTCTTCCCCCCGTCTGCACAAGCCGTGATTCGCATATCCACTTCCGCCTTAGATCAACACACCACACGTGCCACACACCGGACCGACGGGCATATGAATTGGCCCCTTTGCGGCGTGCGGGCGTAGACGTCATATCTGTACATCAACAAGCTCACATAGTTCTCACTGCGGCCAGAGATCGATACAAGCGGTGAGAGAGGTGGAGAAGGAGAAAGAGAAAGAAAAATCTATGGCAAGAATCTCAGCAAGTGACTTGAAGCTCACGCATTCACGTCCATATGCAGCGCAGCAGGCAGACGCCAATTAGTTGTACGCAAGACAGCGAAAGCATACAGACAGCAACAGAGAGAGCGAGAGAGAGGCAAGACATTTCCCTGGATTCTGATTGTTCATTCGCTGTTCCCCTTCCCCTGCACACACTGATTGTTCGTTCGTTGTGTCGGTATGCAACCCCAGCACCCGACCCAGCTACACGCAAGAGACAAGAGAAAGAACAGTAGAGGTTTGATTGTTTCTTCGTCATGTCGGCGTGCACATCAACGAACGACTGACTGACTTGTCTGCTCCCAGCAGTATCACCCTAGGTACGCAAGGCACGGCGAAAGATGAGGAATGATCGGGCTATGTGCATATGCGGCCCTCTGTTGTCACATAAACCGACCATGCAGCAAGTGAAACACGTCCACACATGCACCAGTACCAGCGTCAGACAGTGATACACAGACACGGAGAGCACACGGGCAGACGGCAAGAGTGAGAAAGATATGGAGAAAGAAAAACAATCTCACCTCTTGTTCGCAGCCCCAAAAGGAACCCATACACACCCCCAGCACTCACTCGCTCACCACAGGCCTTGTTGATTCATTCATGCCGTGAACACACACACACACACAACACACACACACACACACACAGAGAGAGAGAGAGAGAGTATAAAAGAGAGCCACGCATCACAACCCCCCCTCCCCCCAGCCCTCCCTCACATCTGTCAACCCATCACTTGTCGGTCCCGTCTCCCGATTTGCCCTGCTGCTCCTGCCCGTCATCACCTGCAGCCACGGCGCTCTGCTTGCCACCTGTGGACTTGCGGCCCCCTCGTCCCACAGCATCAGAGAAATCGCAAGCCGGAAGATCATCTCGGTCGCTGCATTGCATCTCGGGATAGCCAAGGGCCCCCGGGCAGACAGGGAGGAGAGAACCACCCGCGGCGCTAGCCTCGTTGGTGCAGCACAGCGCGCAGGGTTGTCTGGAATCCATCGGGGGTGGCTCAATGATCTGCTGCACTCCCACACCAAAAGTGTTAATGCCACTTCTGCACATCGATCCAAGGCAGGGCAGATTCTCCGCCTTGCCGCAGCAGAATTCTGGGCACTCGGGCAAGGAGCCTGTTGGTGTTGTCGTCTTTTCGTCATTGCTGCAGCAGGACGGGAAGTCGCCGAGAGCAGGATCATCGCTGCATGACCCATCGTTGACGTTCCCCGGGCACACGGGCAGTCGATTCGCCGGGTCCGATTCGGCGGTCTCTCGGTTGGTGCAGCACGACGGGCAAAAAAATATTAGAAGAAGAGGCACCCGAGCCCCCTCCGAATTGCTTCGGCTGGACAAGCAACCCAGCAAATCCGGGTTCAGCAACAGGAACGGGAAGACAAAAGGGTCCGGGGCATGGATCTTGGCCTGGTCAACCGCAGCAGAAGTCGGGCTCGTCACACACCACTCTGACCGGGCACTCCTTGGTGCTCGTCCTCTCAGTGCCGTCAAACTCGTCCTCGACGGTAACCGTGGCCTTCACCTTAGCCGTGCCAACCGTGCCAGAATCGACGTCTTCACCTGCAAGATGCACACATCCTAGACAAACCCCATTCATTCTGTGTGTTCAATGAGCTGACTGCATTGCTTGGCTCTGATGACATTTCCAGTGCGCTTCACTTTGATGCCCGGGTCTGCTACAATGGACTGGAATACACACGGACACAGGGACAGACAGCCACGATGCAGAGACGCAAAGGGGACGCATGTGATGCGTGAGTCGACCTTGACTTCGAAATTGACAGTAGTAAGCTCTCGAAGTGCGTTCACGTCATCTTCGTCCTCTGAACGCAACCCTCTGTACGTCGCCCGGAAGAGACTCTCGACCTCTGATGTCAAGAGCCTAATCTTGTTGGGTCCGCCACCTGTGGCGAAGAGTGCTGGAGGCACGAACTCGTTAAAGCATCTGCAGGCAGTGACAGCAGGGACACGTGTACGCAGCTTGCCTGCCTGCCTGCCTGCCTGCCTGCGTCTGTGAGTGCGTCTGTGCGTGCGCGCGTGTGTGCTCACTCGAGTTCTGGATCCTGTTTGAAGCACTGGATCTTGATGGGGCATGTGGTTGGCCTGCTTTTCACCCCGTCGTTCCTCTTGACCACAATCGTGATGGGCACACGGATCCGCCGCGCACCAATGAGCTCATCGACGCCATCATCACTGAGGATACGCGGAGTAATGCAATTGTCTAATCCTGTTGTTGTGTTGCAGCCAGACAGAAGACAGGCAGGCCAATTGATTTGTGTGTCTGTGTGTCCATCCATCCATCCATCCATCCATCCACGAAAACGTACGTTCGCATGCGATTTGCAGCTCGAAGCCATCTCCTGATATGTCGGTTGATATTTTGATGCCCTCAGCGTTGTTGCCTCGATCGGTCACCAAGAAGCGGAAATCCTCGGGGATGCCGACGTTGACGATCCTGAATTTGTCTGCATCGACGTGATGAGATCAGAGCTGGGCACAAAGCCCTGCAGGACAAACAGCGGGTACACGAGTGAGAAGGTGCGAAGGTCGTGAAGGTACCACTTCAGCAAATGCGGCGAGGAGGGGTGGTGGGTCCTTACACCTGACAGTTGACAGACAGACAACACAGGCACTCAGCGATGATTTCGCTCTCATCTCTGTCTGTCTGTCTGCCTGCCTGCTGGCCTGCTTACGTGATGATGTCAGGCCTATCCTCACAGACGCCTTCATCCTCGTCTAAGACTTCACCTCTATCCCCACTTTCGTCTCCTCCCTTGTTACAGAAACCCGAGCAGCAGTTGGCACCATCCGTACACTTTCCGTCAGCTTCCACACACGCAGCACACTTGCCCATGTCCTTCGACTCGTCTCCGGTCTCATCTGCCTCGCTATCCTCGTCAAAATGACATATTTTGACGCAGCACTCGTCATCGGTACTGCAGGGCCTGCCGCACTCCTTGCAGTTGCGGCGGCCGAGAGCGCCGTTGTGCTCTGCCGTTGCCGTGTCATTCAGCGGAGGCTGCTGCTTGGATGCCTGCTGCTTGGTGGCGGCGGCTTGCTTCACTTTTGGCCTTCGTGTGTCGTCCTGGAGCGAACGGGTGAGGGCCGCATGGGGGGAGCCCGCACGCAGCAGCGCTAAGAGAGAGACAGAGAGGGACGCACACACAGTGACCACAGCGGTCTCACTGTGTGAGAGCTCACCAGGCGAGATGATGAGCAGCAGGACCGGGAAAACTGACTCACGCATTGTGCGTTGCTTCGGGGAAGGCCGCGAGGGGGAGGGGGAGGGGGAGAAAAAGAAGGAAGCCAAAAAGCACACAAGGGCCCTGCCGTATAATTCTGCAGCCGTTAGCCGTTTGAAGCGCTAGCTGTGCGTAGATCAACAAAAGTTGTCTGTCCTTGAGATCCGTCGTCAATTTGCATACGACACAAAAACCATTCACACACGAGGACTGGGCAAATTCATGTTTCCATCCATGTATCCATGTGTCCACGTAGATGTGTCTGTCTGTCTATTTGTTCCTGGTGAGAGTCCTCTGCTTCTCGGCAGCCACAACCACCTTCTCGCCAGTCGCCAGCCCCTGCACACAGACACGCGCACAACACGTCAACGTGGGCTCGTCCGTCTGTCTGCCTGGGTGGCTGTCGTACCTTTCTCTTTCGTATGGTGGTGACAATTCGCCTGGCCGTGTTGGGGGGCGGACCCTGCTCGCCGAACTCCTCCAACTCCTACACACACACACACACACACACACACATATCCCCGCACACAATCGATGGACGCCATCCACACACACATGGTATGCATACCTCTTCGGTCATGGACGCCTCCGGGAATGGGTCCTCGTCGAGCACCTCCCAGTGCGAGAACTGCAGGTGCAGCGACACGTCGCCGCTCGCCCTGGATCGCAGATCCTGCGCCACGCCAAACGCCTCCGTCACGGGGATCAACGCCTGCACTCAGCCAGCCAGAGGCACACACATTGTGTCTTCGCGTGTGTGGATGGGGGGCGGGTGGATGCTTAGTTGGCTTACCTCAACGACAAAAGTGGATGTGCCCTCTCTGAGGTTTTCTGCCACCACCCTGGCCCGTCTTTTGGCCAGCACACCGTATGCCTTGCCCAACACATCCTGCTCGCACTGCATCTCTGATACACACACGTGATAGAGGCATGATGGCAGGCAGGCAGGCGTTGATATCTTTCCCTTACCGAGCCTCAGTGCCGCCTCGCAGATGCGTGTGCGTCCTCTTTGCAGCAGGCTCTCCCTGCAGCCCTCCTTTGTCGCCGACATGACCTGACACACAGCCCCACGACACACACCCACTTGCACGTACCCATCGATGCATGTGCCGTTTCCATCACTCACCTGCCCAGAGAACGGCCCATAAGGGTCAGATGCGATCGGTCCCGACGCCTCGGTCGAGGACTCACCATCCCCACCGCCACCATGCTGCCCTCCCTGCTGCTGCTGGTCATCTGACACCTGCTTCTCCACCTCTTTCAGCCGGACGTCCTGCACCACAAAGCCCACGCCCCTCACGGCCTCCTCGCATATCGGCCCCGCATAGCTCGCCAGCTCGAAACCAGACACAACGGACGGCAGGATGGTGGACAGATCGGCGTCTCTCTCTGCTGGCTGCTGTGTGTCCGCTCTTCCGTAGGAATGCCGCAGAGACCAGGCTGCCGTGTTGGTGCCGAGGAGGAGGTTTCTGCTGCCGCGGTTGACGCAGATGCCCCACAGGCGGCCTTTGGGAGGCTCCTTTATCCCTGTCTGGGTCCACGTGTGGTGTATCTCTTGGCCGATGGTGTCAAGACACCTGTTGAGGTCATCCGCGTCACTGCTCGTTGGCGGTGGTGATGATGTTGATGTGTCGGCAGCAGGGAGGAATCGGAGGGCGGGACGGCGGCCGTGGATCACCGCCTGAGAAAGAGAGAGAAAGAGGGAATGCTGCGTCAAGGGCGACACAACTGTGTGCGCGTGGGTAGGGTGCTTACGGAAATGTCTCCTTCGTTGTCGTCAAGCCACTTGACCACTGCACAATCACAGCCCCCACCCCGAAACACAATGATTGCACTTCATGTGGGGGGCATGTACTGTGCCCACCTTCAGGCGGCAGTGGTTCGGCGCGCAGGGTGATGACCGCCCGCCTGTTGGCCGTCTCCACACGCACAGACCCTATAGCGACACGACACACACAACACCACACCCGTTCACCCACACCCACGCACAAACCCCCGCCAGCTCACCTTTGCCGATCTCTACAGCAGCAGCAGCAGGAGGGGCCTTCTTGCCCTCGCCATCCTCCTCTCCCTTGTCCTTGTCTTTTTCCTTCTCTTTCTCCTTGTCTCGGTCCGTTGCCCACGGTGGGAAGTTGACACTCTTGGCCAGCGCCTCGCTGAGGGATGTGTCGCCCTGCTGTGTGGGCGGCACTGACGTGATGGACTCGCGGATGGCCACAAGCGGGGGGGAAACTGCCACACACAAAGGGGAGGTGGGAGAGGGCGTGTGTGTGGGATAGGTTTGTGTATACCGTTGAGGGGCACTCGAGCGTACAGGTTGCTGAGGTCGTTGATGCACCGCTCCAAATGGACCTCCCCGCAGCAGCCGATGACGTACTCGCCAGTGTCCAGGACACTCAGCTGCATATTCACAACCCACCATCACATGTTTGTTGGGTGATGTCACGCTTATGCGCACCTCTACAGATGGGTCGGCTCTCTGCAGCAGCCGCAAGCCCCTCGCCACGGCATCGAAGTCCTGCAGATGCTTCGGCTCGACGCTCACACGCACTATTGCCGCATTGCTCTGCACGCGCACACACACATCCATCCATCCATCCGTGTGTATGTGAAAAGGTGTGTGTGTTTGCCTGCCTTGCTGTAAGGGTTGTCGAATGGGGGGCAGTCGTCTGTGGTGCTGAGGGTGATGCACCGGTCGACTGACGTGAGGGAGAGGGTCCACTCGTGCTCATGATTGTCTCCGTCTGGTGCTGTTGACGCGTCAGCCAAAGAAAGGGCACAGATGCTGCCCGCAGGCACCTGCAAGGGATGGATGCACACAGGAATGCATTTGTGTTAATACCTTTGTGTGGTCGGTGTGACCTCGTTGATTTCAGAAAGGTAGCGGCCCATGAGCAGATACAGACCCAGCACCTACACATGTCCCCACATCCATCCATCCATCTATTCATAGTGAGATCCATCCATTCATCCATGAGGTGTGCAGGCCACATGCGTACCCTGACGATCCTGGTCCTCTGCTGGTCGGTGTCCGCACCATCCACAGCACCATCATTCACACCACCACACACACGAAGATCCATGCCTTTCCTGCACACACCCATACACACACATACGGATGGATGTGCTGACGTGTGTGTATGTGTGTGTGTGAGGTCATAACACGGACCTGAGCGTCCCGGCGAACACCCTGGCGAACCCCACAAAGTCCCCCACCTTCTCTATGCCCATCAGCTTGTCGCCCGTCAGCGTCAGCTGATCCAAATCAGCACCTATACACACACTCACACAGCCACAACTATACACACACGTGTCCATATGCACACCTGCAGCACTCACCGAGGAATTTGGCCACATAGGCGACGCACTCGCCTTGCGCCGAGCTGCTCATGAGTGTCTGTGCGAGACCACCATGGCTATCGTGCCGCAGTGAGGGGCAGAGGTAGGCCATCCGCAGGGAGGCCGCCTGGGTGGGGGAGGGCAGCAACGCCGAGACGAGAGAGAGGATGCCTTGGGAGAGGGGCAGCCACGCCGAAATGATCGCCTGCATACAAAAGACAAGAGAGGAAAAGAATGCAGCAGAATGACTGACAGACAGAGAGGGTGGTAGGAGGGGGGGTACCTGTGCAGCGTCAGGGCCTTGCTTAAGAGCGTCCGTTTTGACGGTGTCGGTGAGTTTGAGTGAGGTGACCATTTTCTGCACCGCCGAGGGGTCGAAGTGGTCCACTGTCACCTCATACACCTAAACACACCACACGCATTTCCATTGAACGCACGTGCCTCTCCGCACACAGACGTACCTTCCAAAGCGACTCTAGGATGAACTGCACGCACATCGGCCGCAGTTTGCCCTACACCAACACACACACGCCACACGAGTGATCACCAAAACACACAAACATTCCCCCCTCCCGCCCTACCCACTCACCTGTGCGCGTTTGAGCACTTGTTTGGTCTTGGGATTGAAGAAATAGTCCCCCCACAATGCCCGCTGCAGCTTGGGGACAGCAGTGGGCTTCACCCCCAGCTTCGGCGCCAGCTGTCTGGCGAAGGTGGCTATGTCGAAGCACCAGCCGTGCAGTGCGGATGCGAAGACGACGTTGCCGCGGACGGGGGAGAACTCGATGGACTCCTCTAAATCGTCGTCAAACACCAAATCCTGAGAGGAATATGGAAGATACACTCAGGGTGTAATGCATTTTGGGTGTGCTGTGTACCAGGCCGGCCGAGTCGGCTTCGCTGCTGCTGCCGTCTGACGTGACGCTGGCTGTGTCATCTGCTGCTGATGCTGTGGCTGTGCTGCCTTTGGTACGCTGGGCGGCCGCGGCCATGACCTCCTCTGTCAAAAGCTGCTGCTGAAGGGCGTTCACCTTCACACGAACACAGAGAGGGGTAGGGATGGGGCCCTGTGTGTGCTATGAGCGCACTTGTACCTGTTCGATGATTTTGCACAGGTGTGTATATGCCTCTGAGGGCGACAGACGGAGATCCAATATCAGACGGTCCATCCTATGACGTGTGACACAGAGGGGCGAAGGGATGGACATCTGTACACATAACTTCGTATCCTGAGTGCCCACTTGTTGATGACGAGAGTCGTCTTGACGCGCTCCTTCCTGCACACACAGACACACACACAGTCAGCCGATCCATCTGTAGTCATGCTCTCAGGTTGTCGCCTCACCATGCCTGTCGGATGACAGCTCGTGTCTGCGGCCCTACCTGACACAAACACGCAGACAAACAGCCTGTCCCGCCAGCTGCATCCACTCTCGCTGTGTGTGTTTGTGTCCTTGTGAGTCACCCCTTCGACAGCGTCCACCAGCACCAGTGCCCCATCACACAGCCGCACAGCCGTCGACACCTCAGAAGAAAAATCCACGTGGCCCGGCGAGTCGATCAGGTTGATCAGATACGGCACGCCACTTGAGGGATGCTGTTCACGACAGACAAGAACACAGAGGGCAAGATGCCTTCGCCCTCCGTATGTGTGTGTGCGTGTGTGTGTGTCTGTGCATGGTGTGTGGCTGACTGACTGACTGACCTTCCAGTAGAGTGAGATGTTTGACGACTTCATGGTGATGAATCGCCGTTGCTCGTCCTCCCTGCTGTCGAGGTAGCGCACCTTGCCCGCACTTCTGGCGCTGATCAACCCATTCGACGATATCAGAGAGTCTGACAGCGTCGTCTTGCCTGCAGGCAGACAGTCAGAGATGGATGTGCTTGTCTGTGCGTGTCTGTGCGTGTCTGTGCGTGTGTGTGTGTGTTTGTGTTACCGTGGTCGACGTGCGCGAGTATGCATATGTTGCGTACGTTGGCGACGTTCTGCTGCAGCTGACCCAGCAGCTCTACCGACGCCATCTCTATTTCCGACGGTTGCTTGTGCCTATGCGCTGCAAAACAAACAAACAGCACACAGCGACGAAGCAACAAACAATCATTCTATCGTTCTCTCTCCGTCTGACTGGCGTACTCACCGTGGTTCACACGAGCGGAAGATCACCCTCTCTGCAGCTAAGCTCGCAGGCGATCGCCTTGACAAAGGGAAAGAAGCTGCCCCTTCGTTCGCAGATTCCGCCGACGCCAGCGGCCCTTCGCCGGTACCTATACTGTTTGACGACAATTGATGGGAATGAGTGAGGCTTCGAAGAGTGTGTGGGTGGACGGCAAGTGCATCAAGTCGGTAAAGGAGTACGCGGGCCTCCTGTCCGCGTCCGAGAAGCCAGCAGCGTGCGAGAACGGCGGCAGATGGACGAAGTGGTGGGACCTCGATCGACGTGACCTGGACGGTGTTATCGTCAGTTCGATGAGGTCCCTTCGGATGCCAAGCTCACGCTCCGATACCCCACTCGTAAGGAAGGGAGAGAGAGAAGCAGAGTCTGGCTTGCAGGGAGGAAAGAGGGACGCTTCTTGTGTGTCATCCTTCCATCAGGGATGATCAGGGGTACACTGTTCGAACAGGACCGCCCAGGTACGGCGGCTTTCCTGTATAGCGTTTCTACTGGGATTTTCTGGCCGGGCTGGGAATGCTGTTCGCCGGCATAGGCCACCTTGCGTCAACGCTGTCACCGCAACGGCCCCATTCACCTGTGAATGAATAGGTAGCCGTTCATCAACAAACAGCCCGTTCATCAACAAACAGCGGGGAAGAAGCGATGACGAGCCTGCCGCCTCGCAGACGAAGGAATGGAGCCGCTCTGCCATTTCCAGCTCTCGCTGATGCCGGCATCCCTCCGTCGGGGGCCCTCTCTGATTCACCACGTTTGCGAGTACAGATGTGTGGATGACGGGATGACATGTGGAGCGGGTTTGTTCATCCATTCTTGGCCTTGCATTCGTCCTGCCTGGCGGGATGAATGTCATCCAATCAATGGGGTTTGTGCCGATTGTAGCTTGAGTAGATGTGAATAGAGTAGGGGCTGTGTTGTACATACATACAGACCCACGTATCGCTTGAGGGTGTGGTGTATGGCTGTGAGTGGACCGACATGTGGATCGATCCACATTTATCCATTCAGCCAACACAGACGTACATTTTCATATTCCCTCATTGTCTATCTGTCTCTCTGTCACTCGTTGCGGCCACCTGACCCATGCACTTCACTTCCACTCAGACACACATACGCGCACACACACGAGGAGAGATGAGAAGGGGAGAGAGAGAGAGAGAGGGGGGGGACCTCATCCGCTGTCGAAGTCGACATGCAGTGAAGATAAGAAGTTGGTTCTATGAGATAACTGGCGCACTTGAGCATACCTGTGGCTGTGCCACAACAAAGGAAACGGCACGCATCCAAAAGCCCCTAGATCCGGTGACACCGAAGCCGTCATCAGCACTGTAGAGTACTCGACCTCTGAATGAATGAATGCCACATTGAAAAGTGCTGTTGCACTGCGTTGAAGAGAGACACACACGCTTATATGTCTATAGTTGAGTCGAGAATTTAGTGTTGGCTAACCCGCTTTTGCCGCCATTGCTTTTGCCGCCATTTTCTTGCCGTATCGATTGCACTTCGTGCATCCTCCACGCACTCAAGGAACTTGGCACGATTACAGCAGGCCCTCCAGAGGGCCAGTAGGTCAGAGAACTCGCTGCTGTACCTGGTCGGTCACACCACTAGCTCCAACAAGCTGCACCACACACAGTAGAAGCGATCCAACATCATCGCAGCCCCATGGACCGACTTACTTGTCCTTGATAGCTTTCTAGCCGATCATGTCCTGCCACGTCACCCGTCTGGGCTCGTTCGCTGTCGGCTCGCTTTTGTAGTCGATAATGAGCTCGTTGATGTTGGCTATCAGCTTCTCGTCCTCATTGCCTTTGCCCGAGCGACGGAAAGGCAGAGAAGGACCGGCTCCTGAGGGGTGCAAGCAGACATGGACAGAGGCGTAGTCACCCTTGAATGGCAGAATGGGAGTGTTGGATACCTTGCTTCTTGTCATTGTTGCCCTCCTGCGTCTCCGTGTTCTCGGTCTCCCTGCACGTACACACAATGGATGTTCGATTGTTCGATTGCATTTGTCGTTACTTTTGTATTCATGTCGGTAATTGCAGCGTCTCGATCTGAGAGAGTGTGCGCGGCATCACCATGGTCACCATAGCAATTCGTCGGGCCTTGGCGAGCTCATGGATGTGCTTCATGTGCCTGGTGATGTTAGAGTACGTCCGTACAGACTGCACGGACACAGTGCGAAGCCATCCGCATCCGTGTGTTATGTGTTCTCTATTCGATTTCCACTGCCTACGGGAAATCGGTAATCTCACTTTGATCACGGTGGCAATGGTATGGGTAAAGAGAATCTAGGCTGCGTGAGCCAAAGCCCCGCTTTGACTTGTTATAAAAGCTGAACATCTGGATTGCAGAATCGCTTCCACAAATAGAGGGCCTGTTGCAAGTCCCGCCTGTCATTGTCTGTCTCTGCGTCCTCACTCCGACACTCCAGCAGCTCCACAACTTGATGGAAGCGCGTTGAAGGCGTCATATACTCGAAAGAAGCCGCCAGCCCATCGTGAGACAGAACATGAGAGCATCTCAGCTTCCGAAAGGCCATCTTGGCAGCCTCTCCTCGCTGGCGAGCCCCATTGATCCTCACAGCCGCAGCCGCCTCTGTCTCACCTTCAAAAGCCATTGACTGGTCACGCGTCACGATCGCTTGGATGAAGACATCTTTGATAATGAGCAATTCTCCTTGGTTGTGCCTTGTGAGATTGCGGGCAAACCACCCGTCTCCATTGGGATGTCCCATCTTCTTCACGTCTTCCGCCATCGATGGCAAGCCAGAGGTCAGCAGAAACAGCGCCAAAATCGCCGCCTGCTCCACATCACTGGTGAGAAGGGCGCGTATTTGTTCGCGAGAGACCTTCAGCCTGGGGATGCAGAAGGGAGGCCCGGTGTCTCTTGTGGTGGTCTCGAAGAAGAGGTCTACTGCCTGAGACGAGAGTCTGCCTAGCGTGTGGATGAAAAGGGGAGAGGCAAAAGGAGGGGGGCTGAACTGCCACACTTGCCTTAACGAAGCCGCTGTTATTCCACATATAGCTATGCTAATGCTTGCAATATCCATAGCCATCTGGAAGTCGATGATGTACAGCTGAAATGTGCCCTTCTCACCAGCCGCTGCTCCCGCTCGCCACGCAACGCAGACGTTGAAAGGTGATAAGTCCAGATGCATTATGCCCCACTCATTGAGCTTGGCCGCCGAGGAAGTGAGATGAGAGGCGAGACGACGCCATGCCCCGCGTGGAATGCAGCTGAAAGGCCGATTATCAGCAGCACCATCACCACCACCACCACCAGCAGCGACAGCAGCTGGCTGGCCGCTTGTGTCGTGGTTGGCCTGGGCAGCACACGCCTCAATGCGCGTCGCTTCGGCTTCAGATGATAGAAAGCCTGAGGCACGACAGCGAACGCCAATAAGGTCAGCTAGATTGGCACACACAAAATCGCCACCCACATCGCCGAAAGTGCCTGAACCAAAGACAGATAGAGACTCAGACAGGCAGATGGAGGGCTCAGGCCAGTCTTCTTACGTATCTCAGCAGAGAGAATGAACGGCCCCTCGAAGCCCAGCCACACGTCGTTGAACCGAAGCTGAAACCCGCACGGCAGCTCATCCGATAGCAACAGCGGCGGAACAATGAACTCTGACGGCTCAAGACCAGCCGCCACCTGCTTGCGATGCAGATACTCATGTACCTGAGCCTCCCACCTCAGCGTCCACCGATGTTGGCGATAGTCATTTTCATCGAGCGGCTCCGTGTTTTGACCAAGAGGCATGGTGGGTGGTGTCGCCATCTTGAGCACGGCCCGCTCGCGTATTGTCTGCGGCTCTCCACCGTCCGTGGCTGTCGTCGTGGAGTGCAACCATCCTCTCAGTTTGGTGAAGAGCCGACTGATGCCCAGCGGCCGGGCGTCGGGTCTGAAGATGCTGTTGCGGCCTGGCTCGAGCACAACGTTGCCGTCGTTGTCCAGCCGAAAGGGCGCCGGCGCCTCCGGCTCGTTGGTTGATCTGCGGCGCCCCGAGTCAAGAATGTGGTCAAGCAGCACAGGCACTGACGGAGGACTGGGGGTGTCGGCGGGCTCTGGGGACGGAAGAGCAGCTTCACTTTTTCGCCTGGGAGGCGGCGGGCTCATCATCATTATCTCTTGTTCTCGCCCCAGTCGCCCCCTGGGTGCGAGCCATGGGGTGCGAGCTTAAGCGAAGCGCCCCCCTCCTTTCTTTCCTCGATGCCGTCGACAGATATCTGACTCATCTCAGGTACTGTCCTGAGCCTGATCTCGCCAACAGTCGACGAGATCGAGTGAGATCAGCATGTGCCGTACGCGAGTCAAGTGATTGAGCAGCTTCACCGGTCCAGCGCGTCAAGTTCATTCGGTCAGTGGTCATTCTACACACACCCGGAACAGAAGGAAGGGGATGGATGATTGACGTCTTCGTTCGTGTGTTTGCATACACACAGCGCTCTTCTGGTGGGTTCGTGTTGGAGCACGGCATGTGGCATGTCGTGTATTTGTCGGAGGCTGCGCGTGCGTGCGTCGCAGATAGATGGATAGATAGCCTGTATCACGTATCATCCGTACGTGTTGGTCCGCTTTTGTGCCGGGGTGTTTTTCTGTGTGCGAATGGTGACGCATGGTGGTCTCTCTGACACCAACGGCGGGAAGAAAACATAGCAGCGATGTCCATGCATGCAGAGCAGATGCGGACAGCGAGTGGTGTCTGTCTGTCAGCTGCCAGCTGCCTCTCGCCGTCTGTCTGTCAGCCGATGAGAGACTGATGGCCGAGGGAGGGAGGAAGGGAGATCTGTCTTCTGTTTGTGCGTGAGAGTAGCTTTGTGGATGTGCGTGTGGGGGGGCTGTTTTCGTCGAGTGGGTCAGCATCAGTCGTCCACCATGATCCATGGAAGATGTGACCGACACGTGGAATGACTGATTCGATTAGTACAATGAATGTCGTTGTGCAATTTCACCACCTGACACCAATTCCGTCGGCCATCGTTAACCTGTACGCACGCACTTTCCTGGTCTCGGTTGCGTCTCTGTTGCGCCCATGCATTTATGTTACGTGCGTCTTCAAAGCTCTCCATGCTATGGCCAGGCCAAAATCGATGTGTGTGAGGAAAAAGAACCCAGGGACGAGGTTCCCTGCCCCCCCCACTCCCCCCTCCGTCAGTGTCGCTGGCTTCCCTGCCTGGCAGAGACGTAGCCGGCCCACCCACCACCCACCATGAATCTCTCTTTCTCCCTCTGTGTGGGTGGGGATGGATGGTGTGTGCGTGCGGTATAGTCACACTTATCGCATGCATGCATTCATGTACACATGTATAGTGCACACAGGCAGACATACACAACTAAAAACAGCCAGCCAGCAGCCAATCGAGCTATCAAGTTATCGCACGTACAACCGATGTCATACCAATCAGCCTTTTCAATCAATCCGCTATCAATCAGTCCGGCCCGCCCCTTGTGCACACACACAGACAGCGGCTACGCCAAAGAGCAAAGGTGGGCAGGTAGGAGCTCTCTGCCGGGTGAGCAAAAGGACTCAAGTCATCCATCGATCCATTGATTCATCATCGCCACTTATCCACACACCCATCCCTCAATTTCCCACCCTCCATCCCTTGCCCCCACCGTTCGGCTCGCTCACTGGCGCGGAGATTGTAGGTAGTGTGAATGTGCACACAGGCAGACATACACAGGCAGCAGCCAATCGAGCTATCGTACGTACAACCGATGTCATACGACCCTCGCCATGTCATGCAATCCAATACAACCACGCTCCATATGCACTTGCTCACACAGCCATCAATCAGTCCGGTCCGCCCCCTCTCTCGCTCTGTGTGCAAACGTACAGACAGCTGCCACGCCAAAAATCAAAGGCGGGTGGGCAAGTGCTCTCTGTGTGTGTGTACGTGTGGCCCCTTCCTATGCACACGACAGACAGACAATGTATAGCACATTATGTATGTATGTATGTGTGTATGTCTGTATGCATGTACACTAGCAGCATCCACAACGCAAATATGTCGGCCGTCCAGCGGTTGCTCATCGACCGAGGCAGGCAGGCGGTCAGACAGACAGACAGACAGTCAGAGAAGACCTATCCGACTGCGCCCATTGCCTGCCGTCCACCCATTACCTTACAGTCAACCATTGGAGGAGATGTGTGACTGCTAGGGGTAACAAGACGAGAAACTGCATGGATGGGATGGGCCAAAAAAATCCGTGGTGGACTGCTGTGGGTGTGGTGTGTGTGATCGACTGACGTACGTACGTACAGACATGAGTGAGTGTACATATGCACACATGCACATATATACATATAATACACACACACACATGGATGCATATACATGTGTAGAATGCGGTCTCACCTTAGTGTATATGTGCTTCAAAGCTCTGGCTGCGCCGCGGCCGTCACCGTCGACAGACGCGGCGCCGGTGTGTGTGTATCGCACCATCGAGTCGACCATGACGACTGCAAGCGTCAGACACAACGCAGACAGCGGGAAAAAACCGCCCACCCACTGGCACTTACTGGCACGGATTCCACCCACCCATCCTTCACATCAGTGTTGCAGTACCATCCATCCATCCATGAATCGGTCGCAGCCAGCCATCCAGCCACGCACGCAGGCCATCCATCCAGCCAGCCAGCCATCAGCACGTTACCGACGTCCATAGGCAGGGCAGCTAAATGCTGCTCTCTGACTGCTCGCTTAGGGTATGTGTGTGTATGTGTGTGTGTGTGTGTGGTGCACTCGTTGGTTTGTTGGCCAACGAGGAGCAGTCAGTCGTCTCTAATACGTCCCGCCTCGCTGCTATCAGGAAATCCATCCATCGTTGGTACTGAGCGGCCAGTCAGTCAGTCGCCTCACGAGTACGCCGCTCTGGCTGGCTGCTCTGGCTGCTACGCGTGTACGATCCAGCGAGGTCGGACTGTCGGCACAGTGCTGGGCTGGTGTGTGTCTGTCTGTCTGTCTGTCTGCCTCTCTTTCTGTTCCCTTCCCGCACCCGTACTTACTTATTCACACACGCATGTACACGTCTGGACACCCACGCCCATCAACTCACAACACAAAAAGGCCGGCCACCCACGAGCAACCAACGAGGAGGGCGGGCAGCATCCCACGCCATATTGCATCCCACTTAACGTGCACAAACAAAGCGACGTGCACCCATCCACTCACTCTCACTCACTCACACGCCATCCATCCGGCCATCCATTCATCCATTCCCTCTCCCATCTGTCTGTCTGTGTGTCTGTGTGTCTGTGCACCCATCATTGAGCCAGCCAGCCACCTACGTACTTGGATGCATGCCCATCCCTCTCCCCCTCTCCTTTTCCCCACCCCCGCCATTTATCACACATACATTCACACAGGCAGTGATCGACAACAGAAAAACAGCCAGCGGTCAAGCAAGGGGCCATCCATCCATTTATCCATCCATCCATCCATTCAACACCACCGGCTCATCCCCCATGCACCCCTCCCGCCTTGACCTACCGATTCCTCTCACTCACTTGCGCGGCGGGGGGAACGGGACAAACGCCTGGCGGGTGACGGAGCCGACGCCCACGGGTGCACGGGGCATGATGGTCATGCCGGCCGGGCTGCCGGGGGGCCAGGGCATCGAGGGTGCCTGCATGGGTGGGCTGCCGGGTGGCCAGGGTGCCGGGGCGACTGGATGCATGTTGAAACGGTGGGCAGCAGGGAACCGCGCCGGTGCGGGTGGAACGTAGCTGAAGCCGCCGAAGAAACCCCCTACTGATGGACACATATATCATGACATCACACATGCCTGGGTGTAATGTGTCTTACTGCTTACCATTGGTCTGCGCCATAGGGTGTTGGATGACCGGAGGGCTGGGTGCCGCCACCTGCCAGCCGCCCGTCTTGGTGGCGACCTGCGGCTTGGGCAGCGTAACCAAACGCGGCGCGTTGGTGGCGACCTGCGGCTGGGGCGGCGTAGCCAAAGGCGGCGCGTGGCTGGGCGGGGCGTTGGCCGGGGCCACCGGCAGTACCTGAGTGAGCCACATAGAGGGATGGCAGAGGGGTGTGTGTGTGGGGGGGTGTTGCGACCGACCTTCTTGTCGTCTCCTGCCGTCTCGGCCGACTCAGGAACCTGCTTAAGACACACAAGAGAGTGGAAAGGAACCACAGAGAGCCAGAGAGGTGGATTGTGCGTGCCGTGTGCGGGGTGGTGTGGGCTTCGAAGGCATCACCTGCGCAGTCTTGTCCTTCTTGTCCTGCTGCTGCTGCTGCTGCTGGTGCTGGTGCTGGCGGTGAAGGAGTACGACGGTCTGCATGCAAAAATAATACATACATGACGCACACCACCAGTGTGTAATCACACAAGCTTGTGTGCGTGCGTATGCAGGGAGGGAGGGGGGCAGGGAGGTGCGTGCCTGGGTGAGGGTGTCGACTTTGGTGGCGAGTTGCTCGATTGTGGCGCTCATCGCCTTGTTCGACTCCACAAGCTCCTGCAGGAGTCAGTGGACAAGAGAGAGGGAACCGAACACATTGCCGCTGTGTGTGCGTGTACGTATGTGTGAATGTGTGTTTTGGTGGGTGCTCCGTAGGTGCGTCATGCTGACCCACCTTCTTGTCGTCAACCCCCTCCGCCACGGTATCAGCAACCTGAATACCACGGCGGAGTTGTGCGCCGTGTCCTGGTGTGTGTGTGTGTGTGTGTGGCATGCTGACTGCATCGAGTTTTTTGCTGATCGTCTCGAGCCCGCCGCACAGCGTGAGGTTGTCCTCGCGCAGCTCCTGAATGAAGGCACAGCGTCTTCGAATGAGTGTATGTGTGCTGTGGTTGAGCTTACCTTCACCTCGTTCAGGGTCTTGAAGACCAGACTGTGCAGGAACTGAGTGTGTCATGACACCAATACACGTAAGACCCAGACAGATGGACTGGACGTGTATGTCACTACCTCGAGCTGCGTGTAGAAGTCCGAGGCCGCCGGCAGGTCTTCGTCGAGCTCGGTCGTGCTCTGCATCTGTTTCAATGGCCACCGAACAGACACAGAAAATGGGCACATGCACATACCCACCATTAAGCTATGTAAGTACCTCGAAGATCCTCTGCTGTGAGGGCTGCATTGGCAGAGATACATCCATGCATCCAGCTGCCAGTGGGTGTATGTGCATGTGACTTACGAAGACCATCAGGTGCATTGACTGCAGCAGGGACGTCGACTGCGACTGATTCGACAAGCGAACAGACACAACGAGATTCCATATCCGTTTTGCCATCGATCGCAATTTCCGCCGTGTATACGCACCTGAAACACTGGCTGCGAGATGAGAGGCCAGGTGGATAAACAGACACCATGACAGTGGGTGCGTGGACGTCGCAGCCGAGACATACACACACACACACACACACACACAACAAAGCAATGCAATGCAATGCAGGAGGGAGGGAGGGACTGAGTACGTACTGAGTGGTCCGCAGGTTCAGCAGCGGCAGCAGCAGCTGAGTCGACGCCATGGCTAATCTGGTTTGACGCATGGACGGGCGGCAGGAACCGGCGGAGACAGGGTGTCTGTGGGCAGATGCCTGGCTGGCTGTCTGTCGATGTGTCTGTGCTCACCTTGGCCTTGTTGTCGTCATTCGCCGGCTCAGGCGTACACTGAAGGAGTGGTTATCAGTTAATGGACACACAGACACAGAGATGCATACATGCATTAATGTGTCAGGCACGCCAGGCCACCTACCTTGTCGCTGTCGCCGCTTGCTGCTGCCGCCGCAGCTGCAGCTGGGCATGTCTCGTCGGCGTCGGCAACCTGACAGGCAGCAACCACAACGGACGACAGACAGACACCATGGAAGAGCAACAGACAAGTGCTGCACATCTGCCTGCCTGTCTGTCTGTATGTCCGCCCAGTATGCACATAGATAGATACTTGAGGTCACACACGCCGCCACCCAACCTACCTACCTACCTACCTCCTTGCTGTCGTCTTCTTGGCCGGCAGTGGCAGCAGCAGCAGCAGCCGCGGGCGATGAGGGCGTGTCCGGGTGGGCCTTGTGCTGCTCGTTCTTCTTCTTCTTCTTCTTCTTCTTCTTGTGGCGCCCCTGAACCACCAAACGAGAGAGAGAGGGAGGGAGGGAGGGAGGGTTGTGTGGAACGAAATGAATCAATGCTCAAGAGATATTCTTCCACTGACTGACTGACTGACTCACTGACTGACTGACTCACTGACTGACTGACCTTCTTGCCGCTGCCGCCATCGCCCTCACCGTCCCCCTGAGCAGACGACTGACGCAAACACACAGAAGATCGATACATATGGCACCCATCCATCCATCAGATCAGCGTGCAGCCGTCCGTGTGCTCACTCACCGGCTCCTGCTGTGCTGCTGGCGAAGAAGCGCCTCGTGGGCCTCGACCTGAGTGTGGCCATCATGGTGTATGTATATCCGTGTGTGTATCTGTGTGTGTATCTGTGTGTGTACCTAATCGGTGCCTTTGTGTGGGAGGGGCTGAGAGAAACGTACAAGCGGTTCATACGGCTCGTGTCCGTGTTAGCCCTTCTTCTCACTTGTGTGTTCTTTGTGACGTAGGCACCGACTGCAAGCACGGCGTCCTGGGTGCCCGACACGAAGAACTTGACAATGTCCCCATGCACCTGCTTGCCCCAGACGTGGACTCTGCAAACGATGACAAGGAAACGACATGTGGATGTCTCCTCTCCTTCCTGGTCTTGTGTCCATCTGTCTGCCAAATCACTCACTGAAAGGGGCCGAAGTCCAGCTTGTCGAACTCAGCGAAGCTTACCTCCATCTTCATCATCGCCCTGCCGTAGTTATCCCAGTCTCTGGGGATCTGCATAAGCCAGCACGGACATCCGTTCTGTGCGCTCCTCCCCGCCCCCCTCACACACTTGTACACTGGCCGTCCGCTGGTGTGTGGGTGTCGGCTGGAGGACCTGCATTACACCCACACACACACACACACACTCCCACACATGCAGCTGCCGCAGTGTGCGTGTCAGTGTGGATGGGTGTCCTGACCTCCACTGCTTGAAGGTTCTCGAGGCGCATCTGGCCCGACTTGCTCTCGGCCTTCTTGAGCCTGCGTCAGGAACAAACACACACACACAGAGGGGCGTGTGTGAGCGGCACATGTGTGTGTGCGTGTGTGGTGTGTGTGTGTGGCGGACTCACCGCTGAATGATGTTGTCTACTCGATCAGCGTTGAAAGTGTGGGTCTCCACGAGCCAGGACTTGAGCTCCTCGTAGTGCGGGCCCGCCCACTTGAACTCCAACTCGCCACCCTCAGCAACCTGCATAACACACACACACACACAGGTGACCGTGTGTGTGGCTGAGCTGCAGGCCAGGCGTATGTACTTGGGGATCCTTGAACATGTTTCTGGCCTCCTCGAAGGGGAAGTTGTCCGGCAGCACGAACTTGTCGCCCTTCTCCTTGATCATGTGCTGGATGATGTTCTCGATGGAGTGGTGCTGCTGCACCAGCTTGTGGGCCGTGACGGGCCCGATGCCCTTGATGGAGTCGCAGTAGTCGCAGCCGCACAGGATGCAGAAGTCGATGAACTCGTCCATGGTCAGCTTCAGGTCCTCCAACACCGTCTCGAGCGTCAACACGTGCACCTTGTTGCCGGGGTCCTCCTGCTCCGAGAAATTCAGGTGCCGAATCACCGTCGGCGACCTGCACTCGACCAACACAGCACACGCACACACACACATAATCCCCCCTCCCTCCTCCCTCCCTCCCTCCTCCCTCTGTGTGTGTGTGGCCATCTCAAACACCCATCCAGCCCACCCGAATGTGAGTGCGCTAGCGTCGTCAGTGGCGGTGGCGTAGACCTTGCCCTTGGCCGCGAGTTTGGCGCACTGTGCCTCGGCCTCGCACGGCGCCTCTACGACGGGTATGCCCAGGAGCTTGAGCAGGTGTTTGACTTCGTCGTTGTGCTGCTTGGTGATCTTGACGGTGCGGCCGATGAACTTCTTGACCTCCTTGTCGCCCGCCTCCTTGGCGGCCTCGAGGTCCTCCTCGGCCTTGGTCCGCTTGTCCGAACGCATCAGCAGCTCGCCGCTCTTCAGGCGGGGGGGCGCGCCGTCAAACACGTACACGGGCGTGATGCCAGCCTCTGACACACACACAGACACACACACACGCACACACACAGAGAGAGAGAGAGAGGGATGCACAGCGCACACCCCAACACACTCAGATGATTGAGATGCCGTGGCGTGTGCCAGTGTGGGTGTTTTGCGGGTCTTTACCGAGGAGCTTGACGACTCTGTCGAGCATGCCCGTGATGTACGAGGTAGTCTCTCCGCTCTCGTTGGTGAGGTTGGCGGACGAGAAGTTGGGGTCGTTGCCGCTGCTGCCGTCGCGGACGGCTATCATGAGCTGGTACAGCGACATGGATGCGTCGATGGCTAGCTTCTGACCCATCAGAAAGTCGTACTTCTCGTGGTCCTTCAGGCTGCGGGGCGCCTGGTCGCTGATGAACTTGATCAGCCCCTTGATCCCCATCGCTCGCGAGGGATGGCTGGCTGGCTGGCTGGATGGATGGAGGCGCAAGGCAATATGCGATCTGCTGCGGCGGCCACAGCGGACTCCAACCGAGCACCCTGTCTGGGGGCAAGGGTGTCGTCTGCCTCTTGGGAGGGAGGAAGAGTCTAAGATGGAGAAGTGAACCAAACAAAACGATTAACCGATGCTTGAGAACCGATGCTTGAGAGGACGCGCCAGAGCTCGTCCAGCCTCAGCAGCAGCGGTTTCACGGAGCACCCTAGGCGGCGTACACCTCCCTTTGGATCCCCCTTTCCGCGTAGTGGCTGGCCAGTACGAGCGAAGTGGACCGCAAAATGCGCTTCCCCCACTACTGTCGGCTTCTCGTGAGTTTGGGGGTGGTCAGGCACGTGTCAACGACGCCTGCTACACTTGTTCTACGTCACTGACTCATCCATCGTGTTGTGCTCGCAGGTGAGCCGACGAGTGAAGTTGAGTTATGTGCTGCACCTATTGCACTGGGCTCGGTGGCACCGCAACGGCATGTACCGTCGTTCCGTGCCAGCGTGCCCAGTCAACGATCTCGAGAAGCTGCATTTTGCAGTGCAGAAAAGACGGGATAATCTGTGGGTTCTGGAACGTCACGTCGTAGTACGAAACGGTCAGTGAGTGCAGGCGGCTCAGCAGCTGCTCAGTGAGCCAAGACATGCAAGAATTGATGGCGAGATGCACCATGGATTTTCTCGCCCCACATCCATTCCCATGGAAGAGGACACAGCTTTCCGAGAGAGCATCGTCAACCACTGGAGCCAGCTCCTGTCCGTCGAGCTGATGAAGCACAACGCGTTCCAAGTGGCGAGTCGCGCGCAGCGCGCGGCGGCCGCTAGAGGGCCACGGACGTTGTCCATTGTTTCTCCATGTATTGTTTCCCTTCGCTTGCTTGATACGAACTCATGCATCTGCTAAATCCACCTGGCGAGATGCATCCGTGCCGCTGGCCAAGCCTTTCTGTTGCCATGGGGGGCTGAAGGTTGGAGTGGATCAGAGTGTGTGTGGATGGATGTCACCATGGGCTGAGCCATTTATGTATATGGAACAATCGAGACTTCAGAATTGCTCTGCTTGCTCTGGACGATTGAAGAGACTTGCAATGGCGGACAGCCTCGAATTGGTCAAGCCATTGCAATGCACGAGTTGAATAAAATGTACGCAGCCTCTGCTTTGTCGGGTCAGTGACTCTCTTCCTTTGTCTCTCCCTGTGTGTATGTGTGTGTTTATGTGTCTGTGTGCGTGTGGGAAGAGAGGATGTGGGGCGATGTATCTCTGAGGTTCAATTGGTGTTCGCCCAGAATGGCTGAGAATGCGTTCAACAGGCCGTGGTGAGACATAACGATGACATCTCGGCAAGCAGGCTGCAGAGGGTGGTTCACTAGGCCGTCAGCAAGCTCGACTACAAGACAGTGCAGGACCTGCTGCTCGACCTGACAGATCAAACAGACGAAGGCATCGATAACGACGAATACGATATGCTACACAGCCGTAGTGAGTGTGTTTATTTTCCGGATGCGTATGCGTGTGTGTCGAGGAGACACTACTGAGAGAGACACGGCGTCATGCAGAGCTGCCTCTATATCAGCTGTGTGCGTGTCTCTGTGTGTGCAGCGGAACCGACAGCCAGGCCTGTGTGTTCATTCGGGCTGCCTTTGGTGTCTTGTTTGATCGTCCGCCCGGCGTCCATTCACTTAGTTGGCCCGTTTGTCTTGCCTTGACGGAATGCAATTTCCCTCTTTCTTTAAGAGACACGCGCAGACACACGCAATCGTCGACATCCAGATCAACGGAATATAAAATGTAGGCATCGATACATCAGCCACGGTGCACATAGCAGAAACGCTCTCCGCCATCCTTCCCGAGGAGCATAATAGTGTCGATGCTGTCGTGTGCCGACAGCACGTGGTTGAGGCGAGCGACCGCTACGTTCTGGTACACACACATACACAAACACACACACACGTGCACAGGCGGGAAGCGTAAATGAGTTGATGTATGTACCTGTGTAATCACACAGGCACCCGGGGCCGGCGATGACCTCGCAAAGGGCCTTCGCGTGGCATCTGGCGGCGGTCTCGAAGGGCCAGTTGGTGCTTGCACGAGGGGCAGAGCTGCACGGCGTGATGATGCAGCGATGCTCACCTTCTGTCGTTGAGATCGCCAGGTCGTGGACCAGCGGCGTGCACGCCTTGGCCTTCTCGTCATTCGGGGTTGGTGTTCATGATGGTCTTGTACTTCGATAGGCGTGGTACCATGACAGCCCTTCTATTCGTTCTGAATACCCGTCGGTGTGGCCATCTTGCTGAACGACATCACAAGGCGTCGGCATCCATCACATGCGGGGTCCGCCTCCTCTCAATGGCGTGCATTCGCTTACAGGAGATCCATGATGGGAAAGGATGAGGAGGGAGAAAGGCGTACATACTGAATGAGATGATGTATGTACCTGTCTAGTTTGCTGCATGTATCTGTCGCATCACAGACACATCCCAATGTTCCTGAGCCTCTCGCAGAGGTGATTGACGAAGTCGGTGCCGGAGAGCTGCTCGACTGACGCCCCACGCATGCCACACAACACAGAGCAGGACGACCGTGTATGTGTCTGTCTGCTCTGTGTTGTGTGGCACGCCGATGCTGATCCTCACTGTTGATGGTCCTGGCTGTCCCTGCTGTTGAGGAGGTCCATCGCGGCCTTGAACAGACGCACCAACTCGTCAAAGGGGACCACCCACACACCATGCACAAGCAAAATGCAGACAAGGCCGTCGGGCGTCGCGTCGGTTCTTTCCATAAGCTCAACTCACCGACGCGCTCGGCTCCGGCCTCCTTGCTGGACGACGACGAAGGCATCGAGCTCATGCTGCCTGAACGACAGACAGACAGACAGACAGACACAGACAGACAGACAGACAGGCGGACGGACAGCCAGATGACATCAGTGCGCGACCCGTATCTGTCTGTCTGTCGGCGGTTGAAGCGCAACAGGGGCGTGTCTCTGTGTCTCCACTGTCCGCAGAATATGAAATGTAGCCAGCGATGAGTGTTGTCATGGCCTGACATGTCTTGCCGAGGTTTTGTGGGGTGACACTGTCGTCAGCTTCGTCTTCGTCGACCTGGCCCTGTACACAGGCAGCAAACACAGAGGAGTGGAGTGTAACGTTGGCTCCCTGCTCCGCAATTGCTGTACTGAATCGCGGCCGAGCACCCCGCGTTCAACCTGTACACGCACACACGCCACACAAGTGATGGATGCGTTGTGAAAACAAACACAGACGGAAGGCAAAGACAAACACGGCGTGAAGCATTAACGTCTAGTCTCACTTTCGGAGCCCATCGATTCTCAGACCCGATTCTGAACCCGATTCTGAAGTCGAAAAATGCGACGTGTGTTATCATCTTTCGTCTTCGTGTGGGCCCTCTTTCTGGTTCTACTTCTCGGCGCAGATGGTGTCTCACGCATCTGATACACAGAGAGCGGCGCGGTACCTGATCATTGCTTACCTCGGCCGCTTCCTGACGCCTCCAAGTTGGCCATCCAAGCCTTCTCTTGAACTCGTTGCTCTCAAACCATCTCCCACGCTGCATCCAAGTACACGGCTGATGGATAGGTAGATGATGCACGACTTTGAATGGTGTCTACGATTTAGCTGTCGAAAAGATGTGCGTGTCTCTCTGTCTTCACTTGCATCAGGATATAAAATGTAGCCAGCGATGGAGAGAAAGTGCCGATTGTCTCGCTTGTATGGCCTGACCCCTCCCCTAGCGCCATCGACATGGCTTCGACACAGCACACACACACACACACGATGAACAAAGTCTCCCTCTTCTCCTGCCCCTCTCTGCGTGGCTCTGCGCGTACTCATGGGGGAATGGTGGGCGTCGAGCAGCGCCACGGGTATCGCCAGGAGCCTCAGCACAGACACACCGCCCTCCGGTGGCGGTGCACGGGTGTGTGTTGGGTTGGTACCGTTGTTGGTTCCTCCCCATCTCGCTGGTAGCCACTGCCTGCAGATGCCCGTGGCCGTCTTGCTCAGATGCTATGGTCCTCTTCAACTTGTGTGTGGTCAGCCACACACACACACACACATACACACACACACACAGAGAGAGAGAGAGAGAGAGACACATATACGAGGAAACTCGGGTGTGTACCGATGTAGTCGGCCAGGCTGCCCAGGAGCAGGACGACCAGCCTGTTGAACTCGTGATCATGGGATGACGCGGCGATTTGGTGGTGTTGAGAGTGCGCTTGACGGGTGCTGCACACATTACATGAGTCAGGCAGGCAGCACAATCACCACAACACATACATCGTCAGGCGTGTATGTCTGTATGTATGTGTTGTGTGCACGCCATGCTCACCGTCGACACACTCCGGTAGCTGCCTGACGACCGGGCTGAGCTCGATGGCCTTGGCGTGAGGTCCGAGAGTGGCGTCAGTGATGATGTCCGCCGCCTTCTTGAACAGGACCGCCCGCACCTGCATCGGCGAAGTCTTTAACTCCTCACTCTCGTCAGAATATAAAATGTAACCAGCGATGAGCATCGGATCCTGACGAGCCGGCCTTGATACATAGCGAAAGTTCATGGCCTTGATACATAGTTGTGCGTGTACCGTGAGGGCGAGAGCTTGCTGCGCGCTCACAGAACTGAGCCGCTGCATGAAGGAGAGGAAAGAAAGTGAGACAGAAGGAAATGTCTCAGACAAGGTCTCAGAGCGATATTACCTCGCTGCTTTCCGACAGAAGGCTGGCCAATTCACCGAAATCCGCACGGACAGAAGCCTCAAACCGCCGAACGTGGGACATCTCCTCTCGAACCTCCTGCATACACACATAGACACACACACATAGACACACACACACATACACACATCCATCTGCAGGCACTGAGGGCACTTGTGTGGGTTAATACTGTTACGATCAGTCACACGATCAATGAGCTTCGCCTTGATCCATTCACCACTGCGCCGCCTTGCCAGATATGTGTGCCTCTTCACCGACATATGCCAGGTGTGTCGTAGTTGATGCGAAAGTTCACTGGCGTCTGGCTCTCGGCCAAACGCATCTCCTGCACACAAATACACACACACACCCATCTGCAGGCACTGAGGGCACCTGTGAGGGTTGGTACCGTCCTTGTGGTGTCGACTTGCCCACGCAGGGCACCGAACAGCTGGAGAGGGTCGGCCGTCTCATCACGCATCTCCTGCACACACACATACACACATACACATACACACACACACACACACATCTGCAGGCACTGAGGGCACTTGTGTGGGTTGGTACCGTTGTGATGGAGTCGAGCTGGCCACGGACTGGGCCGACCAGCTGGCGAATCTCTGCCATGTACTTATACTCGACCTGACCTATCGCTGACCGACAAAGGGCAGCATACAGTCTGTATTTATTGTCTCGTCTGTCAATTGGTCTGTCTGTCTGGCTGCTCGATGCTTACAGACGGGGAGGTCGACCATCGGTGGCGCGGCGATGAGCATCGACTCCTGACGAATCTCCTGAACACACACACACAC